CCAAACACCCCTCAGCATAATGGATGTTTTTGTTTGGTTGTTGTTTAACACAGCACTCAGCAATATTCCAGCTATACGACGGCACTCTGTAAATCATCGAGTCTGGGCCAGGCAATCAAGTGATTGGTATCATGAGCATCGACCCACACAATTGGGATGCGATGACATGTATCGACCAAGTCAGCGGGCCTCAACACCCGATCCGGTTCATCACCTATTTCGACAAGTAAAGTTGCCTTTTACGGCCAGCATGGGTTGCTGAAGACCTATTCTAACCCGGATCTTCATGGGTGAGTACAAAGGAAGACTTCCAGGTAATATGAATGAGCTCCAAAAACAATGTTATTGGAAGATGCTTACCATATGACATAACTGACTTACCGTGAGCTCTGGATCTGCCGTGTGACCTCAGTGTCCTCAAAGATCTTGGTAATGACCTCTGTAGCTGCCTGCAGTTTCTTGAGGCGATGCACCACCTCCATTCGTTTGTCCTTCAGTGCTATGAAAAAACAAACAATTGATGTTAATATGTTGTAATAGGTAGACAGGGTCATGTAATAGGTAGACAGGGTCATGTAATAGGTAGACAGGGTCATGTAATAGGTAGACAGGGTCATGTAATAGGTAGACAGAGATTGTGCCTGGATCTGTTTGTGTTCATCTTCCTGAGGCAAAACACTCGCCACCCTCGCCGAACAAGGGCAACATGGTCAAATGTGTCAACTGTTGATCTCTCACTGGGCATTTAAGAACAGAATAACTCAAATTTTAGACATTCATACCTTCATTTAGCTACCTAGTCATAGACACATGTCATATTCCCAGATATTGTCACACATCACATATTACATATCACATTCTCAGTCATTATCACGTATCAAATATCACATTCTCAATCATTGACATATATTCCCAGGCATTGTGACACATCATATTCCCAGGCATTGTGACACATCATATTCCCAGGCATTGTGACACATCATATTCCCAGGCATTGTGACACATCATATTCCCAGGCATTGTGACACATGTTCCCAGTCCCCTATGCCCTCTAAACAAGGCAACATGTTAAATAACTCACTGTCAGGAACATTCTGATCCGGGTAGAGGTTTTTGTGGACGTCCATGGCGAAGTCCACCATGTTGGTGTTGCTGAGCAGGTCAAGCTTGCCTCGAGCCATCTCCTTCTCATCGTACAGCTGCAACAGAAGGTCACCATCACATATACCATGTTCACATTCTTTGTTCACAATAGCAATGTAATATCTGATTATGATTTTTATCTGTAAATGTTAGTAAAAATCCTAGCATGTTAGGCTTGTGCATTTTTTAAGAAATGAGAAATCTTTAGACTTGCTTAATCATTCCAAACAGGTTTATTAGTCGCACATGAAGAGATCACCCGTTTAGTAAACATACAGCTGTATCACACATTGTGTATTAACAAAGCGTGTGCTTATGTAAAGTGGGAACAAGTTTCACTAACAAGTACTGAAAATTCCAACATCCCTGGGCTTATTCAACGACATTGCATGCAGAGATAATAATAGATCACTGAGAGGAGCCTATGCACACGCAATGAACCCAGCAACCCTATTGCTAGGCTGACATTACATGGCATTGTTTCGCAGGTGGATCTTGCAACAAAATTCCACAAATTGCGTCATAGGGTATTGTGACATGACTGTAAACTTTGTGGTGCAGGGCCCTGTTCCACAAGGGGACCATAGCACACGACAGTCGCAAGTCTATGTAATATTATGGGAGTTACAAAAAACCTTAAAAATACGATAGCTTTGTGGAAATGACCCACCCTTGTATAGTATTAAATTAATATGTGTAAACATTTGACATGTTTGAAGTATTATTCTGTTAAACTTAAAATTGTTTTTTGCTGTGGATCGCATAGATGTCTGCCTATTCACACACGACAGTGAATCTTAAAAAAAGGTTCTAAACGGCAAGTAATTTAAAAATACTAAACACAGTCGTCAGATACCAGAACTATTCACTCGTTTCATAAAATTGGTATTACACGGGAGTGAGTTTGGTATTCTATACATATTATATAATGAATGCATGAAACAGAATTGATGGCAATAATAGAGTGAGTGAGTGAGTTGGGTTTAACGCCGCTTTTAACAGTATTCCAGTTATATCAATATCACGGCGTGTCAGCTTAATGTGGGAGGAAAGCCCGAAGTGATGCAGGTCTCAGACGTTTACCACTTCGGTGAAATCCACGAGCACGGGTATGGTGCTGACAAACCTAGAAACATAATTGGGGCGAACCAGGATTCAAACCACAATCAAAGGTTTCTGGCGTGCCCAAGGGACGCAACTCTGCACAGCGAATCGCGGCGCCTTAGACGATTGGGCCACCCGTGCCCCCAGCAATAATTAGAATATTTTGGGACAACTTTGGATTGGGGTGGGGGTTAGGAGATTAGCTCAAGTAATGTGACTTGCTATGCACAACAGTGTTTTGGGAGCATATCGTGTTAGGCCTGTGGTCTTTGTCTTTGTTATAACATAGTAGCAGCAGTCCAAAAGACAAATAACCAACGCATGTTATTCAGAAAATATCCACTCCACAGTGTATTCAGACATATGCCAAATCATATACAACCATAATGTATTCATCGGTTTCACCATCATCTTGCTATTTTCCCTGACAATTCTTCAATAGTGTTCAAAGTACAAATGATTATCTTTGCTACTAAGGGCCTGAAGTGAGGTGAAGTGAGGTGAAGTGAGGTTTAATGTCTGGTTCAACATTATTGCACTAATATAATGACATGCATGCACATGGGTGTGTGTGTCTGCTTGTACTAGTACGGATTAATGCCAATTTTATAGTGCTAGCCCACTGAGATACCATGCCACATTTTAACATAAATACCCCACCTAACCACAGTATACTGGCCCCAAGCTGACCAGTCCTTGTTTTACTCCCTTATGGTGAGCACCAGGCAGGGTAACAACAAGTACCATCTTTTGACGTCTTTTGGTATGACGCGGCCAGGGAACAACCCCCCGACCTTCCGCGCTCCAGACAGACCCTCAACCACTAAACCATGGAAGTCTCCAGCAACTTGGGTGAAATAAGGGTCTGTCAATTAATTAGTGCTTCCCTAGTTGATAAGCCACTTGTGAGTTTTGACTGAAACCACATGTCAATCATGCCAATATAAACTGGCTCATGGTAGGACAGAAAGACAGGTATCAGTGTATTCAGTCAACAGTGTCCCCATCATTCAGATTCACTGTTGCTTGAATATAACCATAACACGAAAAGAAAAATCATATTGTCTGATTTAGTGATTGTATTTTTGACGCTAAGGTATAGGAATATCACACACATTGAGTCAACCTATATATGTCTTGCACATAAACTCATCAGATTCTGACAAAAGTTGGGTTATTACCTAAAATAATACTGGGACCAATACTAACAACAGTGAGTGAGTGAGTATGGCTTTACGCCGCTTTTAGCAATATTCCAGCAATATCACGACGGGGGACACCAGAAACCCGGGTCTTCGGCGTGACGAGCCAACGCTTTAACCCACTAGGCTACCCGACCGCCCCTCTAACAACAGAGGATTCTGCATGCTGTTTATCTCGGTTCTCATTTCCAGTTTACATCTTACTTTGCAATCAGTGCAATCTGTGTAATTAGGGTAATTATTCAGTTTAGATTATAAATAATATACATAATAAAAACAGATGTAGTTTTTTTTCTCATCATTTCTATTTACTTGACTCAATACTGCCAATAATGTCCATCGCATAGTCCATCTTTATGATGCATATTGAGTTCATGAACATGATGAAGCTGACTCAACAAGGTTCCATGCTAATATACGAAATGATTCACAAATTTTGTTCTTACCAGTCAAGTGTAAATAATATTTCTGAAACTTAGCAGCAATCTGCCAAACATCCTAAAAGAGACCCACATCTGGGAGTGGCAATTTATTGCATAGCACAGCAAGGTAGTGAACACTGACTAAACACATGTCAGAAAGTGAGCAATGGTGTCACATACTTATTTTATCTTTGTTCATTATGTGTCAAGATCACCTCTTAAAAATAAGTTATGTTAATTATGACATAGGGTATGATACCGAAATAATTACGTACTACCTTGAGATGCACAGATAAATATGATAATAAATTAATAATAGTATGAAGCCTACTCATTCATTGCACCATGCATTTATGTACAGCTGTTGGATCAACAGTCACAAACACAGATGATCCTGAATACAAGGGTGTATAATATAAAGACAGAAAGACTCTATGTAACATTAATTAATCCGTTACCTCTTTTACTGACAAAAACTCGAGCAGTGGGAAGACCAGATGCCGGTCCAAATATTGGCCCATACGCGTGGTTAAGTCAAACTCCGCCATGTTTACTGAAAAGGATGTAGGTGGGTTGATGTGAAATAAGACCTGAAGTCGGAAAATGGAATACTGACAATACAGATATGGAATCAAATTTCAACATAATATCATTTACTTGTAACCTGTTTGCATGTTACCATACATTATAAGCCTATTATATTCTTCTTATATGATTTATTAATTTATATACGTCAACAAAGCAGTTTATTTCGTAAGCTTCAATCCTATGTCTGATACCAGACTGGGTTTCTGTCTAGCCATACCTTTGGCGGCAGTTAATTTCAAGATCATCACCGATGATCTAGCGGCCGCGCATTTATCCCGCGGCAACAGTCTTCTACAAACAAATACAATGATTATAAATCTGTCCGAGTATGTATATTCGCATCATTATGTACCCAGCTATATTATAGTTTCCAATTTCAATATAACTTTTCAAGCACTATCTTTTACAAAATATTCTCGATTATCAAACTGGTAAATGTCATATTTGACACAGTGTCTTAGAGATAAATTGACGTTTGCGCTTTCAAACAAACAACCAGTCATAGAAAAACAGACCCTGTAAACTCTGAACACAGTTTTAACAGTGTGTAAGGAGTTGGGTCGCCTAAAGGAACGATGTAAGATGTCATTCTGAAAATATTCCTGTAAATTTATATCCGCTTGTAGGACTAGTTTGGAGGGGGATTAATACTGAAATTTCCCTTTATAATAGAAAAATGTCCACAGAAAGCAATGGTGACAGGACAACAGACATCCATGTCTCTTTGAAACCTGCTAATGGTGGAGAAAACGACCGAGGACAGGAAGATGACGCAGGTTTGATCTACAAACTAAAATCCCCGTATCTCAGGGCTCCTGACTTTTAGTCATGTGTTTTGTTCTGTAAAATTGTTTGATGGCGTGTTAACACTGTGTCATGTTTCTTATGTTTGAGTCAGAAATGTGATATTTGTTTTATTAATCAATATGCGACGGTTGGTATGGATAGTTTATGTACAGAATCTAACATAAGGATGGTGACACTGAACAATGATATAGGGGCCTACCAAAAAACCACAATATATGTAGGAATATTCCGCACACATTCCATCTAGTCCAACCCAGTTTGTCTTATGTTGAGTATACACCGAGGGCTCATGGAATTTCATATTTCAATCTTTTTATGTGTCCTAATTGCCCTTACATGTTCAGTATTGTAGCTACAGGCCTAGTATGTGTTCCAGGTTAATTTCTACAGGTGTATGTGGGAGGATTATGGTCGTGAGCTAGTTCAAAGCCCAAGTCTAGTAAAAAAAACTGAGTTTGATCTAGTTAACTCAGCTATTAAAATTCCAAGTTTAGGCTTGTAGACTTGAATGTTTTTGGCACAGACTGAATGAGTACCATCCCAGACCTGTTTGCACCATTTAGAGCTGTGCAGCCATCTGATCCATTGGTTTAAATGTGGAATTGGCTAATATCTTTTGTTTTCATCATACCTTTACAGTGTGAAGTATTGCTCATGCTATTAACCACTGGTTTTCTTAATCCAGATTTCTTAAGTAACAGATAACTGTGATAAAACTGAAATTAGGCAACCCTTGCCTCACACCATTGTGACCTGTAACTTAACAGCTTCCCAACTTTCATTTGTTCAAAAACATGTAACCAATGCATATCATGAATCTGAATTGAGGATGTTTTATTTCAGAGGATGGCGATGACCCTGACTGCCCGGTGTGCCTACAGACCTGTATCCACCCAGTCCAGCTGCCGTGTTCCCACATCTTCTGTTTCCTGTGTGTCAAGGGCGTTGCCAGCCGCAGCAAGCGATGTGCCCTGTGTCGCCAAGACATCCCGTCTGACTTTTTTTGTCGCCCCAACCTGGTAAGGAAAGGCGACCTGCAGCAAACTAAAGTGTTTGATGAAGAGTACCAGTGGTTCTATGAGGGCCAGAACGGATGGTGGCAGTATGACGATCGCACAAGCTGTGACATGGAGAGCCATTACAAGAAGGGAGTGAAGACATTCGAACTGCTGATTGCAGGCTATGTTTATCTTATTGACTTGGAGAAGATGATACAGTGTCAGAGAAATGATCGAACAAAGAAGCGGCGCGTCAAGAGAGATAAAGTTAACCTGCCTGGAAAGAAGGGTGTGGCAGGGCTCAAGTTTGGCAGCAATGGTAGCTCTGCTGGTGTGGGGCGAGATTGTGATTCTGATCGCCCTGGTGCAGATGGTGACGAGACGACGACACCAACAACTCATCAGATCATGGTCCCCATTCCCATTCATCCAATGGACCGCACTGTTGGGTATACCAACTCCCTGTCTCCGCCCACCCCCTACAATACCCCCCAGACTCCCCAGACCCCTGCTGAAAGTCCCCCCACAACGTCTGTACCTTCAGAACAAGATCTCACTATGCAGTTAGAGCGTTTGAGGCTTGGAGATCCCAGCATTCTCTCAACGAGTCCTCAGGACTGGCCCCCAGGTGCAAGGCCAGCTGACGTGACCCTCGGAGCAGGACTAGGGGGTGCTGATGGGTCGGAGGTATTCACAAGGGTGAGACCACGGGGACTGAGTGAGACGTGTTCTGAGAGGGAGGCTGACGCTGCTGAGGATGTGAGAGCAGGGTTGCAGGAGACTGAGACTGAGATTTACAACCAGATACAGGAGGACATGGAACAGACTGAGCCACAGACTGACCCAGGAGAACAACTCCGTAAACATGATGTGTGACACAATGAGGAGATCCTCTGTGAACATGTCAGACATGTTGCAACGAATCCTTCATGAACTTGATATGTGACATGTGGAAATTCAGCCCTTTCTGAACATAATGTGTGATGAATGCCCTGTAGTGATGTATGACACAGAACGATGAATGTTGCATGCAAAAGATGTAACCAAGAGATGGGGGACACAAGATGAATGCTTCATTAAAAATGTGGCATATTATTATTAACTGATGAAGATGATTTTTCCATGAAGAATTTGTGTGACTTTAGGGTGGATTATATCTTAAAACTGATTCCGAATTTACATTATCGGATAATGATGAATCAGAACAGTGTTGATCGTGGAATGGCATTGCACACATTACACTTTGACTTGCTTGTTTGCTATCTCTGAACATCATCTGTATATTTTAGGGGTGTCACAATGTGTCTACTTAGGTTTTGGTTGGTTTGGTTTGTTATTTAACGCCGGACTCAGCAATATTCCAGCTATATGACAGTCATGCAGTTAGGATCAATGACATGCATCAACCAACTCAGCGAGCCTGACCACCCGATCCCGTTAGTCACCTCTTACGACAAGCATAGTCGACTTTTACGGCAAGCATGGGTTGCTGAAGACCCATTCCACCCCGGATCTTCACGGGTCTTCTACTTAGGTGTAAATACTTATCACTGTACTTGAATCACGATATGATACATACTGCAATACCTATTAAATTTGGCCAATTTTTGCATGAAGTTCTACATGTGACCAGGCGGAGAAGAGGTTGCTTTCAGCTTGTTTGTGGCTTAACTCTTATGCCTGCTAATTTAGGCTTGTTATAATGATTTGCCAACAGTATTATAAAATCAGATGAACCTTGTGGTGGTCAATAATATAATGCTAGCCAAAGTTGTATTATTCAGTGTTATGTCAAAGTTTTGTAGGTGTTACTGTTTAATACAGAATTGATACATGAATTGATACATGGGTAGGCGTATCATGTTGTATCGTCAGGTGTAATTGCATCACAGTGCATTGATACATCAGTGAATCTTGACACCCCTAATATGTTTTCTGACCAGTGCAACCTGTGGTGGCGGGGGCAGTTATGCCAAATGTCAAGCACATCAATGTATATGTCTGTTGTATGGAGGAAACTATTTGCCATATGTTAGCTATCATGTCAGAACAGTTTTTTGCTTTGAAAATGCACATGAATCATGAGGATGAAATTTTATGAGTGAAATTTCATTTCCAATTTGAACAGACAATGTCATGTAAAAAACTTCAGATTATTTCCTGATGCTACATCTATCAACAGAAGGTCTGTTGTAACGTGTGCCCCACTGAAGGACCTGTTGTGACATGTGCCCCACTGAAGGACCTGTTGTAACATGTGCCGCACTGAAGGACCTGTTGTGACATGTGCCCAACTGAAGGGCCTGTTGTGACATGTGCCGCACTGAAGGGCCTGTTGTGACATGTGCCGCACTGAAGGGCCTGTTGTGACATGTGCCCCACTGAGTGAAGGACCTGTTGTGACATGTGCCCCACTGAAGGGCTTGTTGTGACATGTGCCCCACTGAGTGAAGGACCTGTTGTGACATGTGCCCCACTGAAGGACCTGTTGTAACATGTGCCGCACTAAAGGACCTGTTGTAACTTGTGCCCCACTGAAGGACCTGTTGTGACATGTGCCCCACTGAGTGAAGGGCCTGTTGTGACATGTGCCCTACTGAAGGGCCTGTTGTGACATGTGCCCCACTAAAGGGCCTGTTGTGACATGTGCCCCACTGAAGGGTCTGTTGTAACATACGCCCACTGAAGGGTCTGTTGAAACATGTGCCGCACTGAAGGACCTGTTGTAACATGTGCCCCACTGAGTGAAGGACCTGTTGTGACATGTGCCCCACTGAGTGAAGGACCTGTTGTGACATGTGCCCCACTGAAGGGCCTGTTGTGACATGTGCCCCACTGAAGGACCTGTTGTAACATGTGCCCCACTGAAGGGCCTGTTGTGACATGTGCCGCACTGAAGGGCCTGTTGTGACATGTGCCCCACTGAGTGAAGGACCTGTTGTGACATCTGCCCCACTGAAGGACCTGTTGTAACATTTGCCCCACTGAAGGGCCTGTTGTAACATGTGCTGCACTGAAGGACCTGTTGTGACGTGCCCCACTGAAGGGCCTGTTGTGACGTGCCGCACTGAAGGGCCTGTTGTGACATGTGCCCCACTGAAGGGCCTGTTGTGACATGTGCCCCACTGAAGGGCCTGTTGTGACATGTGCCGCACTGAAGGGCATGTTGTGACATGTGCCGCACTGAAGGGCCTGTTGTGACATGTGCCGCACTGAAGGGCCTGTTGTGACATGTGCCGCACTGAAGGGCCTGTTGTGAAATGTGCCGCACTGAAGGGCCTGTTGTGACGTGTGCCACACTGAAGGGCCTGTTGTGACATGTGCCCCACTGAAGGGCCTGTTGTGACATGTGCCCCACTGAAGGGCCAATTGAAAGGCTCAATGCCACGTGTACCCAACTGAAGGGCTTAATGCTACATGTATCTAACTGAAGGGATTAATGCTACGTGTACCCAATTGAAGGGCTTAATGCTGCATGTACCCAACTGAAGGGCTTAATGCTACATCTCCTCTACAGCAGGGCTTAATACTACATGTACCCTACTGAAGGGCTTAATGCTACATTACCCAACTAAAGGGCGTACAGCTACATCTTACCTACAGCAGGGCTTAATGCTACATGTACCCTACTGAAGGGCTTAGTGCTACATGTACCCTACTGAAGGGCTTAGTGCTACATGTACCCTACTGAAGGGCTTAATGCTACATTACCCAACTAAAGGGCGTACATCTACATCTTACCTACGGCAGGGCTTAATGCTACATGTACCTTCTGAAGGGTTCAATGCTACATGTACCCTACTGAAGGGCTTAATGCTACATCTTCCCTACGGCAGGGCTTAATACTACGTGTACCCTACTGAAGGGCTTAATGCTACATTACCCAACTAAAGGGCGTACAGCTACATCTTACCTACAGCAGGGCTTAATGCTACATGTACCCTACTGAAGGGCTTAGTGCTACATGTACCCTACTGAAGGGCTTAGTGCTACATGTACCCTACTGAAGGGCTTAATGCTACATTACCCAACTAAAGGGCGTACATCTACATCTTACCTACGGCGGGGCTTAATGCTACATGTACCCTACTGAAGGGCTTAGTGCTACATCTTCCCTACAGCAGGGCTTCATGCTACGTGTACCCAACTGAAGTGCTTACTGCTACATGTACATGAAACATTTTTCAGTAATTGAATATGTTGGTCAATAAGTGTTTTGATTTGGCCAGGTGAGCTACATTTCCATGTAAACTGTTGTGGAGAATGTAATATTTGTTTTTGTTTACATGTTATGTTGTTGTGCTACTTGGAATATTTTCAAGCACTTTGTTTAGCTCACCTGGTCAACCCAGTCAACTTTATACACTACATAGTTTAGCTTAGTACAGTTTGAAATATGGCAAATTGTCTGTTCTACTTTTTTAGTTTTCAGATAAAAATGCAAACAAGTAAATACATTTTGGGCAATTCTGTTTTTGAGAACGTCTGATTGGAGACTAGTGTCTTGGTGAACTTAAGTAGCACAGTGATCACATGACCATGCCTAAACTGGTTGTGGTTTGGTTTTCCAAGTTTGATATATATTGATCAGTTTGGCCAAGGTTGATTAAAGATAATTCTACTTCACCATTAGTCAACTTCTCGAAAACTTCAATTAAAACCTGATGCGAACCAAATTTTAATTCCTGTAAAAGTTCTTTGTAAAGAATGATTGACACCAATCTCATTAAAATCGGATCTTAGTTCTCACTATTGCTAAACAGAGATCAGAGGACATCCCACTACGGGTCACGTCAGAACGACCTTTCATCCAACCAATCAGATCGTCACTTACCAGATCATGAAAGTGACAGTCGGAATGTGTTTTCTAATCATGCAACCTCAAAAACGTTAACACAGGGTATTCCGAACGACAGTTACGGCCTGTACGACTGATTCTGTCAAAATCATCGCCTATCTCTCGCTTCCATGGGAGAAACATTTAAAGAAAAGAGGCATTCCACAGTACATGGGAAGCACTGTCATACAATCTCAACCATATAATAGACATTCAGGAATGTTCATTTGATCAGTTTTTTAAATTTTAATCAAGAACTGTGTCAATATATTTTTCAAGTATAGTCTGAAATGGAAGTCGCCAGGTTGAAAAAGAGTGTTGTAAAACTCGAGAAAGCTGCTTTCTAATTGACTGATGTCAACTTGTTCGTCATTTCAGTGATCGGTCAAAGTTCGCGAAAGGTCGTTTTGACATGACCCATAATGGGATGTCCTCAGATCTTTGTTTAGCGATAGCGAGAACTTAGATCTGATTCTGATGAGATTGGATTGACACATTCCCCATTCTTGCATGGTTCAGGGGCATGTGTGATTCAGTGGTTTAAGGCACAGTGAATAGGTTTGTGTCCCTTAGCTGTGCCATGATCTGCTGATTGTGGGTTTAAATTCCGGATATGTTTCTTGGTTAGTCAGCACTTTGCTCCAGGTTTTACATAAGTGGTAAATTCATATGACCTGTGTCTCATTGGGTCTTCTTCTCACATGAAGCTGAAACACTGCGCAGAGTTGAGCTGATTCTTGGATGGAAATTGGGGGATTTTAAGTCCCATTAAAATCAGATCTTTTACTCCGATACAATACCGCTCTGCACGAAGACTTAAGAACACCAACATCACATCAGATGAACTCTCTTATGAGCCAACGCCAAAGCTTCTAAGTTCTTGATACAATTGAATATCAGACCAACATGTCTGATTCCTGTATCTTGAAAATGAATTTAATCGGGCTGTTCTGAATGTAAATGATATTTTTTGTCATTTCTACGATATGGTTAATGTCAAAGACCTGCATCACTTTGGGCTTTTCTCCCAAATTAAGCTGACAGGCCCTAACATAAATGGAAATACTGTTCAAAGCAGCGTTATTTGGGAGGAGGGTCTTTGACATTAACCACTTTGGGTGAAATCCAGGAGCATAGGCATGGTGCCAACAAACCTAAAACATAATAAGGGTGAATCTTGGATCCAAACCCACAACCAAAGGTTTCTGGCATGCCAAAGGGATGCAACTCCGAAAAGGGAATTTGTTACTGGACCACTCTGCCCCCTGATGTGATCTCACCAAAGGTCAGCATGTCATCGGATGGTTGACCATATGCCTGGTTATAAGTGTACTGTCCATGAATGCGAGGTTTGCACAAGTTGTTAGCGGCAGCCATGCCGAATGGGTTGTTTCGTTCTGTGATGTGTGTATCATCTTGTATTTTTGTATGCCATGTATGATGTGAGCAGCTAGTTGTATATTGTGACAGGACTGGTGTAATATAATCTTATCTATTTATTCTACATATGTTAAGAATGTATGTGTGCATGCTTGAAGCAACAGGGTTGAAAGTCGGCCATATTTCCAGGTCAACCTTCTCAAAGGTCAAGGTCACCCGTGCCAACTTCCACAAAGTAATCTTAGCCCTACAGTCATTGTTTGTCCGTGTTGAAGTGTAGGTGTTATGTAGTCTAAGCGCTAAGATCGTTTTGTGCAGGTGGGCCAAGCAGCCTGTATTGTAGATTTAAAGTAAAACGATATCACCAGCAGGTGATACGTATAATGAGTCAACTATATCAGTGTGAATCAGTCTTAAGGTATGTATCATAAGGTGACTGTACCAATATGTATCACAGAGCATGGGTACACAGGGTTAGAACTAAACTCAAAAGCTTTACTAGCTTGGGTAAAGATAAAATGCCAGGGTGATGTTAAAACAATGGGGAAATTGGGAAGTGTTTAGTTGCCCGCAGTAATTTGTACAAGGCCCAGCGGCAGCAGAAACTACCATTTTTTATCCACTAGTCCTTATAATGATAACATAGCAAAACCCTTTAAAATGGCAAATTTCTACTAGTCCACATGATACCTTAACAATTGTGCAGTTTGGCAAGGACTACAATAAAACCTCTTGAACTTGAACTTGAACTTCAGGACTAGTGTCAATTTCTAACGCTGCCCAGGCTAGCGGGCTAGTGTTAAGTTGTAACCCTGGTACATAGCAAGAGGTAACTATATTCATGTATTGCATGACGAGGATACGTATCTTGATATGTGTCATGGTGTAAGGATGCACTTAATGAACATCAATCTGACTCCTTACTGCATGACTGCTGATCACAGACCAGCTACTGGAGGACCTGTTGAGATTTAGTTTCCTCACGACTGCTGTGTAATTTCCATGTGTCTTGTCACCCTGTTGTTGGAGTGGCTGTCTGTCAGTGGTGTGTGTCGTCATCTGCTTACTGAAATAAACTCTGTCCACTGGAACCTGTTGAATCTTAATGTTCAGATTAAGAGCTCTTTGTTTGATAAAGAAATTTCAGGAAATTTCCATGTTTCAAGACAATTCAGGCATATGGATTACTTGCCGTTTTGTAACAAGAAATATGAAAGAGATACCCACATTTGGAAGTTTAAATGCAAATACACCTACTTACCCCTCAGAGGTCTCACAATGGAACCATGTACCCAGCTTCGCATATACCCACCGAGAATAAACATTTACCTTGTACGAATCAACAGATAAAAGTAAGTTTCAAATATTTTACAACTGTCACTGGGTTTAGACATCAGACTCTTTAAATTTATAAAATAACAAATTTCATTGAAATTTAAAGACTTGTAAAATTAGTGCAAAGCCTGTCATATGTGCACAATAAGTCACATAAACCAAGTGCTGCTTGATATTAACATATATTACATTGAATTTGTTACAAGAAACTACAAAGTCACCAGTTGGAATTGTGGGAGTGTTCATCTGAGATTACTCTTTCAAGATGGCAGCCTAATGCACAACACAACCAATTAGGAAAGCAGAGGCTGGGAGAACCAATTCATTATAAAGCTGTCAAATCAATTTTTAAAAAGTCATTCTGAAGCACAAATTTGATTTAGAACATCAGACGGAAGGATGGCAAGCAATAGGATGAAACAGACGAAGACGCAGGAGTGGTATCTTGATGACATCAGATGTGTGGAGTTATTTCCCCTTGGACTTAACTGATTTGTGTCCACTTATTGCATGAGGGTGAAACCCGAAGTGATGCACGTCTAAGATGTTTACCACATTGATACCACGGGTATGGCGCTGTCACACCAAGAAACAAACCAGGATTGGAACCCACAATCATAGGTTTCTGGCATGCCTATGGGACATAACTCTGCACAGCAAATTGCAGCGCCTCAGATATCTGGGTCACCCTTGTCTTAACTTGTGATGACTGATGTGCAGATTTACATCCATGGACTGCATTCACACTCAGCATGACTGAGCTTAGTTATATCAGCCCCCGAAAATGTGAGCATTTATACAAAGCGTTGTCTCCTCTCAACCATTCATTTTACAACAACATGGAAAACTGTCATGTTGCTTAAAGCATTTTTCATGCACAGTAAATTCTTTCCTTGAATCAGATATATATGCAATTGACATGTTATCTCTAGGAATGGCGGAAAAAGTTCACAAGCATCAATGTTCAGGTGTTTATTTCATTCACTATCAAACCAACAATACTACATTCACACAGTCTTGATTACATAGAGGATTTTGATTACATACTTGGCACAGTACAACAATATATCACTAATGATATTGGCTAAAATCTGTAAAAGCACTTTAACATGATAAAGCAAGCTGTCCATCACCTGCCCTGGTGTCTCGGCATCTGGACAGTACATTCCGCAACGATAACAAACACACTTTATTCCCATCAACTCACAGCTGAAGGAAGAGCCACTTGAAACCTTGAATACACAGGACAGATCTCTACCCTGGAGGGTGTCACACCTCAAGTTGCCTGTACAACACAGGACAGACCACTACCCTGGAGGGTGTCACATCTCATGTTGCCTGTACAACACAGACTCTACCCTGGAGGGTGTCACATCTCAAGTTGCCTGTACAACACAGGACAGACCACTACCCTGGAGGGTGTCACACCTCAGGTTGCCTGTACAACACAGACCTCTACCCTGGAGGGTGTCGCATCTTAGGTTGCCTGTACAACACCGGACAGATCTCTACCCTGGAGGGTGTCACATCTCAAGTTGCCTGTACAACACAGGACAGACCACTACCCTGGAGGGTGTCACACCTCAAGTTGCCTGTACAACACAGGACAGACCACTACCCTGGAGGGTGTCACATCTCATGTTGCCTGTACAACACAGACCTCTACCCTGGAGGGTGTCACATCTCAAGTTGCCTGTACAACACAGGACAGACCACTACCCTGGAGGGTGTCACACCTCAGGTTGCCTGTACAACACAGACCTCTACCCTGGAGGGTGTCGCATCTTAGGTTGCCTGTACAACACCGGACAGATCTCTACCCTGGAGGGTGTCACATCTCAAGTTGCCTGTACAACACAGGACAGATCTCTACCCTGGAGGGTGTCACATCTCAAGTTGCCTGTACAACACAGGACAGATCTCTACCCTGGAGGTTGTCACGTCTCAAGTTGCCTGTACAACACAGGACAGACCACTACCCTGGAGGGTGTCACATCTCAGGTTGCCTGTACAACACCGGACAGATCTCTACCCTGGAGGGTGTCACATCTCAAGTTGCCTGTACAACACAGGACAGACCACTACCCTTGAGGGTGTCACACCTCAAGTTGCCTGTACAACACAGGACAGACCACTACCCTGGAGGGTGTCACACCTCAGGTTGCCTGTACAACACAGGACAGACCACTACCCTGGAGGGTGTCACACCTCAGGTTGCCTGTACAACACAGACCTCTACCCTGGAGGGTGTCGCATCTTAGGTTGCCTGTACAACACAGGACAGACCACTACCCTGGAGGGTGTCACACCTCAGGTTGCCTGTACAACACAGGACAGACCACTACCCTGGAGGGTGTCACATCTCAAGTTGCCTGTACAACACAGGACAGATCTCTACCCTGGAGGGTGTCACATCTCAAGTTGCCTGTACAACACAGGACAGACCACTACCCTGGAGGGTGTCACATCTCAGGTTGCCTGTACAACACAGGACAGATCTCTACCCTGGAGGGTGTCACATCTCAAGTTGCCTGTACAACACAGGACAGATCTCTACCCTGGAGGGTGTCACATCTCAGGTTGCCTGTACAACACAGGACAGATCTCTACCCTGGAGGGTGTCACATCTCAAGTTGCCTGTACAACACAGGACAGATCTCTACCCTGGAGGGTGTCACATCTCAGGTTGCCTGTACAACACAGACCTCCCACTGGAGGTTGTCACGTCTCAAGTTGCCTGTACAACACAGGACAGACCACTACCCTGGAAGATTTCTTGTGATCTTTATACAATACATGCACAGCATCTTGCTTCTCTAGATAAGATAAAATGTCATTAGTACAAACAAAAATAATGTAACACAGATTAGATCAGGAAGCACATTTGATGGGTGTGGTATATAGGTAATACAGTATGGCACATCTGATAGGTACAAATTATGTAGTATAAATCTTATGAATGTGTGGCACATCTATGTGAAAGAACATATTTTAGGCCTGCACATTTCATCCACGTAGTATACTAGTACTATGGGTGTGCAGTGTCAACTCATCACTCACACAAAACAGTTTTAACAACAGAACACAGTGACCACAGTCCTGTAAAAGGCAATGTTTGATTTTAACATGAGTAAAAGTTTCTGTCATGATAAAGCCGCTCCTGTTATCATGGTAATATCATTGTAAGATTTTCCGTTGCTTGATTGGCGTGCTGCATCCCAAACAAACATTCACATGCAACCAACAAAAAAAGGTTATCTGGAATACAAATCGGTATAAAACATGCAACATATTCTCACACTCCTTCTACACTAAATTATGACTGAGCAAATCATCACTATAAAACAATACCATCCCTTTTGTTCATGTTGCAACCAGTAACTATTGTACCAGCTCTCCATTAAGGACAGGCTCCCATTCATCAACAATCTTCCTAGCATTTGGATCATAAGGCAGCTTTTAATCCTAATTATACCATCAACCATGTTCATGGATAAGTCCACTCATCAATCCTTATTTTTTACATCAACCATGTTCATGGATAAGTCCACTCAACAATCCCAATTTTATAATCAACCATGTCCATGGATAAGTTCACTCATCAATCCTTATTTTTTACATCAACCATGTTCATGGATAAGTCCACTCAACAATCCCAATTTTATAATCAACCATGTCCATGGATAAGTCCACTCATCAATCCTAATTTTATAGTCAACCACGTTCATGGATTAGTCCACTCAACAATCCCAATTTTAAAATCAACCATGTCCATGGATAAGTCCACTCATCAATCCTAATTTTATGATCAACCATGTCCATGGATAAGTCCACTCAACAATCCCAATTTTATAATCAACCATGTCCATGGATAAGTCCACTCATCAATCCTAATTTTATAATCAACCATGTCCATGGATAAGTCCACTCAACAATCCCAATTTTATAATCAACCATGTCCATGGATTAGTCCACTCATCAATCCTAATTTTATCCTCAACCATGTTTATGGATAAGTCCAATCATCACCCTAATTTTAACATCAACCATGTTCATGGATAAGTCCACTCATCAAACCTAATTTCACATTAGCCACATCCTGAAATAATTCAGCACATCAATACTAATCCATATAACTTCAACAACAACCATGTTCCAAATGACAGCTTATTAATCTTAAATTAAACATCAACCAATTTCCTTATATAATCATAAATTCTAATTTTGATATGTTCCAGGTGTAGGTCAGCTCGCCAAATACATGTGGCCTACAGAATGTATAAATATTGATTTTCCCAATTTGGACAATATGTCTACACACATTCCAGACACACAATATTGTGGTCATGCATAACAGACACACAATGCATCACCACACATTCCAGACACATAATATCAGTGTCAACACACAATCCAGAGACACAATCCAGACCCAATGTGTCAACACACAATCCAGACACACTATGTGTCTATACACAATCCGGACACACAGTGTGTCCACACACAATCCAGATACACAGCGTGTCCACACACAATCCAGACACACAGCGTGTCAACACATAATCCAGACACACTATGTGTCTATACACAATCCAGACACACAGTGTGTCCACACACAATCCAGATACACAGCGTGTCAACACACAATCCAGACACACTATGTGTCAACACACAATCCAGACACACAGTGTGTCAACACACAATCCAGACACACTATGTGTCAACACACAATCCAGACACACAGTGTGTCAACACACAATCTAGACACAGTGTGTCAACACACAATCCAGACACACTATGTGTCAACACACAATCCAGACACACAGTGTGTCAACACACAATCCAGACACACTATGTGTCAACACACAATCCAGACACAGTGTGTCAACACACAATCCAGACACACAGCGTGTCAACACACAATCCAGACACACAGTGTGTCAACACACAATCCAGACACACTATGTGTCTATACACAATCCGGATACACAGTGTGTCAACACACAATCCAGACACACAGTGTGTCAACACACAATCCAGACACACAGTGTGTCAACACACAATCTAGACACACAGTGTGTCAACACACAATCCAGACACACAGTGTGTCAACACACAATCTAGACACACAGTGTGTCAACACACAATCCAGACACACAGTGTGTCAACACACAATCCAGACACACAGTGTGTCAACACACAATCTAGACACACAGTGTGTCAACACACAATCCAGACACACAGTGTGTCAACACACAATCTAGACACACAGTGTGTCAACACACAATCCAGACACACAGTGTGTCAACACACAGTCTAGACACAGTGTGTCAACACACAATCCAGACACACTGTGTCAACACACAATCCAGACACACAGTGTGTCAACACACAATCCAGACACACTATGTGTCAACACACAATCCAGACACACAGCGTGTCAACACACAATACAGACACACAGCGTGTCAACACACAATCCAGACACACAGTGTGTCAACACACAATCCAGACACACTATGTGTCTATACACAATCCGGATACACAGAGTGTCAACACACAATCCAGACACACAGTGTGTCAACACACAATCCAGACACACTATGTGTCAACACACAATCCAGACATACAGTGTGTCCACACACAATCCAGACACACAGTGTGTCAACACACAATCCAGACACAGTGTGTCAACAAACAATCTAGACACACAGTGTGTCAACACACAATCCAGACACAGTGTGTCAACAAACAATCTAGACACACAGTGTGTCCACACACAATCCAGACACACAGTGTGTCAACACACAATCCAGACACAGTGTGTCAACACACAATCTAGACACAGTGTGTCAACACACAATCTAGACACACAGTGTGTCAACACACAATCTAGACACACAGTGTGTCAACACACAATCTAGACACACTATGTGTCTATACACAATCCGGATACACAGTGTGTCAACACACAATCTAGACACAGCGTGTCAACACACAATCCAGACACACAGTGGGTCAACACACAATCCAGACACAGTGTGTCAACACACAATCCAGACACACTATGTGTCAACACACAATCAAGACACACTATGTGTCAACACACAATCCAGACACACTATGTGTCAACACACAATCCAGACACACAGTGTGTCAACACACAATCCAGACACACAGTGTGTCAACACACAATCCAGACACACAGTGTGTCAACACACAATCCAGACACACAGTGTAGTCTCACACATTAGAGCTTGAACACATCCACGCAGTGAGCTGACCCTACACAAGACCTTCACATCAGGCACAATAATACCTGGTTATCACACACAGGAGCCTGTGCGTCGTCACACAGAAACTGGTTCACACATCACAGATGTGCTGGCCTTCGTCTGATCAGACAGGACCCGCCAACAGTTGTTAGTTCATAGTCTTGCTCAGATCAACTTTATCAGTGTCAACACAACAAAGTGACAAATTTTGGCAATGAAAAGAAGACTGAGAAGCACTGCAAATACTCCAGCGGGTGGAGTCAGTTGATATTATGCCCGACATCTAGCGCAGACAAATTTGTCCCTATGTACCCTCCGCGTTATGAGCGCACGGCCATCCACAGACAGCCAGCTGCTGTGGACCCCAGGGCCACCTTCCAGTACACAGCCCGGCCCTCCGACGTGGCCAGCACTGCTGTGAAGAGTCCACCCCAGAAGAGGAAGGCGGGCGCTGTAGAGATGAGGGGGAGACCTGACTTGACCCGCTTGCCGGGGAAACACTGGCGGGGCTCACTACAGCTGTTGTTCGGGGAGTAGAAGTGGGACAGCAGCCTGTGGAGATTGGATGGAACATCTCTAATGCTGATCACAGTAAACAACTGCACTCACAAGGTACAAAGTCGACTCAATGTTAGATGGATTTATCTTTAACAAAGGGTTTCAGCTTGACCACAAGTATTTTTAAAGAAACAGTGTACTTAATTCTTGATGTAAATGTCCCAGTGTAGCTCTACATAGAGATCTCATATTTAAACCCTTTCACCTCCAACCACCCATCAAAACACATACCTACCATCTCTCATCACATCTACCTACCCATCCATCCATCCCCTCTACCTACCCATCCATCCATCAAATCTACCTACCCATCCATCACCTCTACCTACCCATCATTCACATCTACCTACCCATCCATCACCTCTACCTACCCATCCATCCATCACCTCCACCTCTACCCATCCACCCATCACCTTGACCCCTTCATCACCTCTACCTACCCATCCATCACCTCTACCTGCACATACATCACCTCTACCTATCCATCCATCACCTCTACTTACCCATCCATCCATCACCTCTACCTACCCATTCATCCATCACCTCTACCTACCCATCCATCCATCACCTCTACCTTCCCATCCATCATCACCTCTACCTATCCATCCATCATCACCTCTACCTATCCATCCATCACCTCTACCTACCCATCCATCATCACCTCTACCTACCCATCCATCATCACCTCTACCCATCCATCATCACCTCTACCTACCCATTCATCCATCACCTCTACCTACCCATTCATCCATCACCTCTACTTACCAATTCATCCATCACCTCTACCTACTAATTTATCCATCACCTCTACCTACCCATCCATCATCACCTCTACCTACCCATTCATCCATCACCTCTACCTACCCATTCATCCATCACCTCTACCTACCCATCCATCCATCACCTCTACCTACCCATTCATCCATCACCTCTACCTACCCATCCATCCATCACCTCTACCTACCCATCCATCCATCACCTCTACCTACCCATTCATCCATCACCTCTACCTACCCATCCATCCATCACCTCTACCTACCCATCCATCCATCACCTCTACCTACCCATCCATCCATCACCTCTACCTACCCATCCATCCATCACCTCTACCTACCCATCCATCCATCACCTCTACCTACCCATTCATCCATCACCTCTACCTACCCATTCATCCATCACCTCTACTTACCAATTCATCCATCACCTCTACCTACCCATCCATCCATCACCTCTACCTACCCGTCCATCACCTGTACCTACCCATCCATCCATCTCCTCTAGCTACCCATTCATCCATCCCCTCTACCTACCCATCCATCCATCACCTCTATCTACTAATCCATCTATCATCTTTATCCATCCATAACCACTCTGATCTACTCACTTTTCTTTTTCCTGGAACCGGTGCTGCACCCACTGTGAGAGCTTTTCCTCTGAGTCGGGGACGTCAGACAGGGGCACACGTGCTATATGTAGATGGAGCTCTTTGCTGCTGCCCTGCAGGAAGTCTGTCAAACATAAACACCATCATCACCTCACAGACGAGTACCCGTACATATATCTATTTTTAAGAGTCGCTAGTTTTAACAAATGAATGAGGACACTTCGAGTACAATCAGCACTCTGTTTAGAGACCACAAATGGCAATGTTTCTCGCTTGACATTGTGTGCAACATGCTCCAAAACCCTGTGGTATCTGCTTTACACACATTGCCTCAATGCCAGGCAATGGTAGTGTGCCAACGATGTCCATGCATGGAGTATATTTGTTCATTTAACTTCAGTGAATGATACACAGCCTCATTTTATTAGCTGACATGTTACGACCACATATTGGCCCAGTGTATTCTATTCACAGGTGATGGATGGAGAAGCAAAGTGTATACATACATGTGGAGAATCAATGATGACACACTTAAAGTAACAAAACAATTTTAATCATGAAAAAAAGGTGCGGCTAAGCCTAGCTTCTGGTGAAATCGCTAGCTGTGAAATATACCTGGCATCCCTGGAGAGGTCAGTCTCTCCCCTGTTTCCTTGGCAACAGTGTTGCCATAGGCGATGGTGATATCATACACAGCATCCAGACAAGTCCTCATCTGCAGCAGCCCCACCTGCAGGGCTCGGTAGCGAGGGGTGAGGACGTGGTGGAGGACTGGGTAACCTGCAGGGGAAACAGAGCATTTCAGTGTAATAGTGGGGGAGAGTAAAACTTGGGGGGATTATATCAGAGGGGTCAGTGTTTATGATGAGCGATTGAGAGAAAAGAGGCATTAATTGGGATTCATACACGATAGAACTGAGAAAACTGACACACAAAGGACAACAGGAACGGATTGACACACATTTAAGGACAACAGGGAAACATTGACACACATCTTAAGGACAACAGGAGAGAATTGATACACGTCTTAAGAGGACAACATGAAAGGATTGACACACATTTAAGGACAACACGAAAGGATTGACACACGCTTAAGGACAACAGGAGAGAATTGATACTTGTCTTAAGGACAACACAAAAGGATTGACACACGTCTTAAAGACGCATGAAAGGATTGACACACATCCTAAGGACAGCAGGAAAGGATTGACACAAGTCTAAAGGACAACATGAAAGGATTGACATGTTTAAGGACAACAGGAGAGAATTGATACACGTCTTAAGGACAACACGAAAGGATTGACACACGTCTTAAAGACAGCATGAAAGGATTGACACACATCCTAAGGACAGCAGGAAAGGATTGACACAAGTCTAAAGGACAACATGAAAGGATTGACATGTTTAAGGACAACAGGAAAGGATTGACACAAATCTTAAGGACAACAGGAAAACATTGAAACACATTTAAGGACGAGAGGAAAGGTCTGACACAAATCTTAAGGACCAACAGGAGAGAATTGATACAATTCTTAAGGACAACAGGAAAGGATTGACACACGGCATAAGGACAACACAAAAGGATTGACACACGTTTAAGGACAACAGGAGAGAATTGATACATGTCTTAAGGACAACACAAAAGGATTGACACACATCCTAAGGACAACAGGAAAGGATTGACACATGTCTTAAAGACAAAAGAAAAGGATTGACACACATCTTAAGGACAATAGGAAAGGTCTGACACACATCTTAAGGACAACAGGAAAGGATTGACACAATTCTTAAGGACAACAGAAAAGGATTGACACACGGCATAAGGACAACAAGAAAGGATTGAAACATCTTAAGGACAATAGGAAAGGATTGACACATGTTTAAGGACAACAGGAAAGGATTGACACATCTTAAAGGACAATACAAAAGGATTGACACATGTTTAAGGACAACAGGAAAAGCGTGACAAACATATGGAAAATGGAAGTTCTTCTCACAGACTGAAAGCACACAGCATCCTACCTTGAGCCTTGGCGTAGTCCTGACTCTTCTTGATGACCTCCGGCAGCTCAGGGTTGAAGCGTGTGCCTTCTGGAAACACCACAAACCATGTCTGAAACACACAGCACAGCTGGCGGTCAAACAAACTGGCCAGCCCTTGAAACTCGGATAGCCAAAATAACCATGCTGCCAACACAGAGGATGAACAATGAAGCAGGCATAATTGAAGACAACTTACATCAATGTGTTATCAAACATAATTGAGACCAGACAACTGGATAGGTCCATGGTGTTATGTCATTAATTTCTTTGTTTGTTTGTTGTTCATTAATAATAACACAAGATCATAACATGAAATGTTAGCCCCAGAATCTTTGGTCTATCCACTGTTACCGACCGAGGTAGAGTGTCCGCCCGGAGAGCGGAAAGTCTGGGGTTCGATTCCGCTGTGTCATACCAAAAAAACGTTAGAAGGTGGTACTTGTTGTTACCCTGTCTAGCCCTCGGCATTAAGGGGCTAAAACAAGGACCGGTCTGCTGGGAGTCAGTCCACTGTGTCTGAGTGTGGTTTTCATGTTAAACTATGGCATGGTATGTCAGTGGGCTAGCACTTTAAAATCGGCATTAGCCTAGACTAGTACAAACAGCCACACAAACACACATGTGCATGCAATAAGTGCAATAATCCTGGACGCGATGTTGAATCCCATTTCACCTCACCTATCCATTGTTACATGTAATGAATAAGAAAGTGGAGGCTTGGGCATTGTCAGGTTACACTGTTGTACTGTAGATCTTGAAAATAATGTGAGTGAAATTAATCAAAAAAATGCAAGTGGTCTTTGCTCGCATTAAACTGCATTAAACTACACATTTATGTCTTAAAATTGACTGTTAACAAGAGGACCTCCCGTCGTATCCCTTCAGGTGAATGACTGACTGAGTATGGTTTTATGCCGCTTTTAGCAATATCACGGCAGGGTGGGGGACACCAGAAATGGGCTTCACACATTGTACCCATGTCGGGAATCGAACCTGGGTCTTGGCGTGACGAGCAAACAATTTAACTCAGGTGAATGAAGAGCTGATAACAAACCTGTTCAATAAAAATGTGAAATTAGTGATAAAACATCACTAGACATGATGATTTACCATTTACATTGTGTTTCCTGTTCTGCTAGGCATTGTTTTACATGCAGAGATTAAGATTACCATGTGTATTTTGACGTAAACAAAGCCAGAAATAGCAATCAGCTGTACACACATTTTCTCACAGATCTACCAGTGATTAAGTTAAAAAATACCAAATAATATATCTCAAAAACAATTTGATGCTATGATTGGAAGAATTTGTATCTGAAACTATTTTACCAGGAATAATATATTCCAATATTGTGTTATTTTAGTTGCAGCTTTTACTCGATGAAATTAATGTAAACAATATTGAATGAAATTTGGAGCTTACTTTGGCATGTTGGATTACGGAAATACTAACCATGCTAACATCAATACAAACAAAACGTATCTGTTCCACATCACGGTATATTGACCAACAGTTGTAACACGAACATAACAAGAAAAATTCAAATGAGAAATTACGCAATGGACATCGGTTGAGGTTTATTTACGGTGCTCTTTGTTGTTTGATTTGATCAAGGTTCATTTAAATACTTTTCACATGTACCCCATGGAAGTCATTTGTTCTCTCCAAAATTCCACATGGGTTGGGGGGACTAATAATATTAAGTCACATTTTGGGCTGGGGGTCTGGGGTCGCATTAATTAAGAGACACATTATTCTCCAGATTTACAGTCTCTGTGTATCATGGTATTACACTGGTTGCACTTCTGAACTTACGGGAGTCTTGTCTCTCTGTAGTCTCTCCAGCTGCCGACTGGCCCGATCTTTATCAAACTTGCCACTTCTCTTCACATACAAACAGTCATGCTGGAAAAGTAAATCTGAATATACACATGTATTATCATTATGGTTCAACATCTATGTCCATCATGATAAGTGTCAATCGTAAGGGCATGACAATCGAGTGAATCCTACAGACTTTACGAAAGGCCAGGGATTTACCTGGGTCTGACTATTTGTTAAAATTAACAGCCACTCCCCGGGACTAACTGCCTCAAATGTACCAGTCCTAGCCGAATTTCATTAGCACCAATAAATATCTACGGGTAAATAGAAACGCTGCTACAAGCCATTGTTATTTGAGTGAGTTGGCGAGCTTCTAAGTTCTCTAGGACATCATCCATGTGTTCCTATTCCATGAACATGATGAAAGCCACAAGGTCTTGTGCTCACTGAGAAAGGACCCCATCATGCCTATGGGGATTTCAGGATAGAATAGGTCCCCAGCAACCAATGCTTGTTGTAAGAGGCGACCAAATGATTTGGGCAGGGTTAGAACTTTACACTAGTCTGTTAGCCCGTGGCTAGTACAAGTTCCGGCAGGCTAGTACAAATTTCCCAATTTCACCATTATCTTAACATTACAAGGGCATTTTATCTCTACCCGGGCTAGTAAATCTTGTAAGTTTAGTGCTAACCCTGCTGGGTGAGCAGGTTCCATGACTCAGCTGTACCCCCACAGTGTAGATTATTGCTCATGATATCAAGGGCTGGATTATCCACCCCAGACTCTATTTACAGGTCACTGTCATAGAGTTGGAATATTGTTGAGTGTGGCGTTAAAGAATTAACAAACCCACTCTGACCCAGGATCATGGCAAACCTGGGATCAAACCCAAGACCCGGTTCCTGCCACAATATGCAAACTAATCATATTTACTTATATCATCAGATGCTGCATTGCCAATGTTCAACAAAGGTTTTAGACTTAATGGACTTGTGAAAAATGGAAATTTCAAAGACATGAACAAACATGTCAGTACTGACCTGTGCCAGATAGAATCCATATAGGGGAAAGAACCTGAGACCATCTTTCAGCACGTAGCGGAGAGTGCCCAGCATTCCCTGCCTCACAGCCAGCATGTCACACACAACCCAGTCCACTATGCACAGAAAAGACATTGTGTTGGTCAGCACATAAGACACCAATCACTGCTGAAGACACTTCAGATCTCTCCTGTGTGCATACTTTCCAATCATGCCTGCACATTTTCCAATCACTTCTGCAGACACTTTCCAATCACTCCCATAGACACCTCCCATCACTCCTGTAGACACCTCCCATCACTCCTGTAGACACCTCCCAATCACTCCTGTAGACACCTCCCATCACTCCTGTAGACACCTCCCAATCACTCCTGTAGACACCTCCCAATCACTCCTGTAGACACCTCCCAATCACTCCTGCAGACACCTCCGAATCACTCCTGCAGACACCTCCCTATCACACCTGTAGACACCTCCCAATCACTCCTGCAGACACCTCCCAATCACTCCTGCAGACATCTCCCAATCATTCCTGCAGACACCTCCCTATCACACCTGTAGACACCCCCCGATCACTCCTGCAGACACCTACCAATCACTCCTGCAGACACCTCCCTATCACACCTGTAGACACCTCCCTATCACACCTGTAGACACCTCCCTATCACACCTGTAGACACCTCCCAATCACTCATGTAGACACCTCCCTATCACACCTGTAGACACCTCCCTATCACACCCGTAGACACATCCATAACATGCCATCTCATCGAACTCATTCCTCTTCCACAATAACATTTTCCATGGTCAGTGGTTATTATTTCATGATTATTTAACCCCACTGTATCAAATATTGCAGAGCAGATAACACATAGAACATAGGCCTTAACTTTGTATAGTTCTAGCAGGCATTGTTGACCTACCTGTACACTGGTGGTTGGACATATACAGAACATTCTCCTTCTTGGATGTCAAGACATCTGTGTCCCCATACAGGTAAATCTGGCACACGGGAAATAGTAGAAACCGTGAGTACTCTTCACATTTATGTATGAGACATACCATATTCGACGTAATAAGCGCCCATGGCGATATTTGCTGATATATTGGCTGGTGAACAATCCCAATTAGCACCCCTTCCGATTGATCAATGTACACAAGACTTATTTATTTGCGTATAATACACAGTTGTGTGTTATATGCACCCTTAATTATGGGCAATTAAATTCTGGGAAAATATATCTGTCGTACATAAACATTTCAGGCTGTCACCATAAACAACGAAATTTATCTTTCAAATCTGTTTTTTTTCACCAAAATAATATTCTAATAAGAGCCCCCTATTTCTAATTTTGAGAGCGCCCTGGGCACTTATTACGTCGAATACGGTATAAGTTGCATATCATCATTGTGATCATAGACACTGGAGGACAGATATTGACACGCCGAGTAAAGTGCATCATTTAAGTAATAATACTAATATTCCCATATTATCACGACAGGGGAAATGGGCAATTTAATACTGAGACTAAAAATAAAACAATTGAAAAAAAGAAACTGGTAAAATAGGGGCTAAAAAATTCAAACAAACATGGTGAATAATACAGATCATGTAGAGGCAGGCAACTGCAGTATGGGTATGGCAGGGATGGATATGGCCACTAGTCAGTATGTCCGAGTCTAGTAAAAACCAACATGTAGGGCAAACATGTAGTTAATTTTCTAAAAAAGAAATATCATGTTATTTTTAATAAACAACTACGGTGAAATGGGCTCTATTTAGGGTGAATTTCATAATTGAAACCCATAGTCCATTTCCTGGCCTAACCTTCATAAACAGATTAACAGGGGCTTATAGTCTGTGGGGGTAGGAGCATACACTGTGGGGGTAGGGGCACAGACTGTGGGGATAGGGGCATACAATGTGGTGGTAGGGCATACACTGCGATGGTAGGGGCATACACTGCAAGGGTAGGAGCATACACTGTTTGTTTGTTTGTTGTTAAACCCCACACTCAGCAATATTTCAGCTTTATGACGGCGGTCTGTAAATAATCAAGTCTGGACTAGACAATCGAGTGATTGACATCATGAGCATCGATCCACGCAATTGTGATACAATGACAGCATATACTGGTGTGGTAGGGGCATACAGTGGGGTAGGGGCATACACTGTTGTGGTAGGGGCATACACAGTGGGGGTAGGGGCATACACTGTTGTGGTAGGGGCATACACTGTGGGGGTAGGGACATACACTGTGGGGGTAGGGGCATACACTGTTGTGGTAGGGGCATACACAGTGGGGGTAGGGGCATACACTGTTGTGGTAGGGGCATACACAGTGGGGGTAGGGGCATACACTGTGGGGGTAGGGACATACACTGTGGGGGTAGGGGCATACACTGTTGTGGTAGGGGCATACAAAGTGGGGGTAGGGGCATACACTGTTGTGGTAGGGGCATACACTGTGGGGGTAGGGACATACACTGTGGGGGGTAGGGACATACACTGGGAGTAGGGCATACACTATGGGTGTAGGGGCATTCACTGTCGGGGTAGGGGCATACACTGTGGGTGTAGGGGCATTCACTGTGGGGGTAGGAGCATACACTGTGGGTGTAGGGGCATCCCAGCTAGCACACCTACATCGGGCCGATGTTGGCTTTGCATCGACAACCGCCGGCAATATCGGCATCGGCAAACTGCAGCGGTGCTGGTGATTGGCACTGACACTATTGAACCTGATATATGATTTGATCTTGTTATGATAACATAAAAGAAAAAAAACATTTGTCGATTACAATGGGACAAATAATAGATCAAGTATATTTACGAATAATATAATAATTCTTTTCGAACTCAAAATATAAACTTTATTTTTAATTTTTAAATTAAATAGATCAAGCACATTCACTGACCATTTTAGCTGCACATATACAACAGACAGAGAAGATACAGACGGGATTCGTCACATCTTACAATTCATTCAGCAAATTACATGATGTTGGCAAAAGTTTGGAATATCGCGAGCGGTTATGTTACGTTGGTCCAACGTTTTCACAACATGTTTCAAGGGAAGCTACTCTTGTAATAGAGGGCGCTGTTACTCACGCGCGTCTTTTCAAGCAGACGACGAAAGGATGATGCGTGGAGGGCTGAGGGAAAACCTATTTTGCGGTAAGTGTTTACTTCATTACTGTATTTACGAGGTGTTTATATTATTTCATTTTCAAACCTTAAAATTGAAACGAGAAACAGTGTTCATTCATAAGTGTCAACGTGAGTAGAGAAATCTAGGCCTATGTGTTTTGAAAGTTCGAGAAACACACTCCTGTCAATTCTACGCCAGTGACAAAATCCGTGGAATATGTCGTGACACTGCATCCCGACTAGATTCTCTATTTATATATTTTTAACACCATATACATATTTCTAGCTAAACGCGGGGACAAGGGCAAATACAAAACATGACAAGATATGTTTTATTTCCATGTAGATTCAGCGATGTTCAACCAACGAGTCGCAATCTCGGAGTGAGAGTATTATTACACTGGCAAGCAAATGAATAGCCAAACAATTACTTACATTAGTATTTTTGAATGAACATTGCTTTATTTTCCATTGTCACAGGCGTAAGTGTGGGGATGGATGAGGTTAGGAAATTGATTACAAACTCGAATTTACAAGTCAATTTTGTGATTGCTGTCAGCGCAAAAAGTAGTGAACATGAAATTCATAACGAGGCTTTCGGAAACTTTCAGCATTGCGTGTGCATGTCATGCGATCCAGCTAATGTTCCTTCTGATCGATGAACGGAGCTACACTGCCAAGTTCAGTTTTCGATCACCAAAAAGTTGAAATAAAAAAAATAAAATTGATGTTTTGTAGTATGGTAGTCTTATCTAGTTAAGTAATTTAGCCTATGATGTACATTTGTGATGAAATACTGAATTAAATATTTGTTAAATGTGCTATTTCAAAGGTATGATGCTAAATATATAATCCAAGACAATTTAGAATGTCATTTATTTAATCAAAATTCAAATTAATGGTAAAACTTTGATGAAGATACTTCAGTACAGATTTTTCAGGACATTATCCATTGTAGAAAATCACCCAGAGCCTTGTTTCAAATTTGATTTATTCTAACTAAAGATATATTATTTCAGTTTATCATTATCCCTTTTCCTATGTTTACAAGCAATGAAACTGTGCATAAGATTACTTGTCCCCAATACTTTCCTGCTATTTTTTGCATACAAGTGTTTGTAATATGTACATACCTTTGTATCTGATCTTTTAATGATAAACGTTTATTTGCAGTTTTGGTTTACCATGATGTAATCTACATATATTTTGGTATCATACAATAAATGAAATCTGTTTTGTGGTAACCAGACTTCACAGGATCTGTTCAATATTATGTCAATATGGGGATTTTCTCACTGCTTTTCAGGGATGGGGCTATGGCTATTAAAGTGAAACTACTTTCCCTGGGAAATTATTTCTGCTACATGGCTCCAGATAAGGACTGTATGTACAAGTGCTACACTGTATGTACAAGTGCAAATATACGAGATAAGATGTATGAATTAAGGAAAGGACCTGATGTCTGTGTATGGCCAAAGCTTTATTTAAATGTTACTTTTATGTTTTGAGCAATATTCCCCTCAACCTCTTGACATCATCACCATAATAGCTAAGTGCTCACTGCTGCTACACAAACTTGATATATAATATTCTTATATTTCTATTTAAGAAATCCAGATGTTCAGCCATTGCCTATTGGCAAACATGGATGAGCTGAATGAACTGTTAGCAGCTTTTCCAAAATCGAGCAACTGAGAGAGCACTGGTGAGTGGATTAAATTTCTTTAGATGTATTAAGTATGGGATATTTACTCCAATTTTGATTCATATAGAAGATCCAGGGCAGAAGATATCTTCAGCAACCCATGCTTGCCGTAAGAGGCAACTATATGCTTGTCGTATGAGGCGACTAATGGGATCGGGAGGTGAGGCTCTCTGACTTGGTTGATGCATGTCATCGATCCCAATTGCATGGATTGATGATCATGATGTTAATCACTGGATTGTCTTGTCCAGACTCGATAATTTACAGACCGCCGTCATATAGCTGGAATGTTGCTGAGTGAGGGGTTAAACAACAAACCAAACCAACTGATACATGTTTCTGCTTGAAATATTTATAAGCATATATTTAATATCATGTTTGCCCTATTAAGGGCCCCTGACACTATACTATGGTAATCTTCCAAATGAAATTTCATGCTGACTTACTATTGATGGACATACAAGAGAGATTGCACACCTAAAACGGTTCTCCAGCAAGATTGGAGGAGGGGGGTTATGTGGTAATTGGGGATGTTTATTGGGCTAAATTAATAGGGTGATATGTCAGTTCTAAAATCCTTTTTTAATTGACATAAGAAACAGATTAGGGACCTACCATACAATATTGGAAGTTGTTATGTTATTTGCGTATATAATTACACATAATTCAATTTACTTATTTACACATATTATTAACTCATCAATTTACTTACTGGGATTCCGATAATTCTATGGTGGGGCCTTCTGCTTTTAGCCCCTAAATTTCGAAAAAGGCCCACATTTTCAAATACAATGGGGCTTTTTAACATTGTGCTGTATGGGCAAGTGCGGGTGTACCTAGGGAATATATGAAATTGTCACATAAAGGGCCCATGGCAGAATATTCCTTGAGTGAACCCTAGGGCTGCAACGAATACACTATGAGGCGAATACGATTCATATCACGAATATAGGGTAACGAATACGAATATTAATGAACAATTACAAAAACAAGTCAGCAGTTTATGTATTATTTATTATATTCAGTGAAACAATAATAACATAATAAATTAATTTATTTGACATGGTTTGTTAATTATTAATAAATTATACATTTATATACTGCACCTATCCAGGTACTAGTATCTGCTCAAATGCGACAATGACCAGTGAAAACAATACTATCAAATTATATATTATTAGAGTGTTTTCATTGAAAGAATCTGTGCATATAATATGTTGTTATAGATATTTTTAGGTACAGGGTATGTAAATATATATGATAGCATATTCATAAATATTCGATTCTAGTGGCCATGAATAACGAATTCAATTCATGAATGGTTACGGATCGATTCACCGAATACGCAAGTGAATCGTAACAGCCCTAGTGAACCCTGTATTTATTAACAGGTGTCAAGACTTAAAATAATATATACACACATATGTAAGGTGATGCATGTGAACAGGGTATTACGTATTCTATTATTCCATTATGTTATCAATAACTTGTTTTGACACAATTGTGAAGTCCATTACTTGTAATTTTGAGAGTGCATGCAATGACTTATAATATGCACACTGACATTTCTTGCTATCATTTGTAAACAGAAGCTGAGGAGGAAGCCTGCAGTTGGGCTCTTACAAGCCACTGACAAGTACATGGTGACCTGTGTAAAAGAATGGCTTCGAGTTCCAGGAGCAAGGCTTAGAAATGGCATAAGGAAAACGCGTACTGAAAAACAGAGGTGTAGATAGAGAATCTGCAAACAAAAGTGCTGAATTGCAACAGAACAAAGAAATCCAAAAAGTTGGTGTTGACAACATATTTTTCACAGGGTTATGACCCTTGTTTTTGAACTTGGTACATATACTGCCAGGTTCTCCTGGACACTACTGAAGTTAATAAATGAAACTGTCTGTGCTTATCTAAGGTACAAACGCAATAAGATGGTTATAAGAACTTATTTTGTATGGAGTTATGGCCTTTGCTTCATGCTTTTTTAACTTGATGAAATATAGGGGGAAACAGTTTGTCTCACAAACGAATTTGAAGCCACATAAATGAAATTTTGCAGGCCAATATTAGGGGTATATGTTTAGACTGTGTTTTAAAACTGGTTTTGAGAATATATGTTTCACATCCGCCTTGTTGCAGGTAGTAACACTGTTTTCTTGTTAATAATAATTAATTAATAATAAAGTTTATTATTCTATTTTGCTCTTTGTGTTTATTTATAAGTATTAACTACACATGTATTAGGGTACATAAAAAATAGTATTGTAACTAGTGTAAGCATTTCGATTGTTTTGTACAGCTAGAAGTATTTATATTACTTACATTTGGTTTTCAAAGTATCAACTATGATAAAAAATTATTATCTTTTTAAAAATTCAGTATTTTTTAGTTTTACCTTTTATCTTTGTAACTTTACATCACGGCTAGCTGGAGCCTTTAGAAATGTTTAGTTTTATGTACCCTAACACTACACTTGGAAAAGTTCTATTGTGGCATCATTTACATGAAATATTCAGATGAGATGTTGTCAGTTATGACTTCTGATGACATCAGCCTATTTAAGATAATGGCAGATGGCAGATGCTGCGCTGATAATTATTGCCGACGTTGGGCCGATGTCCATCCGATGCTGATTCCATAGCAGTTGCCCATTTCTGGCCGAAGGCTGGCAAGATAACTATTTATGACGTTGAGCATGTCAATCCGATGAGCAAAACTTCATTGGCCGACAATGCTTGCTGACGCTGGGCCAATGCTCGGCCGGTGCATTGCCAATGCAGGGCCGATGATGTTTGCCGACGTTGGGCCAATGTCGATCCGATGAGCAAAACTTCATCGGCCCGACGATGTTTGCCGACGCTGGGCCAGTGCAGCACCGATGCAGGGCCGATGACGTTTGCCGACGTTGGGCCGATGTCGATCTGATGAGCAAAACTTCATCGGCCCGATGCAGTTTGCCGACGTTGGGCCGATGGTGTAGCCGACGTTGGGCAGCTGCAGGGCCGATGATGGCATGCTACCTGGGATACACTGTGGGGCTAGGAGCATACACTGTGGGGGTAGGGACATACAATGTTGGGGTAGGGGCATACACTGTGGGTGTAGGGGCATACACTGTCGGGGTAGCGGCATACACTGTGGGGGTAGGGGCATACACTGTGAGGGGAGGGTGTACTCTGTGGGTGTAGGCATATGACAATGTGGCGCAAACACTTGTTGACAAGTGTCAAACTGAACTCAAACTAGTGCTGGGTTTGTAGACCGAACTGATATCTCTGATATCATGCATACACTTGCTGCTTCGTTTTATATTTCCAAATTTATTTGTTTTTGGTACTTTTTACTCAAACCCATCATTTCAGGATAAGTGCTCGCGTTACTCAAAGCGACCTTGGCGCTATGACTATCTTAAATGTTAAAGTATGGTGCGTTACCATCTTTATGGGAGCGATCTTAGAGCTAAGACGATCGTAACTCCCATAACACAGACTTAGGACAATCGTAGCGCTAAGATCACTTCGTGGAACGGGGCCTGATGCCAAATATTTTGCATCCAAATTGCGCAACATTTAGCCTTGCGCCAACGTGGACACCGCATATATTGTGCTTTTTTTTAACAAACAAAAGCATAACTTAAGTGAAAAGTAAAACTGCATGCACCTTACCTGTACTCCTGTGTAGTTCTCAAAAAAAAATAGTATCAGTCGTTGGTAGGCCGAATATAAAAGGTCGTCCCCGCGTCGGTAGTAACGCCTCGGTAGAATTGCAGTTGCCATTCGCACCGCCATCCAAGCGGTGATGTAGGCAGGGGCTGACCCCAACATAACCGCAGTCGGGACCACCCATCTCAGTGACTGCAGATACACCAACAATGACAACAACATCGCCGACCTGTCAAATGTGCTCCACAACCATGTGAGAAAAACGGAAGTGGGAGATACCGGCGATACGCATGCGTCTCGTCCTGCTGATTTCACCTTTGACCTCTGCGTGACGTCACAGATGTAAACTTACCCACGTGCGTAGAGTGAGTGGACTGGATCGGTCGCTGTCATGTCAACTGGTGACTTGATGAGAAATTTACACTTTTAGATGTCGACAGTTAGCCTGGTGTAGTGACTCCGCGATGAAGAAAAAAGGCGACAAAGACAGGTCGTCATCTTCTGTTGCGCAGAAAGAGCCCAATGATGCCACATCTCTTCTGAAGAAAATAACTCCCAAACTCAAAAGGGTACTTTCTAACGTTTGTTTTCGTAGGCCAGACCTACTGAAGCGTTAAATATTTAACAAAAAAAATATTTTTTTGATTAACAAATGACAAATTTAAACATTTCTATATTCTGATCATGCTTCGGGAAGATGCTATAATTCAGGAACTCTGAACAGGTGAATTAATATCAAATAATAATAAAGGAGAAATTCTTTTACATGTATACTTCTGTGTGAAGGAAAATATACAGACCCTGAAAATTAGTAAAAACAGGTTATCCCAGGGCTTTTATTTTCTGAAAAAACATTTTCCCTGAAAAAATGACAGCAGAATAACTATTGGATAGTAAAAATAAATGACCAAATGAAAGCAGGTGTTGTTAATGTGTTGTTGATGCAGCATAAATACTAATACATCGAAGGTCATTACAATATTCCACAGGCATATATATTTGTTACATGTTACATCTCAATGTCATTCTATTAAATGGGACTGGCAGACTAGCTACTCATATGGATATATTGAGGATTTTTTTCAAATTATCTTTCATTAAAACTCATCTCTAATCACTTCAATTGTTTCAGTTAGGCCAAATGATTTTTTTTTAAATTTTAATATGCCTACCAACATCATCGATGCAGAAAGCTATGTAATTTGATGTCTTGGTTAATTTTTATTCATATGAACTTTCGAGGTAAATATTCATGAAAAATACAAACAAAGTTATTTTGAAAATGAGCATGTTTTCTTTCAGACAGCATTATCATGATTATGTTTTTATTTATTTTTTCAACATTTGAGCAGACAACTCCTTACCAGCCATGCATAGAATGACATTTCCTTAAACATTGTAAAGAGGACTCTGCCAAATTGCCTGGTGACTAGATATTGAAACTGAGACATTGTCTGTATGTAATTAGGAAGTTGTTATTTGTTAAGTTCATGTGCATCATAAAGTTTGTGTTATAGCAGAGAAAAGAGGTGTTTTTAAACAACTGGAATTCAACTGGCTGGGGCTGCCAATTCGTCTGATGTGTATTAAGTCATTAAGCCATAAAGAGATCACCCGTGTAAATGGGACTACCATATTCGACGTAATAAGTACCACGCTCTAATAAGCGGCAACAGCAATATTTGCTAATATATTGGCTAGTGAACAATCCCAATTAGCACCTCTTCCGATTGATCAATGTACACAAGACTTATTTATTCGCGTATAATATGACATGTGTTAATACCCTTATTTATGGGCAATTAAATTCTGGAAAAATATATGTCGTACATGCACACTTCAGGATGTCAGCATAAACCATAAAATTTATCTTTCAACTCTGTTTTTTTTCCACCAAAATAATATTCTAATAAGAGAAAATAATATTCTAATAAGAGCCCTCTATTTCTAATTTTGAGAGCACCCTGGGCTTTTTACGTGGAATACGGTACATTTTACTACATTTTACATCACTACTATTTTCCACAAGACAGAGATGCATAGACACACTATGCATTCATCTTAAAACTGTGATGCGCTATAATCTATCCGTTGAAGCATGCTCAAAGCAGTACAATGTACCAATGTATGATGCCTATATAGAAAGGAGAGACTGATAATTGATGGGAAATATGGACAAATATGAAAGTTGGAATGGATGGGTTTTGAGCATGGATCTAAATTCTTAAGAGGGTTGGTAGTCTGTTCCACAATGTTGGCGATGCAACACAAAAAAGATCTTGACCAAACTGTTTCATCTTGGATTTTTATCAAACTTTAAACTTTTGAACTGTTTGGATATGTATTTGTTTCCATAGAAACTTTAGTCACAGGATATATACTCCACACAGACAAATACCCAAGGAGAATATATTTTATTTGCACATTAATACTTGATGCACCATAAAGGTTGGGTTTTTTTAAATTGCCAAATATTCTGAATAAAATTACTCTTGATGATTTGCTATCAACTAATATGCTGTTGGTGTTTCAGTCTACATATGAGCTCACCAGTGATGAGGACAAATCCCCTTCGTCCAAGGTTACCTCTAGACAGGTCTCCACCTCAAGCCTCGAGAAGACAGGTGAGAGAGGGATGGTTGTTAGGGGGAGACATATGGACGTTATGGTTGTCAGGGATGGGATGCTTGTCAGGTGATGTTTGTCAGGAAGGAGGTGGTTGTCAAGAAGGAGGGTGGAAATATGGATGGGTCTAATGGACGTTAGAGAGGTAGTGCAGGTGGTTGTCAGAGTGGAGTTGGTGCAGGTTGTTGTCAGGGCAGAGGTGGTGCAGATGGTTGTCAAGGCAGAGGTGGTGCAGATGGTTGTGAGGGTGGACGTGATGCAGGTGGTTGTCAGGGCGGAGGTGGTTGTGAGGGTGGACGTGGTGCAGGTGGTTGTCAGGGTGGACGTGGTTGTCAGGGTGGACGTGGTGCAGGTGGTTGTCAGGGCAGAGGTGGTTGTGAGGGTGGACGTGGTGCAGGTGGTTGTCAGGGCAGAGGTGGTTGTGAGGGTGGACGTGATGCAGGTGGTTGTCAAGGCAGAGGTGGTTGTGAGGGTGGACGTGGTGCAGGTGGTTGTCAGGGCAGAGGTGGTTGTGAGGGTGGACGTGGTGCAGGTGGTTGTGAGGGTGGACGTGGTGCAGGTGGTTGTCAAGGCAGAGGTGGTTGTGAGGGTGGACATGGTGCAGGTGGTTGTCAGGGCAGAGGTGGTTGTGAGGGTGGACGTGGTGCAGGTGGTTGTCAGGGCGGAGGTGGTTGTGAGGGTGGACGTGGTGCAGGTGGTTGTCAGGGCGGAGGTGGTTGTGAGGGTGGACATGGTGCAGGTGGTTGTCAGGGCAGAGGTGGTTGTGAGGGTGGACGTGGTGCAGGTGGTTGTCAAGGCAGAGGTGGTTGTGAGGGTGGACATGGTGCAGGTGGTTGTCAGGGCGGAGGTGGTTGTGAGGGTGGACGTGGTGCAGGTTGTTGTCAGGGCGGAGGTGGTGCAGATGGTTGTCAGGGCGGAGGTGGTTGTCAGGGCGGAGGTGGTGCAGGTGGTTGTCAGGGCGGAGGTGGTTGTGAGGGTGGACATGGTGCAGGTGGTTGTCAGGGCAGAGGTGGTTGTGAGGGTGGACGTGGTGCAGGTGATTGTCAGGGCTGAGGTGGTTGTGAGGGTGGACTTGGTGGAGGTGGTGGACAAAGTCATGTCTGGGTGGGGCACATTGAGTGGGTGTCTTGTTGTCAGTGAGGAGGAGGAGGCTGTAGTTATGGGGTTATCTGGTACATTATAAGAAGTCTGATTTTAGATTTTTGTAAAATTCAAAATGGCCTCCATACCTTGAAAACCTTGAAGGTTAATGGCTCTGCAATATTTATATAACCTGGAGCATCACAATGGGATTCATGTTTGTCCCAGTGAACAAAGTCAGTAAAACAACAAACTTTAAAATCTGTTTCCTCTCATAAAACAAAAAGGATCTGTAGCTCTACAATAGGGTTCAAATAATCATGGCATTTATGATGAGCTGAAACTTGTGGATAGTAATGTTAATGAGTTTGCTTGTAGGCACCATCAGCTGCTCTCATCCTTGGCTATCATTGACGATGTTGCAAAACTGAAGCTGCTTTTCCAATTGAGGGTATACTTAACTGAACAGGTTTTGGTTACCAAGGACTTGAAAAGTATCATTTGGGTCATAATGTACGTGCTCATTACACAAACTGCTCCACACAACCATTTAACAGACTGTCCTCACTTGAAGATTTCTGAAAGATTCATGACCATATTTCTCTTCCAGCACAATATGAATGTACCCAGTGAGAGTTCCCTGGGACATTTTTTTTTATGTCTATATTTACTTTCAGCCAGTCGAAAGTCAGTTGGTGACGAGCATGGACCAGACTGGTACGAGGAGCTCAGTGACAACCAAGTCAGTGCATTCAAGGAGGTGAGTTGTCTCCCTGTCAGTGCATTCAATGAGGTGAGTTGTCTCCCATGTCAGTACATTCAAGGAGGTGAGTTGTCTCTCATGTCAGTACATTCAAGGAGGTGAGTTGTCTCCCATGTCAGTGCATTCAATGAGGTGAGTTGTCTCCCATGTCAGTACATTCAAGGAGGTGAGTGGTCTCCCATGTCAATGCATTCAAGGAGGTGATTGGTCTCCCTTGTCAGTGCATTCAAGTGAGTTATATCCCATGTCAGTGCATTCAAGGAGGTGAGTTGTCTCCCATGTCAGTGCATTCAAGTACAGTCCGTTTGACTCCAAATGAGAACGATGAATTGCAAAATAACTCGAAATCCAGAAAAGTGTATGAAACATCAATACGGTACTTGACCATGAATACCCTGTACCCAACAAAATCTGAATTTTGTTTAATTTAAGACCAATGACGGATGAAGTTCTTTAAGAAACTATCATGTAATTTTGTATAGAAATGTGTACATGACACGTAGGGGGACAAACCGTGGAAGGAACAGCGCAAGCACGGTCTGCACGTGCTACACAGTGACCGTGTTCATTCAATGACAAGATGCGCTACTCAGCAGATGTTAAACAGCTGATGTTGAATGTGTATGATTTCTTTAGAAGTGGAGCAGAAAGAGCAAAGCCTTTTTATGCAATTAATAAATTCTTGAAACGAGCATCAAAAGCTCTTGGTATGTCCCCTCAGAAACTTAAAAATGTTGATAGTCGACGAGATACAAATAGTCAGGCCAAGGAGGTAGGGAACATGTAAAAACCACGCAAGGTTGATAAATTAGACAGTTTTCAGAGGGATCAAGTCAGACGTGCAATTGTTAAACTGCACTCAGAAAATAAGTACCTGTCCCTAAGAATTTTGAAGAAACACCTTGAAACTGACCATGATTTACGTGTTACAAAGTACAAACTATGGCAGCTGTTGCATACATTTGGTTACAAATACAAAAAGATAACTGGAGAAAATAGGGCTGTGTTGTGTGAACGGTCTGACATTGTTCGTCTCCGAAATCATTACCTTCGTACCATCAAGCAGAAACGTGAAGAAGGATATGAGCCCGTCTTCTTAGATGAGACATGGGTAAATGCGTCACACACAGCCAGCAGTCAGTGGGTACCCAGTGGTGACTGTAAGGAGTCTGGTAGAATGTTACCAATGGGAAAGGGTGAAAGACTCATAGTTCTCCATGCTGGTTCTGATAGTCAGGGTTTTCTCCCAGACTGTAACCTCGTCTTTAGAGCCAAGGCCAAAGACAACAGGGACTACCACACAGAAATAAACGGCAATGTATTTCTGGAGTGGGTGAAAGATAAATTAGTCCCTGCTTTGCCTACCAAGTCTCTCATTGTCATGGACAATGCACTGTATCATAGTGTGCAGGATCCAGAAAGCAAGACTCCAATCTCTAATAACCGTAAAGGAGACATGGTTACTTGGCTGCAACGGAGGAACATTACCTTTCCTTCTCGAGCGACGAAACCACAGCTCTATGAAATCATCAAAACTATGAAACCTGACCCCGTGTATAAAGTTGACAGTTACATCAAGGGTCAGGGTCACGCTGTCTTACAACTGCCACCTTATCACTGCGACCTGTATCCAATCGAGTTGGTATGGGGCATCGTCAAGGGTGACGTTGGACGATCGAACACAACGTTCAAATTACGAGACGTTGAACAACTCGTAAAGGAATCCCTTGGTCGGGTAACAGAAGAAACATGGAGGTGTTGTGTGGCCCCAGTCGTTGACGAGATAGAGCCATGTTATTGGTCACGAGATGGACTACGGCCAGCAACAGTCCAACCTATAATAGTGGCAGTCGGTTCAGGCACCAGCAGTTCCGACGACGAGATCAATGGCATGAGCGAGTCAGATTGCGACTGAAATTATCATGAGACGGCCCCTCTAACGCTCTGTCATTTCCCCTACCACAGAACGTGCAGTGCATGCGTGCTTGTGCAATGCATGCGTGCTTGCGCTGTGCCTTCCACGGTTTGTCCCCCTACGTGTCATGTACACATTTCTATACAAAATTACATGATAGTTTCTTAAAGAACTTCATCCGTCATGGGTCTTAAAATAAACAAAATTCAGATTTTGTTGGGTACAGGGTATTCAAGGTCAAGTACCGTATTGATGTTTCATACACTTTTCTGGATTTCGAGTTATTTTGCAATTCATCGTTCTCATTTGGAGTCAAACGGACTGTAGGTGAGTTGCTTCCTTGTCAGTGCATTCAAGGAGGTGAGTTGTCTCCCATGTCAGTTCATTCAACAAGCTCCTCACAGCGATAGTACGTTTCCTGAGCTCTCTATACTATCGCTGCCACCAGTCAAAACTCCCCACTGTGAATAGGTGGCCACAACCATGCTTGGAGTTGAACTCGCAACCGAATGACCTTTATGTTTACAAACAAGTGACGACTGTCGTGACGCCGAATACACTTATTGCTGCTAAATTACTTTCTTCGTTTGTCAATTTGAATTTCTGTTACATTAAAACTATCGTGTTATTGATATAGTAAGAATGTAAGGGAGAAGTTGGTTGATTTTCCGTTAGTCTGCAATCTCGAACCAATCTGATTATCAAAACAACAAAGTAAATTCATCTGGAAAACATGGTCAGTCGTAAACCTTTTCAAATTGAAATATGATTGCATTCCCAAAGACATAAACAAAAGTATAAACGTTACTACATATGGGGTTGGAGGGCAAATTTCAAGATTCTTGAAATGGCCGCGCCCACACTGGTGGCAGCGATGTTACCGAGAGTGTAACGAAGGTGTCACACACTGGGAAGGAGCTTGTTCATTCTAGGAGGTGAGTTGTCTCCCTTGTCAGTGCATGCAACAAGCTCCTTCCCAGCGCGTGACACCTTCGTTACACTCTCGGTAACATCGCTGCCACCAGTGTGGGCGCGGCCATTACAAGAATCTTGAAATTTGCCCTCCAACCCCATATGTAGTAATGTTTATACTTTTGTTTATGTCTTTGGGAAGGCCATCATATTTCAATTTGAAAAGGTTTACGACTGACCATATTTTCCAAATGAATTTACTTTGTTGTTTTCGTAATCAGATTGGTTCGAGATTGCAGACTAACGGAAAATCAACCAATTTCTCCCTTACATTCTTACTATATCAATAACACGATAGTTTTAATGAAACAGAAATTCAAAATGACAAACGAAGAAAGTATTTTAGCAGCGATAAGTGTATTCGGCGTCACGACAGTCGTCACTTGTTTGTAAACATAACGGTCATTCGGTTGCGAGTTCAACTCCAAGCATGGTTGTGGCCACCTATTCACAGTGGGGAGTTTTGACTGGTGGCAGCGATAGTATAGAGAGCTCCGGGAACGTACAATCGCTGTGAGGAGCATGTGCATGCAAGTAGGTGAGTTATCTCCCATGTCAGTGCATTCAAGGAGGTGAGTTGTCTCCAACAGGAATGTATTCAAGCAGTGAATTTAAAGTGGTCGTTTGTTTCCCATACCATAGCGTTAAAGGACACGACTTGTCTGTGCATTCAAAAAGGTGAGTTGTTTCCCACTGATAGATGTCTGCAGACAGAAGTTGATATCCTTCTGTTGTCCTGTAGGTATTCGACATGCTGGATTCTAGTCATACAGGGACCCTGAATGCTGACAGTCTGTATGAGGGTCTGCGTCGCGTTGACAGTGAGATCACAAGGCATGAGGTGGAGGATGTGCTGCGCAACCTCGACAAGGATGGCAATGGAGAAATAGATTTTGATGAGTTCCTTTTTCACATCAGTCACCAAGGTGACGAAGAAACTGGTGAGTTGTCAAAGTAAAGATGGAACATGATTAGGGATGTACTGAGTTGTCCTAGTAACAGTGGGACCAGGGACATAGTGTGTTATCACAGTAACTGGGAAACAGGACCAGTACTTAGTGAGTTGTCATAGTAACAGGGGAACAGGACCAGGTACGTGAGTGATTTTACAATAAGGCCTACAAATCAGATTGAACAAGTATCAATTTCTAAAACCCTTTCCCTATTTTTTGTTCTTAATTGATAGAGTGAGGTGTTATTATTAGCTGGTGGGGCCAAATGGGTAGGGCTGCAACGATACAGGAAGGTCACGATACGATACGCATCTCGATATTCTGGTCACGATACGATACGTATCTCGATACGCAATGATAAAAAAACAAGACTTAAAGCATGTCAAGATTGAACCTTTCATGATTTTGGCACAGTCAAAATTATTTTATAATAACAAGACTACTGAAGTTGTTCAGCTTCAAAGTGGAACTTTCTCTAACTTTCCTTAAAAACAATTCAAAGTTCAAACAACAGAAAATAATTAATGTGCTCCACCAGTGATACAACGTCAAAGAATTTTGATGCAATGGTCGAAGAAATTGTATCTGAAATTATTGTTTTATCAGGAATAATATATTCCAATATCGTGTTACCTTAGTTTCAGCTTTTACTATATATATATTTAAAATTATAAGAACCACAAGTGTAGCATATTGGTACTGGTGATTGCTGTTGCAGGATATTTTTACGTATGGAACAATTTGACCAGTCACCCTAAGGACTTCCCGTGCTACATGTATTTCGATTGCGAAAACGTTTTGTTGACATATATTAGCCAAATTGCCACAAATATGACTTTTAACGAGTCAAAGTATGGCATTTTTAAAATATGTCCAATCTCTAGCAACTAAAGTTCGTTTCAATGCGTCAAAAGCGGTAATCTGACCGTGGTTGCTGTATCTCTTCACACACGATGTCACATAACTTAATGAAAACAATATTAAATGAAATTTTGAAAAAAACTATTAAAATATATTACAAACACAAGTCCAGATATACAATGAACACATTTTAATAACAAGATAGAATGATAATGGTATTGAATTGCGTACTTCAGTTCGTATTTGCTGACACGTATTTCCATTGTTGTGTGCTTGCGGGGATCAGCTGATAATGTTTTTTGTGATGGGGAAATACATCTGTCGGTGTAAAACCTGAGCTTATTAAAAATGTAAGTACGTTTTTGGGAGCCATGCGTTACCACACGCTATAACAAAGTTAGCGGTTTATTGAAAGGCACAATAGCGAGGAAACGCTGTAATTTAGATTTGCGTTCCGTATTGTGGCGTATCGATAAATGGGCCTACGTTTATCGTATATCGTATCGTGGGTCAAGTATCGCGATGCATCGGAATATCGGTGTATCGTTTTACCCTTACAAATAGGGGTAATTTGGCAATATTGCTTTAAACAACTTTTTCTCTGGAACCAAGAGATAGATATCATACATTCCACTTTCTGATGAGTGTGAACTCCCTTACAGCAAGTACTTGCCATATCATATTAGTACTGTTGTGTTGGTTGGTTGGTTGGTTGGTTGTTTAACGCCGCACTCAGCAGTATTCCAGCTATATAACGGCGGTCTGTAAATAATTAAGTCTGAAACAGACAATCTAGTGGTTGATATCATGAGCATCGATCCACGCAATTGGGATTGATGACAGCTATCAACCAAGTCAGCGACCACCCGATCCTGTTAGTACTGTAGTGAGTAGTGAGTTGTCCTAGTAACAGGGGAACAGGACCAGGATGTAGTGAGTTGTCCTATTGAAAGGGGAACAAGACCAGGATGTAGTGAGTTGTCCTGGTAACAGGGGAACAAGACCAGGATGTAGTGAGTTGTTCTATTGACAGGGGAACAAGACCAGGATGTAGTGAGTTGTCCTAGTAACGGAAACATGACCAGGTAGGAAGTGAGTTGTCCTATTGACAGGGGAACAGGACCAGGGAGGAATTGAATTGTCCTTGTAACAAGAACAGAACAACAACAACAGGGAGGAAGTGAGTTGTCAGTAAAACAGGCAATCGGGTCATGAGTTGTCAGTAAGACAGTTGGGGTCATGAGTTGTCAGTAAAACAGGCAATGGGGTCATGAGTTGTCAGTTAAACAGGCAATGGGGTCATGAGTTGTCAGTTCAACAGGTAATGGGGTCATGAGTTGTCGGTAAAACAGGCAACGGGGTCATGAGTTGTCAGTAAAACAGGCAATGGGGTCATGAGTTGTCAGGGAAAACAGGCAATAGGGTCATGAGTTGTCAGTAAAACAGGTAATGGGGTCATGAGTTGTCAGTAAAACAGGCAATGGCATCATGAATTGTCAGTAAAACAGGCAATGGCATCATGAATTGTCAGTAAAACAGGCAATGGGGTCATGAGTTGTCAAAGAAATGTGAAAACCAGGATGCTGTGAGTTGTCATGGAACGGTTCATCATGCCCAGAGTTGTCATGGTAACAAAAGAACAGGGCAAGGTTTGTATTGAGTAATAGTGGAAAAGAACCAGGGCCTCATACCACAAAGCGACCTCAGAACTACGAGTATCGTAACTCGCATACTCTAACAACTTACAGGAGTTGTAGTACAAAGTTCACTTTTTTTTACCAGTACCCTGGGCATTGCTTGATTGTCATGGCACTAGGAGACAGATAATTCATTTAATACTGTAAATCTTGAACTAAATGTGAGCGTGAATTAAATGCATAAAATGTGAGTAGTCTTTGTTCACATTAATGGAACTTCGCATTTATGTTTCCAAAATGACTATCGACAATAAGACGGCCTCACTGCACACTTACCAACTTGAATATAAACACAAACCAATTATTGAGCACAATTGTCCTCCAGTGAGTTATCACTTCTGGGGTCGAGAATTCTACCCACTTGTGTCAAACTAGGCATCATAGAACACACCCGCAGTCCAGACAAACACCACCCACACAACTCTTCGTCGAAGGCTGTCACAACCCAACGTGCAATGATAGGCTTCATCGTACTCTTCAGATATACAGCCTTTGTCTTGTCATCTGCCTTCAAGTTTGTTGACACCTTCTCTGCATACCAATAGGTGAACTGTTGTTGGTTCAATTATTTTATTGCCTTTGAACTTCCTTAATGCCAGTCAATAGAATAAACAAAGGAACTGTGTGTTGTTTTTAGGAAAACACTGTGTATTGTTTTTACAGAAGTGCTCTACTCAGCACTGATAAGCAGTGCTATTTGTCTATGATTGGATTAAGGTAAGAATATGTATCATTCCAATGGGGTGGGGGAATCGCACTGTAATCGAGTTGCATTTTTAACAAGGGGAGAGATTTGGAGACGCATTGATTCCAAGATTTATAGTATATATGTGTGTGTGTTACAGGTGGCGATGAACATCAAGAACGTAGGATGGCCTTCACCAAGCGCCAGCGTCTGTTCTACTCTGCCATCACAGACTTTCACCTGAAGCGCACCATAGAGAACATTCAGAAGGCACAACAAACTCGCGTCAACCAGCCCCACGTGTTGAGCCACTACACAGCTGGGGCCAGGCTTATTGGGCTGACCGATCGCCAGCTGGCCATCGAGATGAAGAAGATGCACAAGAACATGAAGCAGCAGGACTCTCCATACGCTCAGCCGCTGCAGCTGGTGGTCAAGGAAGGGGGGAGGAGGGCAGTCAGGAGGGCGATCCGGTCACATCGGAAGGCTGGGGAACAGCCTGTGCCTGCTGCAGCACCAGCAACAACAGCACCAGCAGCCAGCAGTGACTCAACCCAAATTGCAACACAGATGAGTCATATGAAGCAAATGGCGATGCAGTCCCCTATCTGTATCCCCAGTGCTGGGCCTTTGTCAGCTCAGGATATCCCGGAGGTGAAGGTCACCATGTACATAGAACCACAGAAGGTTGGTTGGTCGGGAGTATTCAGCAAGTTCCAGGCCGCCCCCCAGGCCGCCCCCCAGCACGAGGTCAACTTCAACACAGACCTGAGGGTGGGTTACATTTACATCACATTTCACCATGTCATGGCTCACTCGTACTCCTTCATCCATCTACTTTTGCAGGGGTACTGAAGCTTACCCTTTATTTTTTCTTTCCTGAAGGGCACATAAGCATGTCATGGCCAGCACTCAGTCATCCATGCCAATAGTGTATCTCCTCAATTTCATATAGTCAACATGTTCGTATTTGTTTGATCATTATCGTTTCTAAGCCACATCTGCTTTTACGCTTGTCAAAAGTTATATTCAGTATCGATCTTGCATGTCAAATAACGAGTCTTACATTTACTTGTCTACATTCTCATATTTGGTACAACTTCAATACTGTTGTTGTTGCCATTTTGGAATTGTAAGTTTGACCCTGTGTTGAGACAATTTATCGTGGTGTCAGTGCGTAATACACTGGGCATTTAGTTAGGATGTTCTTATCGTCACTTGTATTATGATTTTTATAAATATAATGTTGCAAAAATATTCAAGAAAACCCAATTGCGTGGATCGATGCTCATGATATCAATCACTGGATTGTCTTGTCCAGACTCTATTATTTACAGACCGCCGTCATATAGCTGGAACATTGCTGAGTGCAGCGTTAAACAAGAAACCAACCAACCAAATCACTGACTTAATATGTGTCTGCATGTTTATTTCTTGATGCATGAAGATCCGGGGTAGAATAGGTCATCAGCAACCCATGCTTGCTGTAAAAGGAGACTATGCTTGTCATAAGAGGCGACTAACGGGATCGGATGGTCAGGCTCGCTGACTTGGTTGATGCATGTCATCATATCCCAATTGCGTGGATCGATGCTCATGATATCAATCACTGGATTGTCTGGTCCAGACTTGATTATTTACAGGCAGCCGTCATATAGCTGGAATATTGCTGAGTGTAGCGTTAAACAACAAACAATCTACTTCTTCTCTTTAACCACTGGGGGCACAGGTGGCTCAGTCATCTTGGCGTTGAATTTGTTGTGCAGCTCTGCATCCTTTGGTCACACCAGAACCCATGATCGTGGGTTTCAATTCTGGTTCTCCCTGATTATGTTTCTAGATTTGTCAGCACCATACCTTTGCTAGCTGGTTTCGCTAGTTAGAGAAATGAAATTTAACACTCTTATGTTACTGGTCACTATCTCAAATGAGTTTGCTAAATGGGGACATGTTTTCTCAGAAACTACTGAAGTTACATGAATAAAACTTTGCAAGCATATCTAGATACTGAGTTCAAAAATATATCATCTTTTTACAGAATCACGCCCCTTGCTACGTTTTTAAATTTTGTGCATCGTGTCTTCAACTGAGAAACTACATGAACATTTGCTTGCTGATGCGACATACTTGTTTCATAGTTAACATTAACTCCCCCATTTTTCACTACTAAGTGAACACACCAAATCCTCTGGAGCAGGTTATTGTGTTGACACTGTTACATATGTCCCCTGTATCACCCTGTGGCAATGTTGCTGTGTTTTTGTCAGATGTTAGTGCAGTATATTTCTTCCACAGGAATCTTTCAAAATGCTGGCAGAGAGAGGGAGCATAATGTCCAAGCTACCAGATGTGCACAAAATTTTAGCCTTGCGAGACAAACTTGGTGAGCTGTGGATGGGGGAGTAGAGGTGACCTCAGTCAGATGGATGTGACATGGGGTAGGAGTGAAGGGGGTGGATGTGACATGGGAGGGTGGATGTGACATGGAGTAGGAGTGAAGGGGGTGGATGTGACATGGAGTAGGAGTGAAGGGGGTGATGTGACATGGAGTAGGAGTGAAGGGGGTGGATGTGACATGGGAGGGTAGATGTGACATTGGGTAAGAGTGAAGGGGGTGGATGTGACATGGGAGGGTGGATGTGACATGGAGTAGGAGTGAAGGGGGTGGATGTGACATGGGAGGGTAGATGTGACATTGGGTAAGAGTGAAGGGGGTGGATGTGACATGGGAGGGTGGATGTGACATGGAGTAGGAGTGAAGGGGGTGGATGTGACATGGGAGGGTGGATGTGACATTGGGTAAGAGTGAAGGGGGTGGATGTGACATGGGGTGGTGGATGTGACATGGAGTAGGTGTGAAGGGGGTGGATGTGACATGGAGTGGTGGATGTGACATGGAGTAGGTGTGAAGGGGGTGGATGTGACATGGGAGGGTGGATGTGACATGGAGTAGGAGTGAAGGGGGTGGATGTGACATGGGAGGGTGGATGTGACATTGGGTAAGAGTGAAGGGGGTGGATGTGACATGGGAGGGTGGATGTGACATGGAGTAGGAGTGAAGGGGGTGGATGTGACATGGGAGGGTGGATGTGACATTGGGTAAGAGTGAAGGGGGTGGATGTGACATGGGAGGGTGGATGTGACATGGAGTAGGAGTGAAGGGGGTGGATGTGACATGGGGTGGTGGATGTGACATGGAGTAGGTGTGAAGGGGGTGGATGTGACATGGGAGGGTGGATGTGACATGGAGTAGGAGTGAAGGGGGTGGATGGGACATGGGAGGGTGGATGTGACATTGGGTAAGAGTGTGTGTGTGTTGGGGGTGAATGTGACATGGAGTTGGAGTGAAGGGGGTGATATGACATGAGTAGGAATGTGTGGCGGGGGGTGGGGACATGGGGTAGGAGTGAGTGGGGGGTGTTGTGACATGGGTAGGGGTGAGGAGGGGTGTATATGACATGGGTTAGGAATGATGAGAGATGATGGATGGTTGGGTTGACATCGGGTAAACATTGATCATGCTACTTGGAAGTGCGAACTGAAATGATTATTGGGTAGTTACAATGTATGACCTGGCTGTTTCTGTGTCAACGTCACCCTTGGCATTTCATTGTTGCCCATGCTTTGTAACCCAGTTTATCCTGGCACAGTTACGAACACTTACAGTGCTGCTTCCGATGTTGCTGTCTGAATACTGCTAACTTTCCTGTGTGAAGGTCCATTAATAAGAGAACATTAATGTGTTGAATGGTCCTGCCATCGTTCTTGTTTTGTTTAGTTAGGGACATGGAAGCAGTGAAGGCATCAGAGGGCACCACTCCCGAGCAATCAAAGCCTGAACTACCAACTGCAGAGCAGCTGAAGAAGTCAAGGCGCAAAGGTGAAGTAAAGAAAAAGACGTACCTACAATGCTCAAGAATTTGTAATGGTGTCCTCCCGAGTTTGGCCCCAGGTTTAAAGTTCCACTACCACCGAAATTGGTTTTCTCAATAACACGCTTGTGGTCGATGTTAGGAATTTCATACCTGATACAAAGGTCTTCTGTTTCCATTCTCTGACAACTGAGTTCGTTTCAAGGTGTCAATAATCTTATCATGATTGCTGTGAATAATGTGAAAATTTAACTGAAATTAATTTAAATAGATTACAGATAAAAATCCCAAGTACAGATATATACAATTACCATCTGTACTGAATGATGCAAGTCAATCTTTACAACAGGATTAACTTGGGTAATTCAGTACAGATTTGTTGATATGCAATTTCCAATGGCGTGAAGATGTTCGTTTGTGGGGAAAATAGTTAAATTTATGGGAGCCTTTGATTACCCCACAGTTGAACCGAATCTGGGGTACCGCGAAGGACATTATTGCAAGGGATGACTGTATATGTAAGCAATGATTATTTTCTACCTAAATATTATCCCGGGGGAAGTTCTACTCTTGAGTATCGTATAGGATAGGATTAAACACAATGGTATGGGTTCAAATTCACGAGGGAGAATCATCCTGACACTAGAGAATTTCATCCCCAGGATAAAAAATAGGGTAGGATAATATGCACTCTTACATATACCCATGGGGAATGATATGGATATATTATTGGATAAAATTAAAAGATCAGGGTCACTATGTATGCCCTAGGTGTCAAAATATTTGTGTACACCATAATTTGAGTATTTATGTTTGGAATTCAACAAGACTTAGTATGCCTCACACAGCTTGACTCTCGATTTCATGATTTCATTCGATTTCAACTTTGTATTTCGTTACCGAATAGCTGCCCATACTCACTCATAAGCATTGCCCATATAGTATAGAGACTTCTAATTGGTATCTGCAGCAAATAATGGTCTCACACATGGTTGGATGATACTGAAGGTCAAGGTCTCTCAGTATAAAGTACCCAATTGCGTGGCTCGATGCTCATGATATCAATCACAGGATTGTCTGGTCCAGACGTTATTACTTACAGATCGCCGTCATACAGCTGGAATGTTGCTGAGTGTTGCGTTAAACAACAAAACAACAACAACAACAGTATAAAGTAGACATTCTAAATGGCTTGTGTACACAATTTCTTGAACATTACAATCATAGGTTTCTGTTTTCTGTTTGCATTGAGCATGTGTTATCATAAATCAGGAAGTGGTGTTATTACACAGGAAGTGCTTATCATGTGTTTTATAAGAAATAAATGACGAGTGGGAGTTGTTTATCATCCAATAAAACACTGCAGGGAGAATAAACCATGAGGGGCGCAGCAATCATTTTCTCACAATCCTCACATCGATTACCTGTATTTTTTGTCCCAATAACGATTGTCATATGTCTCCCACTTTAGGATGCGATCATCTGATCATCGTGTTTATCAGCGTTGGCCAGCTACATCTACGGGGAACAACTCACTAGACCGTCCACTCTCAAAAATAACATTGTCCAATATACGACATCATCAAATTGCGAGCACATGTTCGAATCTCCCGAAATGATGTCATGATATAACAATGTTTTATTGTGAAATAAACCACACTTCGTTCTTCATTGTTCTTTGCGATTTATCGCGGAGCTGTCTTATATTGGGGTATAAGTTGTAATGCATTAGACAAAAGAAGGGATCAAAGAGGGACACGGATGGCTATTGGTGAGGTCAGTTTGTCTGTCTGTGTGCAGGTCGGCAGATGTCCAAAGGGTGGACGTTATTCCGGGTAGACAGGGACAAGGTGCCTCTCCCTGCCCTGAAGATCAAGTATAAACATCACAAGCCTACCATGGAGGACTTGCCCAATATCAGGGAAAAGGTGAGACATTGAGGGGTGTGTCACTATAGAGGACCCACCCAATATCAGGGAAAATGTGCCTCTCCCTGCCCTGAAGATCAAGTATAAACATCACAAGCCTTCCATGGAAGACTTGCCCAATATCAGGGAAAAGGTGAGACATTGAGGGGTGTGTCACTATAGACGACCTGCTCAATATCAGGGAAAAGGTGAGACTTTGAGGGGTGTGTCACTATAGAGGACCCACCCAATATCAGGGAAAAGGTGAGACATTGAGGGGTGTGTCACTATAGAGGACCTGCTCAATATCAGGGAAAATGTGCCTCTCCCTGCCCTGAAGATCAAGTATAAACATCACAAGCCTTCCATGGAAGACTTGCCCAATATCAGGGAAAAGGTGAGACTTTGAGGGGTGTGTCACTATAGAGGACCCACCCAATATCAGGGAAAAGGTGAGACATTGAGGGGTGTGTCACTATAGAGGACCTACCCGATATCAGGGAAAAGGTGAGACATTGAGGGGTGTGTCACTATAGACGACCTGCTCAATATCAGGGAAAAGGTGAGACTTTGAGGGGTGTGTCACTATAGAGGACCCACCCAATATCAGGGAAAAGGTGAGACATTGAGGGGTGTGTCACTATAGAGGACCCACCCAATATCAGGGAAAAGGTGAGACATTGAGGGGTGTGTCACTATAGAGGACCCACCCAATATCAGGGAAAAGGTGAGACATTGAGGGGTGTGTCACTATAGACGACCTGCTCAATATCAGGGAAAAGGTGAGACTTTGAGGGGTGTGTCACTATAGAGGACCCACCCAATATCAGGGAAAAGGTGAGACATTGAGGGGTGTGTCACTATAGAGGACCTACCCAATATCAGGGAAAAGGTGAGACATTGAGGGGTGTGTCACTATAGAGGACCTACCCAATATCAGGGAAAAGGTGAGACATTGAGGGGTGTGTCACTATAGAGGACCCACCCAATATCAGGGAAAAGGTGAGACTTTGAGGGGTGTGTCACTATAGACGACCTGCTCAATATGAGGGAAAGGGTGAGACATTGAGGTGCATCTCACCATGTCATGTTGCATGTGTCGTCATGTTGCAGGTGTCCCAGGCCATTGATGACTACTACGAGAGTCTACGGCAAGCCCACGTCCAGACTGGCTTGGACCACTGGGACAGAATTTACTCCGACCGCATCCGTTCCCACAAACTGATGGAGAACTTCCGGGAGGTATACCGAGCATATTCCCCACACAAGCAGGAGGAGGCCTTTGTCGTGTGTCCGTGGGTTCCCGGACCATTCCGTCACATCCCCTCCCTCAAAAACGGACCCCGCTGTTGTACACCCACCCCCTTCTGCAAGCAACAGGGTGGACGACAGACTCCTGACCATGTTGACCGCAGCAGCAGCAGGCTGAAAAGCGGTCGGACGTCTCGCAGTGGACGCTCCTCCTATGATGGCCAAACATCAGGGATGAAAAACAGGCCAGTCAGTGCATTCTGAAGATTTGAATTTTGTAATAGGGAACCTACCGATGTGTAGTTCAATGATGTGCTTTGTGCAAGTGTATTTATTGATGTTGTTTTATGTATTGGGTAGATTAATGGGTAACATTTTAGTCAAAGATGTATTATGGAAATATTGTTTGGGCTTTTAATATTGTTAATATTTTCCAAGTAAGAAGAAACTGTTTGCTATATTGGAAATATGAAGTAAACTACACTTATGTACATTTATAATTGTGTGAAAATTATATTTTTGTATTTCATTAAAATTGAAACTTGATACATGTATAATTTTCTTTGTGTGTGTGTGTGTGTTTAAACAGCCTCTATCTTGCAGTAGCCACCAGTATCATAGTCAATAGATATATATATATATATATATATACTAGTTTCACGTTGCCACATACAGTGTGTACTGTTTATTGAGTATACAAAAGTGTCACTGATAGTACTTTCAGGTATTTAGACTTGTTTTGAAAGCTGACAGCAGGAGGGAGTTTGAGCTCAACAGTAACTCATTCCAAAGAGAGACTGCAGCAAATATGAAAGATGTTTGCCCAAACAACTCTAGATTTGTCACAGGAGTAACCAGCTACAGTTTGTCAGGATCCTCGCTGGTGAATATTAATATGTCTGTTCAGGATCCTCGCTGGTGAATATTAATATGTCTGTTCAGGATCCTCGCTGGTGAATATTAATATGTCTGTTCAGGATCCTCGCTGGTGAATATTAATATGTCTGTTCAGGATCCTCGCTGGTGAATATTAATATGTCTGTTCAGGATCCTCGCTGGTGAATATTAATATGTCTGCTCAGGATCCTCGCTGGTGAATATTAATATGTCTGTTCAGGATCCTCGCTGGTGAATATTAATATGTCTGTTCAGGATCCTCGCTGGTGAATATTAATATGTCTGCTCAGGATCCTCGCTGGTGAATATTAATATGTCTGTTCAGGATCCTCGCTGGTGAATATTAATATGTCTGTTCAGGATCCTCGCTGGTGAATATTAATATGTCTGTTCAGTATCCTCGCTGGTGAATATTAATATGTCTGTTCAGGATCCTCGCTGGTGAATATTAATATGTCTGTTCAGGAGGCTCATGCTGAACCCTTGAAACATCCGTAGTTGACGGAGAAAATTTTGAATTCTATTCCAGCCTTGAGAGTAGAATATTTTATTGCTTTTACTGTATAATGTAATCTTCCTATAAAAATAAGTAATACCAAAAATGTAAGTAAAAATGAGAATTCTAGATTCAAGATATCATCTTACTGTGATAATAAAACTGATGATCACACCAATTTCACAAACGTCCACACAAATAACTGTCAAGGAAGAGAATTTATAGATGTCAACTTCTTTATTATGAGGAATACAAAGTTTAGGAGTATATACTTACTCCTTCATCAGGTGAATGAATGCCATGAGGCAGAGAGCATATATATGTAGATGTCAGGACAACAAAATTAATAAGATAACAAAAGGTGGAAAATAACAAAGGGTAGAAACTTACAAGGGAAGCCAACAGATGATTGGCGCTTTTGTTGTCCTTTTATGTACATACATATGCTCTCTGCCTCATGGCAGCATGTACTCCAACACGTTGTGTTCCTCTTATAAAGAAGTTGACATTCATAAATTCTCTTCCATATATATATCACTTCTAAATGCCTTTCAAAGACCAAATATCTGTGAAGTTCAAAAACTCTGTATGAGTTATCCCCCACTGTGTCAGTGAGGTCTGACCCAGCTCATGACATTTCTACATTCCAGCAAAAAAAGTACATACAAACGTAAACCAAACTTCATATAGATTACAAGCTTCCAAAAGAATGGCTGTTCTGGATTGATCCAGTTTTGTGCGTAATGACCAGTAACTATTCTAAAACAAGAGAATCTGTTAACATGGCTGCTGTCAAGGGAGATAACTCTAGATGGCCTCTTGACATACATGACCATCCAACATAAAAATCTAAAAATAGCTCTCCTGGATATGCAGTCTACAGTTTGAAATGTCAACAAAGACAGTGACTTAAACAAAAGTTGCTGTCAGCATTGATATTCAAATATTAAAGTACAAAATACTAACACCAAAGATCTAATGCTTTCCTGTCATCTGAAGGAAAACCATACAAGCCAAACCTCAGCTCCATCAGTCTGGCAATTTCAGAGGGGAATATGCATTTTGAGAGAATTAAGGAGAATGGTCAAATATATTCCACTATATTGTGCTTTAGTATCCATGGCAACATTTGGCAAGGTAATAGCGACACTTACATATAAGGATATATGGACATAGCATCAAATATAAAAACTCTTTATCTTTATCTTAAAAAACTAATAACTCCATGAATATATGATGTTCCCAAGCACTTTGAGTTGCAAAGGTCTCATGTACCTTGTGAAATAGTGTGACGATTTAAAAATAATTACCCTTGACAAGGTCAATATGCAAAACAAGGACCACCTCCAGGGTTGGGTCCGAAGGTCCTTGTTTTTGTATATTTACCTTGTTAAGAGTCATCATTCGTTAGTTATTCCCACATTCACTTAAAAGTTAATGAATTCTTTGAACCATCTTCTGTTTCCGTTATCAAGCTTGGACCAGATGCCATTTTCCATCAGAGAAGTCAATATTCATCACGTGACAGGTCAATACTGATCATGTGACGAGTCAAGAATCGAGGTCTGTGTCAGACACATGATTTCAGGGTCTACATTGAATGTATTGTTTCGTCACATGGTACAGATTAACCAATGGAATTGCAAGATTCTTAATGGAGTTATAACAATGATATATATCATAACACATAATCTGGCATAGTTATTTGTAACATAGCTTATATCTTCCATAGGCTATATATCACAATTCATGATCTTGACAAAGCATCAATGGATGTTATGACCAATATCGTAAGGCATAATCAACGCATGTGTAAATACTTGCAACACAATTGTATTAACAATAATAACATGTTTGAGTGAATGATGTTACAAATCGGTGTCAGGCATCTTGTGGTCTCAAGAGGGAGAATGGAATACATAAATTCTGACACAAGTTTTTTTAAATCAGAATAATACACGCACAAATGGAATAATTTCTGTATTCTCTCACGCTGTCGTAATGAAGTTGTATAGTATTGTTTATTCTGATATTAAACTGTGTAGAGGAACTGAGCTCTGTCAACAATGGTGTCATCATTGCCTTAATAATGTAATCATTATTACGTAAATTTCATAGGAATATATAATACATGTTGGAAATAAATGATGTTATGACATATTAAGACACATAATTTCGCAACAAGTAACATAAAGATGGTATGACATTGTCTTGTGGAGAATTCAGGTACACAACATCCTCTTTCTGTCAGTGTAGATAGAACACATGGTGTTTGAGCAGTAGACTTGAGTTGCTCAGTTTCATAGATGACAACTGTCAATAGTGTTTAAGTTTATGAGTTGACTGACCAGTCATAATGCAAGTGCGAGACCTTGAACTTCTTCCCTGCAAGGACCTCCTTCAACTGGTCTTTCTTCTCACCTTCACCCATGTTCTTGTAGACCCACTGTGCCACCTGCAACATGACAAACTGCATGACACCACGACCACACTGCATGACGTCATAACAACACTGCATGACACGACCATACTGAATGACACTATGACAACACTGCATGACACCATGACACCACCACCATACTGAATGACACTATGACAACACTGCATGACACCATGACCACACTGCATGACACTATGACAACACTGTGTGACACCATGACAATACAGCGTGACACCATGACAACACTGCATGACACAATCACAACACTTCATGACACGACCACACTGCATCACACTATGCCAACACAGCATGACGCCATGACACCACCACCATACTGAATGACACTATGACAACACTGCATGACAACACTGCATGGCACCATGACCACACTGAATGACACCATGACAACACTGAATGACACCATGACAACACTACATGACACCATCACAACACTGCATGGCACCATGACCACACTGAATGACACCATCACAACACTGAATGACACCATGACAAACTGCAAGACACCATGACCACACAGCATGACACCATGACAAACTGCATGACACCATGACAAACTGAATCATACCATGACCACACTACATCACAGCATCACAACACTGCATGACACCATCACAACCATGAATAGCACCACAACCGCACTGAATGACACCATGACAACACTGAATGACACCATGACACCACCACCATACTGAATGACACTATGACAACACTGCATGACACCATGACAACACTGAATGACATCATGACAACACTGAATGACACCATGACAACACTGAATGACACCATGACACCATGACAAACTGAATGACACTATGACAACACTGAATGACACCATGACGAACTGCAAGACACCATGACAAGACAGCATGAGAACATGACAACCTGAATGACACCATGACAACACTGCATGACACCACGACAAACTGCAAGACACCATGACAAACTGCAAGACACCATGATGACACAGCATGACACCATAACAAACTGAATGACACCATGACAACACTGCATGACACCATGACAAACTGCAAGACACCATGACAAACTGCAAGACACCATGACAAACTTCAAGACACCATGACGACACAGCATGACACTATGACAACACTGCATGACACCATGACAAACTGCAAGACACCATGACAACACTGCATGACACTATGACAACACTGCATGACACTATGACAACACTGCATGACACCATGACAAACTGCAAGACACCATGACAAACTGCAAGACACCATGACAAACTTCAAGACACCATGACGACACTGCATGACACCATGACAACACTGCATGACACTATGACAACACTGCATGACACCATGACAAACTGCAAGACACCATGACAAACTGCAAGACATCATGACGACACAGCATGACACCATGGCAAACTGAATGACACCATGACAACACTGCATGATACCACGACCACACTCAATCATAGCATGACAACACTGCATGACACCATCACAACCATGAATGGCACCATAACCACACTGAATGACACCATGACAAACTGCAAGACACCATGACAAACTGAATGACACCATGACCACACTGCATGACACTATGACAAACTGCATGACACCATGACAAACTGCAAGACACCATGACAAACTGCAAGACACCATGACAACACTGCATGACAACACTGCATGACACCATGTCAACACTGTCACCATGACACCATGTCAACACAGCATGACACCATGACAATACTGCATGACACCATGACAACACTGCATAACACCAAGTCAACTATGCATGACACTATGACAACACTGCATGACACCACGACCACACTGCATGACAATACTGCATGACACCATGTCAACACTGCATGACACCATGTCAACACAGCATGACACCATGACAATACTGCATGACAACACTGTCACCATAACACTGCATGACACCATGACAACACTGTGTCACCATGACAACACTGCATGACACTATGACAACACTGCTCGATAACACTAAATGACACTATGACAACACTGCATGACACCAAGACAATATTGCATGACATCATGACAACACTGCATGACAAAACTATATTAGAACATGACAAAACAGGTAGGCCCATTCTTCAACCTCTAATATGACAACACAACATGGCAAGCCTGTATATACACTATGTTTATAAATAACACAACATAACAGTTACACTGCACACAAAGTCACACAACAGCCCACATCAACAATAATTATGTTAACACCACACCTTGGAAAATTAGGATGCAAGAAAGTCATTGTCGCCAACAATTACCTTCTTTTGAGTTATTAGAACTAGATATCAAATTGACTGTGTTAACACAGTCTGCAAAATATATTGATGAAAACATATTTCATCAAAACACAAATTTAGAATGATGGTTTTATTGCCACTGTGTTGGGCGACCCACCTCCTCACTGTCTTTTCCAAAGTCCTCCTGATACCACTTGAAGATCTGCGACAGATACAATGTCTTCTTGCCAACATCCACCTGGCACCCATCAGGACCGTCCAGGAACGCCTCTGCCGCCATCTGCAGCTGCTCTATCACGCCCTGGGGACACAACACGGACATCTCCACTGTCACAGTATCTATCTACCTTGTCATGTGCATAATTGTAGTAAGCGTAGAAACTGTTGTAAATATATTTGTGACCTTGTCAGTGGTGGCAAATGCCTGAGCTACAGGTAAAATGAGATCAAGTGCTGTCGTGGCCAGATTTGAACTGCAGTCAACAGCAGTGAATGGACAGTCCTGTACTACAATTAGAGTTATCTGCCCTTGTTTGTTTGTTTGTTTGTTTGTTTGTTTGTTGTTTAACTCCCCACTCAGCAATATTCCAGCTATATGACAGCGGTCTGTAAATAATTGAGTCTGGACCAGACAATCCAGTGATTGATATCATGAGCATTGATCAACACAATTGGACCCTGACCACCCGATCCCGTTAGTCGACAAGCATAGTCGCCTTTTATGGCAAGCATGGGTTGCTGAAGGCCTATTCTGCCCGTGGTGAGCATGAACATGGCAGGCTGGATTGTTTGGGAAGAATCTGAATTGGACAGCTTGGACAATAGAGTGACAAGACAGCGATTCAAGGCCTTTTTGACCTGATTCATTCACTTGGCAAGCACGGTTTGGATAACTATCTTGAAACACAAAATTCTGGATTCATGGACAGGCCTCTTTTCAAGACACTCAACAGTGACAATGTTCTGTCCATTTGTGAGTGCACTAACATTAACTTCAGAGCCTCTTATTGCTGCTGCCACGAATTTGACCCATTGAATCGCCTTTTGGATTGTAAATATAATTGACTGATTATTCATTGACCTTGGTCATTTACTGATTTCACAATCTAGTTCTGTGCGCACCAATTCTGGGTTAACCTCTGCTTTTTGTAACAAGCCCACATATAAACCTAAAATTATTACAGACATCTCCAGTGTGTGTCACATTAACTACCTCTAGTGCCTGTCTGTCTGTGTGACTGCCTCTGTGGTCTAGTGGTAGAGCGTCCCTTGGAGGGCGGAAGGTCCGGGGTTCAATCCCCAGCCGCGTCATACCATGAGATATTAAAAAAGGTACTTGTTGTTACCCTGACTGGCTTTCGGCATTAAGTGGCTAAAACTAGGACTGGTCGGCTCGGGGTCAGTATACTGTGTCTGAGTGGGGTATTCATGTTTAATTGCATGATATCTGAGTGGGCAAGCACTTTAAAATCAGCATTAGTCCGGACAAGTACAAGCAGCCACTAACACGCGTGCATGCACGTCGCTATATAAGTGTGTGTGTGACATGACCTGTATGTGATTTGTGTGTGTCACATGACCTACCTCTGGTGTGTAAGTCTTGATGGGTGGGCAGCTCTTGGCACCACACACAAGCCCGAAGTGGATGAGTGGTTCATGTGTCTCCAGGGCGACCTTGAGTCGAGGGTCAGACTTGGAGAATGGCCTGGTGATCATGCCTGTAACCATGGAGACATTATCAGTCTTTGTTCCGACAGTCACCCTGCCACTTTGCACTTTCCCAATTCGTGATATAAGTTACAACTAATGTTATAGCCTTGTAAAGGTGACATGTATTTATTTCACTGATAATATCAACTAGGAGGTAGAAGTTTTAATGTTTAGTGTTATGCTATTGTATGTAATGCAATGTTAAAAATATTTCTGAATTTAAGAAAAGAAGAAATTTAAAAATCCAAACATTGGAACCAAATAAAAAAAAAATAGTTTTGAATCCTAGCTAAATCCTCCCTGGTTGCAGTGTGTACGCTGAAGACATGAGCATACGCACCAACACCCTTCCTGTTTCCTCTCAGAACTCCGTTCTCGATGTCCTGAAGTGAGTAGGGATAGCCCCCGATCATGTACTTCACTGTATTGAAGAACTGAAACAGTAGTAAGAGGCCACTTAATGGATCAGCCAGACTGTGGTTGATTGTGTGTCATCATACCCCCGTGGCATGGATTGTTAGTCACTGGATTGATATGATACAAGCAGCTATCATATAGATGGAATATTGCTGAGGCATTAAAAGGCAAAGAGGAGTACCACTCAAACAATTTAGGGTAACCCCGTTATACCACAACATGACTATTTTAGGGGCACCCCGTTATACCACAACATGACTATTTTAGGGTCACCACGTTATACCACAACATGACTATTTTAGGGTCACCACATTATACCACAACATGACTATTTTAAGGTCACCACGTTATACCACAACATGACTATTTTAGGGTCACCACGTTATCATGGTTATACCACAACATGACTATTTTAGGGGTACCCCATTATACCACAACAACATGACTATTTTAGGGTCACCACGTTATACCACAACATGACTATTTTAGGGTCACCACGTTATACCACAACGTGACTTTTTTAGGGGCACCATGTTATACCACAACATGACTATTTTAGGGTCACCACTTTATACCACAACATGACTATTTTAGGGGCACCCCGTTATACCTCAACAACATGACTATTTTAGGGTCACCATGTTATACCACAACATGACTATTTCAGGGTCACCACGTTATACCACAACATGACTATTTTAGGGGCACCATGTTATACCACAACAACATGACTATGTTAGGGTCACCCCATTATAACACAACAACATGACTATTTTAGGCTCATCCAGTTATACCACAACAACATGACTATTTTGACTCACCCCGTTATACCACAACAGCATGACTATTTTAGGGTCACCACATTATACCACAACAACATGACTATTTTAGGCTCACCCCGTTATACCACAACAACATGACTATTTTAGGCTCACCCCGTTATAACAGAACCACGTGACTATTTTACGCTCACCCCGTTATACCACAACAACATGACTATGTTAGGGTCACCCCGTTATACCACAACAACGTGACTATTTTACGCTCACCCTGTTATACCAAAACAACATGACTATGTTAGGGTCACCCCGTTATACCACAACAACGTGACTATTTTACGCTCACCCCGTTATACCACAACAACATGACTATGTTAGGGTCACCCCGTTTTACCAGAACCACATGACTATTTTAGGGTCATCCCGTTATACGGCAACAGCATGACTATTTTAGGGTCACCACGTTATACCACAACAACATGACTATTTTAGGGTCATCCCGTTATACCACAACAACATGACTATGTTAGGGTCACCACGTTATCATGGTTATACCACAACATGACTATTTTAGGGGTACCCCATTATACCACAACAACATGACTATTTTAGGGTCACCACGTTATACCACAACATGACTATTTTAGGGTCACCACGTTATACCACAACGTGACTTTTTTAGGGGCACCATGTTATACCACAACATGACTATTTTAGGGTCACCACTTTATACCACAACATGACTATTTTAGGGGCACCCCGTTATACCTCAACAACATGACTATTTTAGGGTCACCACGTTATACCACAACATGACTATTTCAGGGTCACCACGTTATACCACAACATGACTATTTTAGGGGCACCATGTTATACCACAACAACATGACTATGTTAGGGTCACCCCATTATAACACAACAACATGACTATTTTAGGCTCATCCAGTTATACCACAACAACATGACTATTTTGACTCACCCCGTTATACCACAACAACATGACTATGTTAGGGTCACCCCGTTATACCACAACAACATGACTATTTTAGGGGCACCCCGTTATACCACAACAGCATGACTATTTTAGGGTCACCACATTATACCACAACAACATGACTATTTTAGGCTCACCCCGTTATACCACAACAACATGACTATTTTAGGCTCACCCCGTTATAACAGAACCACGTGACTATTTTACGCTCACCCCGTTATACCACAACAACATGACTATGTTAGGGTCAACCCGTTATACCACAACAACGTGACTATTTTACGCTCACCCTGTTATACCACAACAACATGACTATGTTAGGGTCACCCCGTTATACCACAACAACGTGACTATTTTACGCTCACCCCGTTATACCACAACAACATGACTATGTTAGGGTCACCCCGTTTTACCAGAACCACATGACTATTTTAGGGTCATCCCGTTATACGGCAACAGCATGACTATTTTAGGGTCACCACGTTATACCACAACAACATGACTATGTTAGGGTCACCCCGTTATACCACAACAACGTGACTATTTTACGCTCACCCCGTTATACCACAACAACATGACTATGTTAGGGTCACCCCATTATACCAGAACCACATGACTATTTTAGGGTCATCCCGTTATACGGCAACAGCATGACTATTTTAGGGTCACCACGTTATACCACCAAAAAATGACTATTTTAGGGTTAGCACGTTATATCACAACAACATGACTATTTTAGGGTCACCACGTTATACCACAACAACATGACTATTTAAGGGTCACCACATTATACCACATCAACATGACTATGTTAGGGTTACCACATTATACCACAACAACATGACTATTTTAGGGTCACCACATTATACCACATCAACATGACTATGTTAGGGTTACCACGTTATACCACAACAACATGACTTTTTTAGGCTCAACACCTTATACCAGAACCACATGACTATTTTAAGGTCACTATCTCACACAGAACCACAAGACTTTTTCCAGCCTCGTCGTGTAGGACATACCTTGTAGCGCTGCCACAGGTTGGTGGCAGGTCCCTTCACGATGTTGGCATGGATTACGAGGGCGTTATACACGTTGACGAAGAACGCAAGTTTCTCCTCACGAGTTGCATCAACAATCTGGACTCGTAGGAGTTCCTTGGTGAGCTTTGTGTAGCGCTCAAACTCACTGCTTCCTCCGATTCCAGCATAATTCACTTTCTGCAAGGCAAAACAGTAGGTATTTCTCTATGTGTGATAGAGGCACATTTAGCGACAAAATTATACAACACACAGTATTAGAGCTGGAACAGTAACTCGGGACTCCGGTCAGGTGCACCCTGGTTGAGTAATGTGGGGTTGGGTTCCCAGGTAGTAAATTTGGAATCGTCTCAGACCTGAAGAGTATGCATGCAAAGATCCTGCAGGTAAACGTCGGAGCATGCCAGGCAGTAATCAACACATATCTCGATCTTGGGGGTCAATTGGCGGGTGTGTGTGACTTGGTTGATGGCATGTAATTATAGCCGTGGCAGTATATAGATGCTCATGCTTTCAGCCACTGGTTCAGACTTGAGTACTTACAGGACACCATTCTATAGCTGGCCTACAGCTGACCATAGCATAAAGCCAGCTCACTCACTCACTCACTCACTCAAGTGTGTCTGACATACCCGACCGTCCTTAGACAGGAATGCGTTGTACAGCTTCAGAATGAGTTTCCTGAGTTCGCCTCCAAGGTCACTAGCTGGAGGACAAAACACAGCAAGTTAGTGGACCATGGTCAGACTGTTCAGTTAAAGTATGTTGGGCCGAACTGGCGTGGTCAATTGAATGAATCCCTATACCAGCATCAGAATCACCATCAGAATCACCATCAGATCAGTGAAATCTGACTTCACTGTTTCCTGTTCCACACTTGCCTTGTCGCGGTTCACACTCCGACATCTTTCCAGCATCATTGAGGGCGATTGAATCATCATCATCCAGCAGGCGATAGTACACCTTATCGTCCTTGAACGTCTCCTGGCCTGACTTGACCTGGTGGCTAAAGTGTTTCTCCACCAACTGCTGGCCCATCTCCACTGCACGCTCTCGTTCTGCAACATCATCATCATCATCATCATCATCATCATCATCATCACCAATAACATCCCCTACAGAATAACCAAAGCTACACCATCCTCTGTGACAGTTACAGTAACGGAGGCCAAAGCTACAGGTCATGTGTCCATTCTCAGAGTTTGAGTGCCTTGTGTGGAATATAGATATTGACTTTGTGTGATGAGGGTCACATGTATTACTATCTGGCTAAAGGTTAATCAGTTGGTTTAGGGTTGTTTGAAATACTTGATTCGAAGTAGCTAATGCTACAAATTCGCCCAAGCCTTGTTATGACAGTAAACTGCCAGGAAGTTAAGTGACCAGAACAATGAAGAAGAATTATACAGTTCTGTTCCTATTTTGGTGAAGAAGTGACGTATATAGGCTGAACATAGTGAACATATCAAGGCTGTAACAATCAATGCTGTGTACACCAAGTCCATGGTCTCACCCAAACCCTTGTTCTTGACTACCCAGTCCACAAAGTCTTTCCCCATGAAGGATTTCTTGTGGACGGTGAGCCCCTGACGATGGTCGGCAATCAAGCCACTCTGTCTCAGCTCCTGCACAAGCCTCGCATACTCGTCCGGCTCACATGTAAAATCATCAGCATCTGGAAAAAGCATAGAGAAATCCCCATGATAAATTATGAAATAATATCTACATTTATACTTTATGGACCACAAACACACTTCTGACTACCTCCACTTACACTTCTGACTAACTTCACGCAGCACTTACACTACTAACTAACTTCACGCAGCACTTACACTTCTGACTAACTTCACGCAGCACTTACACTTCTGACTAACTTCACACAGCACTTACACTTCTGACTACCTCCAAGCAGCACTTACACTTCTGACTAACTTCACACAGCACTTACACTTCTGACTACCTCCAAGCAGCACTTACACTTCTGACTAACTTCACACAGCACTTACACTTCTGACTAACTTCACACAGCACTTACACTTCTGACTAACTTTACGCAGCACTTACACTTCTGACTAACTTCAAGCAGCACTTACACTTCTGACTACCTCCACGCAGCACTTACACTTCTGACTACCTCCAAGCAACACTTACACTTCTGACTACCTCCAAGCAACACTTACACTTCTGACTAACTTCACACAGCACTTACACTTCTGACTAACTTCACGCAGCACTTACACTTCTGACTACCTCCAAGCAGCACTTACACTTCTGACTACCTCTATGCAGCACTTACACTTCTGACTAACTTCATGCAGCACTTACACTTCGAACTAACTTCACGCAGCACTTACACTTCTGACTATCTCCAAGCAACACTTACACTTCTGACTAACTTCATGCAGCACTTACACTTCTGACTCCCGCCATGCAGCACTTACACTTTTGACTAACTTCACGCAGCACGTTCACTTCTGACTACCTCTATGCAGCACTTACACTTCTGACTAACTTCACGCAGCACTTACACTTCGGACTAAGTTCACGCAGCACTTACACTTCTGACTACCTCCATGCAGCACTTACACTTCTGACTACCTCCATGCAGCACTTACTCTTTCTTTAGTTTAGTTTTTAAAAACAAGCAAAAAATTAAATTAAACTCACCTATTGACACACAAACAAAAATAATTGTGAAATGTTAATAAATCTAAATTCTCTGTATACAGAAAGATAAGTTTGTATTTTTTAGGACATGAATATTCATTGTTTTAACACATATATTTTCAAATTGGCAAAGATTTCCTGCTGGACCAAACAAACAGAATCAATAGACAATGACATTAGTGCTGTGTGGAAATATGGTGACAAAAGTAGAATCAAAGTTCCCAAAGAACAAAGCATAAATATTACAACAGAAATCAGTTTTTTTATCTATATTCTAAATATAAGGTGCCGTTTTCAGTTGACTATCCTTTTGGGCCAGATGAAATCGGTGACATTTTGCTGAGGTCCCGTTATAGCCTGCGCCCATGAAGCACTAACACTTCCGACTAACTTCGTGCCACACTAAGATTTCAACTAACTTCATGCAGCACTAACAAATAATGTAGGGCTGGGACAGGTCAGGTGAGTCCTGAGTAGGACCCGGGTACCCTAAGGACTACCCGGGGACCAATGGTTAGTCACGTGATACATTGTTTAATGACAAAAACTCACTATAGCTCAGTGGTTCCACTACAAGTCGCTAATGTTCACATTTCTTTCTGACAATGCACACATTCTGTTTGACTTGTATATGTCTGAGGAAAGACAAAGCTTAGTCAACTTTAGTGTATGCATGATCTGATCGTTTGATACATGTATCTAAATACTTTTGGCCAGGGCTGCGGCAAAACATTTCCCAAACAGACATTTTATTCCCAACTCTTGAGACCTACAGTGGGTACTGGGGCAGGGTTGGGTAATAGGGGGGTTTGGTACCCGGGTAGTAAATTTGAACTCATCCAAACCCTACCATTATGACACACTTCTAAACTCACCTGAATCCTCCGCAGCAGTGCTTGGGTCAGGGAGTTCTGGAGCATCTTTAGGTGGTGCGTTGTTCTTCACATCTTCAATCAGCTCATTTAGACGTGTCTTGTCTTCCGCAATCTGAAACATTACTCCATAATCTACAGACTGTCACATATTCACCATTGGATACCCACTTAGTTCATATTGTCACTTTGCTTGCCTACACACTACCAGTGGGTTGGTGTGTCCTCCTGACATAACTACAGTACCGGTAAAGGAAAATAATTAAGACAAAGTAGCTATCAGATAATCAATTTGACTTGTGATAAAAACTTCTAGTTGTCAACCAAGGACTTCTATCATTCATTTCTTTCCTGCTTCTGGGAGGGAGTTTGTGTAGGTAGACTCAAGAAATGTCTGTGTTTTGATGAAGCAGTCGAGCCATTTTAACTGGAAGTGCTATATATTTTGTAAGCAGAGTTACCCCTCTTGCCATGGGATCAGTCTAAAACCGGCACCTCATCAAACAGCCACAAGTTTCAATGGTGAAATGGTACATGCACAAACTATCATATACCTGGAGAAAGTGAGTGAGTGAGTGACTATGGTTTAACGCCGCTTTTAGCAATATTCCAGCAATATCATGGCGGGGGACACCAGAAATGGGCTTCACACATTGTACCCATGTCGGGAATCGAACCCGGGTCTTCAGCGTGACAGGCGAACGCTTTAACCACAAAGCTACCCGACTGCCCCACCTGGAGAAAGAGAGATTGGCAAAACAAACACCTACATGGTCTTACCCTCGCAAAAGACACAATCGACCGATTGTTATCAATATTTAATCACTTCTTTCATAATTCTCCCTTGACAATACGTCGGGGTCACAATACGATATGTATCCCCAAACTATGGGTGCGATAGGATTTGCTAGTATTTTTATTTCATAAGTTAATATTCTTTTTGGGGGGCAGGTGAATCACAACCATGAATCTTATGTGTTTAAATTTCAGAGATCAAAGATGAAATATTGTAGGGCAGAATTATTTGGGCTAAAGGGCACTGTGAAGGTTACGCAATTTATAGCCAACTCGGAAATACTAGAGAATCTGTGTAAGCTGGTTGTTAAACAGTCTCTGTTATTATACAGGGAGTGCAAATCGATGTATTGTATCGTGGGCCTCGTTTTGGGATACACTGTAGTATCGCTGTATCGTTACATCACGACTGTGCATGTTTATCGTTTTGTCTTCATCACAGTTTTACTTTCAGTTTGATTCAGGTATACAACCATTCAGTTCTTGGAGACCCGTCAAGATTCCGGGGTAGAATAGGTCTTCAGCAACCCATGCTTGCCGTAAAAGGTGACTCTGCTTGTCATAAAAGGCGACTGGATCGATGCTCATGATATTAATCACTGGATTGTCTGGTCCAGACTTGATTATTTACAGACCGTCATCATATAGCTGGAATATTGCTGAGTGTGGCATTAAACAACAAACCAACCAACCCACCAATTCTTGGACCGATCCGAGGAACCTCCAAGTGGTAACATAAGAACTGAAAATAGCCATCTTGGGTTGTAGGGGTGTCCATGAAGATAGCGATATTTTATACCAATACGAAAAAAATTTAGCATTGGATTAAATTTAGCAACAATATCGTTATATATATTGTCCTTAGCATTTCTGCCACCAGTGGGGCAGGATACGCTCCTTTTTTCACAAAAACACCTGGAATCATCACTATGTGATAGTGATTCATAAACCCATGCTCATAATAAAGTCAGAATCGTAAAATGGATTTTGTTTTTGGCAGAGATTTTTTATGAACATGGAAAGGGTTTTGTCGCTGCTATTTACAACTGATATCAATTTTAACATATCTTGACATACTCTGCATCAACAAAGTTCACTTTGGGTGTTTCAGTGATCATAACCAATCTCGCACTGAAACATATCCAACCAAACATCTTCACTCAAATTAGTGTTTACATACTATATCATGCCAATCTGATCAGATCATCAACATTTCTGTTGAAACATCATATAAACACCTGGCCAGGTGATGACAAACATAAATCTTTCTTTATCATCAGTAGTTGTGAACATGTAGACACAGTTAAAGGTCAGCTTTGGAAACATGTGCAGGGCTATTTTGAGCTGACTGACTGCACTACATCAGGATGTAATCAGAAAAGTGTGTGTATCTACGAGAAGGTATACGATTGTATCGCATGAAGTCTGAGGTATTTAGTAAACAATGGAATTATTTCACAAAGTTAAAGGGAGAAAATCTCATTAAAATCTGTAGAAATCTCATAAGCCTGATGAACAATCCCATTCATTCTGGGACAGATAATGTCTGCCATATATACTATTTTCCACAAAACTACATCAAGTGAAATGGCAAAATAACAGACCCAGGATCTGGTGTAAAAAGACAGCACTTTTTTTCGTCTCTTCTGTTTCTTGGTTAAGGCCTGACCAATTTGTTTTCTTTTTAATGAAAATTTTGCTTACTCTTAAAGAAAAATAAGAAATTTAGAATTTTTGGTATGACCCTTACAAGCCTTTTCAACATTTTTATTTTGAATTTTTGTTAAAACTGAGAAGACATAACCTCAAACTAACCCTGACTTTTTCTATATTTTTTTATTTTGGTTCCTGCCCCTTGGCAAATTGAACCAACATATCTCTAAAATTTGCCTGACCCCATGAAGTCAAAACATAAGGTATATATTGCATAGCTAAATATCATTGTAATTTCATTAACTAACATTATTTACATTGATATTTATCTTCCGTTTTAGCTGTATCTACTTTAAAACAGATGATTAGAAGGATTCAGACAAAGATATCTATCTGTATACATGCCTGGGATAGAAACGTCCACTTGTCCGTTATTCCGAGACCAGTGAAAATCAAGAGGCAGGGTTTGATTTTAGGAACAGGATTTAACTTGCACCCTGTGCATGTTGACATGAAAACCAGGTTGCACAAAACAAAACAAGGTTGCACCCGGGTCCCAAAAAGTTATCAAAGTTGAAACATAGACCAGTCTGCTATCAGTGTCACATAAATTAATGACGCATTGCAGTGAAACTTAATAGAAACATGAACATAGTCTTCAAGTACCCACAGTGTGATGATGTCAAGCCATAGAAAGCATGACAAATTACACGTAACACAGGAATTAGTGATGTAGTATGGTAAATAAACGTGAGAGGTAGTGAGTGTGTTCAGAGATCGATTTTGTGTGGACAAGTGAGGGTTAGTAAGACACAAATTAGATAAACATGTCACTTGACAAGAAAAAACAAATAAATATTCTCTATGTATCAGGATCCCATAGTTCCTTATTATGTATTTTCTTGCATGGTTTTCATGATCTTACTCTGAAAAAATTATTATTGACATGCGGTGTAATGACTCCACAATAATAATTACATCATAGCCTATCGCTGTTGATGTCACATTGTTCAGTGTAAAAGATGTTTCACCACATCTTATAACTAAGAGAATGGTTACAGAGAGTATTACATTCATGTGTGTACGGACCGCCTCCGTGGTCTAGTGGTCTAGTGGTCTAGTGGTAGGTCCGGGGTTCGATTCCCGACCTCGTCATACCAAAAGACGTTAAAAGATGGTACTTGTTGCTACCCTGTCTGGCGCTCGGCATTAAGGGGCTAAAACAAGGACTGGTCGGCTCGGAGTCAGTATACTGTGTCTGAGTGGGATATTCATGTTAAACTGCAGCATGGTATCTCAGTGAGTTAGCACTATAAATCAGCTTCAGTCCGGACTAATACAAGCAGCCACACAAACACACACACGTACATGCACGTCGCTATATAAGTGCAATAATCTTGGACGCGATGTTAAACCCCATTTCACCTCACCTCATGTGTGTAGATATTTTTTAAACGATTTGTTTTCATTGTTTGTTAAAGACCTAAGTACCACAGCCTCATCATACCAAACGACGTTAAAAAATGGAAGCTGTTGTTACCCTGCTTGGTGCTCGGGATTTGGGGCTAAAACAAGGACTGGTCGGATCAGAGTCAATATACTGTGTCTGAGTGGGGAATTCATGTTAAACTGTGGCATGGTATCTCAGTGGGCTAGCACTATAAAATGGGTATTAGTCCAAGCAGACAGAGATACAGACAGACAGACAGACACACACACAGACACACACACACACACACACACACACACACACACACACACACACACACACACATCACCAGATAAGATCAATAATCTTCAACGCGACGTTAAACCCCATTTTACCTCATTCACCTTACACCTTATTCAGTGATATTCAATCCATATCACAGTAGCATGTAAATAAGAAAGTTTGTAATCAATCAAGTCAGTGAACCTGATCTACCGATCCACTTAATCAATTAATATGACAACCACATGTTCACGTGGAAATTATTGCAAAAAACTAGGTCAGTCAGACACAAATTTGAACTTTTTGGACCTGCACTTGGTGCATGTTTTATACAGGTAATCTGAGAGGGACTAGCTGTTTTCTCCCTACATCTAGTTATTTTAAATAACTCACTAAACAGAAAAAGAGCTGTGGACTACTTGGATATCTTAATGGTGTCTATCCCGGGTTAATTATTTATCAACGTGTCGTGTCATAGAAATCACTATAACCAAGCTGCAGCCTGCATGACCAAGTCTATATATTATTTAACCCTGCAGAGAATAGACACAATCGTGTACAGTGACATCACATCAACCTGAAGTTGAAATGGAATAAAAATTGTTTGAAAAAAAAACAAAAAAACTTGAACTTTATATTAATTTGTTGTGTGAGACCATGTAACGTATATTATACAAGCAGATGCTTATCGACATCATGGTCTAGTATCAACTCCCTGCATGTCTCGGAATATGGATAATCCATACCCGGGACCTCAAGTTAACAAACTTTCACTGCATACAGCTCATGATTGAATTAAATTATTTGTTGATACAATTCAACATTCAGGACAGGAAACAGATAAAAGTGAAAAAAAAGGGAAATTTCTATGAACAAGAATTAAAGACATGGTGATTTCTGAATCGTTCATTCCTGGTCATATAGATAATGGGTTGACCATTTCCTGTTTCCTGTTTGTGTATGACATTAAGCCTGTTTGTGTATGACATAAGCCTACATATGGCGGCCATTTCTCAGGTAGTCAATGTGTTCATCCATATTCACCAGGCAATTTAGGTGCCATTTTGACAAGTTTCAGTTGTAACCTGATCAGATTCTGCACAGAACAGAAATATGCAGGGAGATATTAGATCACCCTGCGCACATCCTTGCTCAACATCAATAAAGTAGGCACAACTGAGACATTTGTTGGAGAACAAATCTTGCTATTAATCTTTCCATAACCATACCATAACCCATCAACACCAACCCACCCACCATACCCCACAAACACAATAATGACTACCGTATCCTGCTCTACCCATATATACCACACAAAAATGAATGACTCAGGTCATATGCATATACCCTGAAAACACAATAACAATGACACTATTGTCAACCCACCCACCATATACCTCACAAGCACATTAATAAAGGGCCAGTACATGAATGGCTTTGGGACAGTGTATCTCGGTCCGACTCTCCCCTTACCCTTGCCGAGAGCCGCAATGGGGTCTGACAGTCAAGACATGACCCTACCCTTCTCCATATTATAGCCTAAAAACACATTAATGACTGTCTTGCTCTACCCATACCCGCCCCCCATGTATATCTATCTCAATGAATACCTCACAGCCCCTCTCCTCACCACCCTACCCTTGAAACATATATACCCTACAATCACACCTCGTTCAGACTCTCACCCTCACCCACTGAACAATATGTAACTAATAAAATTAATAACACACATACTCAAAGACTCGTCTGTGAGTTTGTTAGTAGTAGTAGTAGTAGTAGTAGTTGTAGTAGTAGTATATGGTCCTGTGCCTCACCCCACAGTTTAATCTAAAAAAGATAAATGACTATCACCCCTCACCCCTCGACCAACCCCCGCCCCTACCTTACCCAAATGACAGTCACAACCTCACCAGTTTCTGTAGGTCGTCGTTTCCACCGACGTGAACAGCGTTGAAGAATATTTGCGGTACCGTCTTCTTCCCAGTGCGTGTTTGCAAATCCTGTCGACACTGGGGAAACTTGTCAAGGCCGACGTCGGAATACGGTATTCGCAGTTCTTGCAGACTGTTCTTGGCCCGCATACAGTGAGGGCATCCGAGGATGGAGTACACGATCACACGTCCTTCCAACTCCATAGCTGGTAAATGCTTCAGTAATGCGGATGTAAAATGTTGCGCAGGCGAGGCAAGTGACAGTCCGCGTATCGACCTCCTCGCCAAGTTAAACTGCCGACTCACGATTGGAAATAAATATTGCCAAGTCATCGCCAGTTTACACTGTAGCCATCGCAACAACATAAGTAACAATTAACATATAAATGCATACAATGGCGGATTCATGTAAAGCTACTGTGCTGACGGACCAAGGGCCATAATCCAGCTGCCATGACAGTCACGCGATTGAGATCTGGAGCCAATATGACCATGAGTTTACATTTCGTTGACTCGAGGCATGTCAGAGGCAATGGCCACTCACCCAGCTCGTGTTGTCACTGACAGTAATAATATAGTCTCATTAAAAAGCGGTAGCGAGAACAAAAATCTTATTTCAATGAGACTGGATGGTAATCGTGTTGCCAGTAAAGTTCGCTTTCCACACGGGGAGAGAAGATTAGACGTCCCGGTTAGATAACGGTCTATCTGATAAGGCCGAGCACCTAATGAAGTGCGAATATATAGGTCGGTCGAAATTTAACATGTAACATAATATTTGGTTTGTTCTCTGAGAGGTTTCCAGCGACCAAGAGCTAATATTAATTATAATCTTTCAAAAAAAATACTTTACTATTTCTACAGTTGTAACATGCTTGTCACTTAATTCGGGCATGTCACGTATCTACGAGTAAAATGTCAACTTTGCAGGTCACGAGATAAGATCAATGTGTCATTTGACAAAAACAAATATTCTCTATGCATTACGCTCTTATAGCTCAATATTTGTACTTTGAAAACCAAAACGGTTTTATATTTAGAAACATATTGTATTTCAACATTAAATACATAATAAAAAATGTTATTGACATTGTGTGTAAGGGCGCCACAATAAAAAATAATTACGTCACAGCCTAAACAGAAGTTTCACCACGCTTTATTACAAAGACGAATTGTTACAGAGTGTATTAGGAGTCGGTCGAAATGACATACCTATTGGGTGAGACCCACAGCATGGCGACATGCCGGGTAGCCTATAGTGGTTAAAGCGTTCGCTCATCACGCCAAAGACCCTGGTTCGATTCCCGACATGGGTACAATGTGTGAAGCCCATTTCTGGTGTCCGCTGTCGTGATATTGCTGGAATATTGCTACAAGCGGCGTAAAACCGAAGTCACTCACTCACACTATAGGAGAGTATTGCATGCGTGTGTGTACGAAACTTGACAAACGAAGTCCGTGACGTTAAAGCTATATCACGGCAGCGGTATGAAATGTCAACCCTACAGCCTATTGTTCATATGATGTACAATGTGTGAAGCCCATTTCTGGTGTCCCCCGCCGTGATATTGCTGTAATATTGCTAAATGCGGCGTTAAACCATACTCACTCACTCACTGTTCATATGACATAATGTCATCAATTTATGTCGTCATGAATAATGGATGACGTCATATCGTATTTTTCTCCACAATGAGGTCATATGGCTTTATTTGACCAATCAGCATTAGAACCGCAAAAATACACACGTGCAAATATAGGACAGTTATGACACGATCATTCTTGCCATGCCACGTTTATTTCTGATAATTGCAGCGACATGATTCAATTCAAGTTGTTCCATATATATAGTGACTGACGGTGCAGGCTAAACTGTTTTCGCCAATGGTGACGTTTTCCTGAGGTGACGGTTTAGCTATAACCCGTGACTGATGATGCACGTGAACTCGAAAGGGAGATGCACGTTTACTGCATGTGCTGTATGAATGTTGTAGAGGGTTGTCAATGGGAGCAATGGGTCTGTAACTATAATCTGGAAGGAGTGTCAAGTGACCAATCTCGAAATAATTACCTATTGGGTGAGTGAGTGAGTTGGGTTTAACGCCGCTTTTAACAGTATTCCAGTTATATCACGGCGTGTCAGCTTAATGGGGGAGGAAAGTCCGAAGTGATGCAGGTCTCAGACGTTTACCACTTCGGTGAAACCCACGCGCACGGGTATGGTGCTGACAAACCTAGAAACAATCAGGGATTCGAACCAACAACCATAGGTTTCTGGCGTGCCCATGGGACGTACCCCTGCACAGCGAATCGCGGCGCCTTAGACGACTGGGCCACCCGTGCCCCCCGTTGTATACGAGGTTGTAACAGTTAACAATTTGCATGTGAAAAGCTCTATGCTTTCCATGCTTAAAGGGTGCATTTGAACCAATTCAACACCAGGCCGCACACTTTTGCGGTGAATACAGAAGGCACTTCTCATGAAAACTGGCAATGACAAAGATTCCCACATGCTGGGTTCCAAGGCTTCTGCCCCTGGTGAGAAACATTCCAGGTTTCACCTTTCGTGAGATTTCACGTCGTGTTGAAGCAGACCCAGTTGAGTTTGTTGAGCAATGGTAACCGTGGATGAGTCTTGGGTTCACCACCACCAGCCAGATACGAAACAACAATAAAAGCAGCGGAAACAGCGCAAAGTATGTTCCATCAGCTGGGGGATTCCCAAGGAAGCCTATTGGTGGACTTCCTCTTCACCAATTATGACCAATATTATTCTAATCTGTTTAGGCAACTGTGTGAGAATATCAAGGCGAAACGTCCTGGTAAAGTCACTACAGTTGTGTTGTTACACCAGGACGATGCACTCGTCTGTTTCGCCATGGCTGCAATGCATGTCTGTGGCTTTGAACTCATTGAACAGCATCCGTATTTTCACCAAGTTTGGCACAGTCAGATGTCCACCTCTTCCCAAACGTGAAGGAACTGAGTGGCAAGCATTATAGAATATTGATGAAGTCGGTTTACCTATAGAGAACTGTTTACATCACCAGTGGGATCCAGGCACTCAGACGTCGTTGGCCGAAGTGTGTGGGCCTGGGAGGTGATAAAATAATCAGCAACTAACTCAGTCAACAACGCAGTCATCAACGCAGTCCATCACAGTTAGGCTTAGACCATTCAGCTTTCCCTGGTACTTGGTATTTTCACATACCCCTGTCATGACGCGTGTACTGTTGGACAGACCGTATAGAGACTTTTACATGCGTGTGATACTGATTTCACTTCACCCGAGTGAGAACGAGGGGAATACACGAGTTCCTTCAGGAGTTTGGTAATATCCATTTTCTAAACCTTTGTTGATTTTCAAACTAACAGAACAAACTTTTTTGTATTTGAACTTTAAAATTCAGTAAACAAAATATCTGAATTCTGATGTATTTGGAAATACCAAATACGCTTGTTTTTCCTGTTGAAAGTTTGGATGTTTGGGAACTTACTTCAATTAAAAAAGGCACAAAACCATACTATTACACACTGGCAACTTCAAACTTATTTGTGAATTCACAACTTGGATAAATTGTAGCTTTACGAAAAATATCAATCTTGAGTGGGCCCAAAATTTGTCAAAGCACTTAAAGTTACTCCAGACACCAAACGGAGATGGTTCAAATAATAGACTACTGCACTGCTTAATACAAACAAATTTGTTTTTACTTAAAATTTAAAGTTAAGGAAGTCAGATCATGAAAAAAACAACCTTGAAACATATTAGTCAAGATATATCACAGAATAAAACTATGTTTTCAAAACAATGAACCTAGCATATTATATACCAATATGGCATCTTTTGATGTATTGTTCAAGGACAGAAGTTCTGGCCCTTACTTACCTTGAACTGTATCAGTCAGAGTGGCCTCTTGTCTACCATGTGTATGTCATATTCTTTTCTTCAGTTATGTTTTATATTCAACATGTGTATAGGCCATTGTTAAGCAATGCTGGATGAATGAAAGTGGTGTGTGTATGAATTTGTTTTAAAATATCAGAACCTGTGTTTATATGGTTAAAACAAATTATACTCAATGACAATTGCACCTCTCTGGGTGCAGTCTTTGCCTTTCCTGATTCTGAAATAAATATTGATAATTAAAACCATAAATATATTATATGCACGGAAATATAATTATCTCTTTCTCCACATATGGATACCAGCTGTCATAATTACAAATCAAGACATTATATCTCATGTTACGAATCGGGCCGAGCAGTAAATGATGTATGATTTGAAGTTATGTCATCCTGTACTGTGACCCCATAGTACAATATGTTATCAACTTCCAACATAGCCTGATAACATTAGCTGGCCAGCCAGCCTCCAGCATGTCAAACTGGAATGGACAGAATACACTTCAAGCAGTCTGTGTACATAATTCTTCTCCAAAACACTAGTGTACAGGTAGCACACAGGAGCACTGGAGTATGACACAATGCACCCTACCACCACTGCTTCGGTAGGTAGCTGAATATTCCAGCAATATCACATCCGGAGACACCAGAAATGGGATTCACCCATTGTCATCATGTTGGGGCATCATCCCAGGGCCTTCCATGTGACGAGTGAATGCTTTAACCACAAGGCTACCCCATCGCCCTACAAGTAATAGAGGTTAACCATTTTTGTCAACCACCACACTTATGGTGCTGACGAACCAACCAATGCTAATAATCAGGGCACTTCTGGAATTTCGAACCCACAATCAGCAGATCCTGGTATGAATTAGGGAGCATTAAACCATTCCCGTGCAGTGATGAGACTTCAATACTGTAATGAATAAACAACCAAATATTCTGTGAAATGCGTTTATTCTGGAAGAGGCATGTGGCGGCCATGGTGCTGCCACCAAGTATCACGTTGCCGGTATACAGGGGCAGACAACCTCACACAACACAGTTTGTTTCTATACACTTCCTAACAGCTCTTCAATCAAAAAATATTATGTTGATTTATTTTTTTTACAAATAAAAGTGCAATATATTGAGTAAGTGTGGTTTTCAGTGAAGTATCCTGTCAGGATGTCTGGCTATTGGAGAAACATAACTGAGAAAGAGAGCCAGTGAGACAAAACCCATCCGTGTCACAGCATGTGCACTAATGCCAGGATTCCATATTGAAAATAAATTAGTCCTATCTGAACATAAGGCATACTGAAAAAACAGTATGCAGTCCTTTACAATATGTCATACCATTGTACACCTTTCCAATAAGTATGTCATTACAGTACATACCTGTCATTCACATTATACATTGACCTCTACATGTCTTGTACATCCTAATGTTATGACATCAAGATTTGTGTAACCTTGGCGAACACATGAGGCAGTTGGAACAGGCTTGATCAACATCCTTAATGTTTTCTTCAGTTTTACAGCTTAACAGCTTTTACAGCATTTAGCTGGATCAGTAAACAATGTACTGTTCCGACAAACACTGCTGCAGTAACAAATCATCCGTTCGTCCGATAGTTTGTGCCATAACATAAGTCATATCGGAAAATCATATTTCAGACAAAACAATTCACGTTTATGTAAATAATGAGGGCATCTGGTATAGTATTGCCCCCAAATGGCATAATTTTCTGACTCCATATACAAAAGGTCCTAAGCCATTGCTAGTCCAAAGGTCTAACCCTTTCTAAATTTGATCTCAAGTCTACAGTAATTCTCATTTGAAGATTGAAACAGCTCTGAAACAAGCACCAAGTTGTCTTACATCATACAGTGTATTGTAGTCACCTTACAACCAAGACCAAATCATCACAGCACTAATTCTGAAGTCCCCTTCATAAAAATCGAAAATGTTTCAGGAAGAATGAAGTCACTTGTGATTATATCCTACCTCCATAATTCCAGGGACTTAGTCCTTGGTTTATCCTCTTTCAAAAATCAAGTGAATAAATCCAAAAACTCTTTTTTCTGAATGAACTGGAAGATGATCCCACAACCAACTAATGTCAATGTCCATCTTCCGATTACCCTTACACCATTGACACAATACACTCATGAGGCATAAACATGACACTGTCTTCAAACTACACCTTTCTCATAATAGCAATAAAATACATGCTGCTTGATGAGACGTTCATTGGGAAGACAATCCTCCATGTCTCTACAACTAGCCTATGTCTGATCGCCAACTTGCCACTGTCCCAATCATCAAGCTATAAATGCAGTATCAATCATGAGGTATTGTGACTAGCATGTTTATGTATCAGTCACTGCCTTCTCCATTCCTTGAACATCTGGGACATCAATGAGGCAGCCACTGACCCAGGGCAGATGTAGTGTAACTGCTAAATCTGTGTCTAACGAGACCCCTTTTAATCAGCTTCAACACAGCCTATGCAGCATACTATGTCTTGTTTTGTACGGGATTCTGCTCCACTTTTCATAGTTAAGGTCATTGAAGATATACTGTGGGCATTACCTTAAGGTGGATGTAAGAAGTTATACCTACCTCTGTTCTTTAGGTGTAGCCTGTCAGATCCGACTTGGCAACACATGTGGCAGTCATATCCGACTCAGCAACACATGAGGCAGTCATATACCACTCGGCGACATGTGCCAGTCACATATCAGACTCGGCGACATGTGCCAGGCAGTCATATCTGACTCAGCAAGACCTGAGGCAGTCATATCCGACTCAGCAACATATGAGGTAGTCATATCAGACTGAGCAACATATGTGGCAGTCATTTAGGCTCAGCAAGACCTGAGGCAGTCATATCCGACTCGGCAACACATGAGGCAGTCATATCAGACTTGGCAACATATGTGGCAGTCATATCAGACTCAGCAACATATGTGGCAGTCATTTAGGCTCAGCAAGACCTGAGGCAGTCATATCCGACTCGGCAACATATGTGGCAGTCATATCAGACTCAGCAACATATGTGACAGTCATTTCGGCTCAGCAAGACCTGAGGCAGTCATATCCGACTCGGCAACACATGAGGCAGTCATATCCGACTCTGCAACATATGTGGCAGTCATATCCGACTCGGCAACACATGCGGCAGTCATATCCGACTTCAACCAGCATTCTGGTACCTGAACCTGACCTAGCCTAGCCTAGCACTGGGACTTACTGGGAGCTAACAGGTGGCACCCTGATGACCCATATGATTCCCATCCTTATTCACTGCAACTTACTGTCAGAGCATCGATGACTATCCTGTATCATCAGGATACAGAAGGTTCCATAGATTAACTGCATCTGACTTATGAGAGATGAATATTGACATCTACGTGTTCAACATTGCGTAATAATTACCTTGAACTTTAACACTTATACACGAGGCATATCAGTATATATGTTAAATAGTAGATAGATAGGTTTGTCCAAATTAAAATAGCAAAGAAATAAAGAATACACTCGGATAATCTTTAACAAGCAACAAAAGCAAATTATCTCATTGTAATTTGTGGTAGTTCCAAAGAAATGTTCATGCCAAGATCGCAACAGATTTCATGTGAATACATACAATTACTTTTCATTCAGGTGGACACTGAACTATCCAGCAAGATGCCTGGCAGGTCTAAAATTCATCAGGAGCACCCCTCCAACTTCAAAGTCAAAAACACTAAAACTCCTCGTTCTAATTATATTTTCATGTCACATCACAAACACTGCAAAAATGAACGCAGTGAAGTCAAAAATATTGAGTCACCTAACAGATATGTTAAAGCATCGTAAAGAGGCTTGACCAAATTGTATTGTGAGGAATCATAGGATTTAAGCCTTTGTTAAATGGTTAAGTTAGCCTAATGTCACCGAGACTTCCACACAGGACACTTGTAACAAGTGTAGGCCTGCATAGAAAGAGACACCACACTGTGCAGCCTTGCCACTCTTTGAGTGATGGTTCAGGGAGAAGACATATTTGTGCTGAAAAACAGCAGCCCAACAGAAAATCTCACTATAGTTGCGAGTCGTTCCAAACTGCATTATACATGTTACCATGGTTACTTACTTAAGCTGTACATTTCCGACATACAACTACAACAGGTTACCACGGTTACAACTGGCCAGAACCATACAACACTCATCCTTCAAGCACACTGCAGGCAGACAGGCAGATAGGCAGGCGTGATATGGGAGCAGTCACTACTGGTAATACAAGGAAGATATACGAGCTCTGAACTAAAAGCAGGATCATTGGGAGAAGTTGATTGAACACATGAGCTTCATGGGAAGAGATGACCTTGAGTGGCCCTGGTGTTCACATCTCAGGGGTCACCACATATACAATAAAATGTCAACCATCTAGTTGCTTGGCAACACTAATGAGCAGAAGCCACCAGGAGGACAGCCGCGTATGTATGTACAGCCAGTTTGTGGACCGGATACATGGCCCGACTCAAGCACAGGGTTGTCTGGGTTACATTAAATCCAATGCCAACCTCCCCTCCTCCTCCTCCAGTTGAGGGCAGAGTCTGGCAGATCAGTCGTCCTAGCTTCACTCCAACACAAGCAGTCACAGTAATATGTACACATTACACAAGCAGGTCAGCCAACTGGCTCTCCACACAACATGGCCGTTGCCGCCACCAACACCTCTCAGCCATGTCCTGCACAGATCCAGGGAGGAGGGAGCCAACCCAATCCATTAACAGTGGATGGCGCCCAGACATGATGGACATTCAGACAGGCAGGCAGACAGACAGATAGACAGACGACAGACTGGTGATGTTGAGCTGCAGCAGGCTGTTGGTACTGGGCGCCACCACCACAAGTCACACACTGTTTGTGTTTAGATAAAAGTACCCCCTAACAGCATCGTTTACTGGTTGAGTCCATATGTTTTATATCAACACCTTTAGGCTCGGAGTCCCGTCCTGGGGTCTGAAACGACAAGCAGGAACCTCAGCAACAATGACATTCATGGGGATAATATCAGTATCAAAGGGAAATCACGCCTATGTTTAGAGCTAGAGACTTTGGTTTTATGCCGATTTGAACAGTATTTCAGTTATATCATGGTGTATCAGCTTGATGTGGAAGTAAAGCCTGAAGTGTTGCAGGTCGCAAGACTGACAAAAGTAGAAAAATAATTAGCGAATCTAAGACTGGAACCAATGATTAAAGGTTTCTGAGACATCCAAGGGACGCAACTCTACATAGCCAATTGTGATACCTTGAATAAATAGAGTCAAAACAGATGGGGAACTAGTGCAAGCATACAGTCATCCTAATACTTGGGATAGTAGTTTTCCTAAAGTAATATCAGGATTAACAAAGTCCGAAATAATGAATCATGGTCAGAAAAAACTCGGGATTTTCGTGAACACACAATGCCATTTACAGATTTAGAAGGTGGTCAAATGTAATAAATGTTTCATTTCGGATAACACTTTCTTAGTAAAGTACAGATTCTCATACTTTTTGGGGTTGAGGCTTTTGGAAGCCTCAGTCAGAGTGGGTTAGATCACTGACTTTGTGTGCTGGTGATTGGGTGCCTCACTCTGACAGTGTGGGTTCGAATCCCGTACGGAATTCAACACCAAAAAAAGTATGAGAATCTGTACTTTACTGAGAAAGTGTTATCCCAAATATAACATTTGTTACAATAGGCTTTCTGATTACAGATTTTTGGCTAAATAATTCAAGTTGGTAGGTTGAGAACATATGATAAAATTTCAAATATGTTGGGGGGATTTCCTCAAAATATTAACATGAAGTAGGTTTAACAATAAAAAATAATTATAGAATTTTGAAAAATTTATTTTTATTGAAAGGGGCAGTATTTCATTTTTCTTTTTAAATTTTACTCAATTAACCAGGTTGGTGGAATAAAAAAGACACTGCTTTTTCATTTTTTTTACAGTTCAAAAATAACAGGTTGGCAGATTCGTAAACCAAATTTAAAACCTTGCAGAGTTATGTCCCTTTGTATATATTCTACTCAAAAGAAGTTAAAGAACACCCAATTTTTTAATGACCATAATTACTCGTTACATCATATGAAAAATCGGATGTTCTACATTTTATTTTGAGTAGTATATGTAAGGGTTCCCAGTAGCAATCGTCTGGAAGGTTGGGTTTCTGAATAAATGAATCAATTTTAACCATTGCTAACCTGTATCTTGCAGGGGTAATATATTGGTCTCTCTGGGTAATTACAATCAAAACTAGTTACAAGTTTATTCTGTTGTGGATCTGTCATAAGTCAACATTTTGAAGACAACATTGAAGAAAGATGCTTGTTATTACCTTGTTTAAAATTGCTTGTGCTAAATCCATGAAAGCTTTTTCAACATTAATATTAGCCTTAGCACTTGTCTCTAAGAATGGAATATTGTGTTCCCTGGCAATCTGGAAAACAAAAAAACAAAAGTTACCATGGTTACATGCAGGACTATGTAAGAAACATGTTTGGTGTGCGAAGATACATATTACCATCCCTTTAACAAATAAAATTCCCCATAAAACCTGAGTCAAAATCAACAACCCTCCCACATACACAACCCACCCCAAAAACATTTAAGTGCATTGTGCATCTTATTTTCTTATACATTGGTGCATCCTGCCACCATAACCATTAAACCTTCAAAACATTCACAATAATTACAATAGAAATGATCAAAGCTACAAAACATTCACAAATACTTGATCTTCCAGATAAAACCGTCCCGGTGAACACAAAGAACCATATTAAACCCCAAACACATACAATATTACACAATCCTGAATACATCACTCCCCATACACACAGACAACTGGGCCATTCGTGCCCCCCAACACAGGGCTAATTGTGATGATAAAACAGAACAGCTAGCTACATATGTTTAAAGTTAGACCATGCTCAGCCTTCAAATACACAAGCCTAAAGTCTACTGACCACATCACCACGATCCTTCGACACCTGACGCTTGTCCTCCATGTCACACTTGTTACCTAAGATCATCTTCTCCACATCCTCATTTGCGTGCTGCAACATCAACAGGATACGTCGGCGATTAATATCAACAGGGTACATCAGCAATAATATCAACAGGGTACGTCGGCAATAATATCAACAGGGTACGTCAGCAATAATATCAACAGCAATAATATCAGCAGGGTACGTCAGGAAAAATATCAACAGGGACGTCAGCAATGATATCAACAGGGTACGTCAGCAATAATATCAATAGGGTATGTCAGCAATAATATCAGCAGGGTACGTCAGCAATAATATCAACAGGGATGTCAGCAATAATATCAACAGTGTATGTCAACAATAATATCAACAATAATATCAACAGGGTACGTCAGCAATATCAACAGGGTACGTCAGCAATAATATCAACAGGGTACGTCAGCAATAATATCAGCTGGGATGTCAGCAATAATATCAGCAGCTATGTCAGCAATAAGATCAAAATGGATGTCAGTCATAATACCAACAGGGATGTCAGCAATAATATCAGCAGTGTGACTTCGTCAATGACACTGCTGAATAAGGCAAATGCACACAAATGTAAATAAATACAATGTGCCCAGCCCAATTTGCGTTCTTTCTTTGACAACAATCACTGGAAAACCGACAAAGGAGGTATGCAAACATGCCAATCAATAGGTGGATGTAACCTCAAACCTTAAATCAGACTGAAGCATGATATCACCTTCTGACGGGATATATAAGCAACATCACCAGGTGTGACATTAAAAATAAAAATCAACACAAAAAGTATGGCTCGCTCCTAAACTGAATGCAATGAGCATGTACATAAAGACAGTCACCAAAGCAAAGAACAAAGTGATAGAATGCAAAAGTCTACCTCATCAATGTTGCGAAGCCACTTTGAGATATTTTCAAAGGTCTTTGCATTGGTGATGTCATACACCAGCATGATGCCCATGGCCCCACGGTAGTAGGAGGTGGTGATGGTGTGGAAGCGCTCCTGTCCGGCAGTGTCCCTGAAGTATAACAACACATACTGCAGCAATCTAACTCATCTGCTACACATACAGTGTTCAAAATGAAGGGAGCCTGTGGGGTAAATCCTTACATCTTAACATGCTTTTTGCTTTATTTGTTTGTTGTTTAACGCCACACTCCGCAATATTCCAGCTATATGACGACGGTCTGTCTTGACCAGCGATTGACATCATGAGCATTGATTGGGGACATGATGACCTGCATCAACCAAGTCAGTAAGCTTGATCACCCGATTCCTTTAGTCACCTCTTACGGCAACCGTAGGTTGCTGAAGAACTATTCTAACCCGGATCTTCACGGGTCCCTTTAACATGCATCCTTTGACTTTCATGTTTAATTTTTAGTGAGTGAGTAAGCATGGTTTTACATCGCTTTTTGCAATATTTCAGCAATATCACAGAGCACCAGAAATGGGCTTTGTTTAATTTTGAACACTGTTAACGACTAATATGGTTGGTTGGTATCTCACAGGACTCGATTTAAGGAACTTGACTTGACCAGGTGCATGATGACATGAAAACCAAGAAAAGTAAAGTGTAATGGCAACATGTGCACATTATCTTGAAGTACCCACCAATTGATGATGTCAGCATATTCTTGCCCATGAAAGCATGACAAATTATACATTATATTATTAAGCTTTAGAGGTACTGAGCATGTTCAAAGATTTATTGTGTTTGTGGACAAGTAAAAGTTAGGGTTAGTCAGACACAAATTTGACATGCACTTGATGCATGTAGCCAAATATTTATATTAGGATGCAGTTTTCAATAATAGGTTGCACTGGTGCATGTCTTATATAACTACATCGAGCCCTGTCGTGTCACAGCAGTATTTCAGCTAGGCCGAACCAGTGGTTGATAGTATGAGCAATGTATTGAGGTGAAGGTCCCTACAGGCTCACCCCTGGTCATAAGTTACGCAGCTACACTGCATTAAGCACTTAGTCAACTATTATGCTTATCATTTAATCTATCTATATATTCCTTACCATATCTGCAGCTTTATCTTCTTCCCACCAAGTTCCACGGTTTTGATTTTGAAATCAATTCCTGCAAGAAAATCAGCACCAGATTAATACAGACTTTTCAATACAAAATTGCTAGAACAAATAAGAGTAGCTAGCTGAGTGAGACTTGCAGCATCTATTTTAAGGACCTAAGAGTTGCCAAGGCTGCCAATGAGCTAGAAGAATGGGCTTACAATCAAGTAACTACAATAATTTCCTCATATGCAAATGTGCATACACTAACTTCAGAATGGTGGACCTCGATCAAGTGGTACATCTTGCATAAAGTATGTTTTTACGTGCACCTATGAGAATGATCAAACACTTGTTCCAAAAAGCCTCTTGTACGTGTTGTATAAGCGTGAAAAAAGGGACAGACCTGACATAACCAAACAATTTGTACCCAAAAAAGATTCAACTTAATATTTTAGGGTAGTAAACTGGTAAAGAAAGCTGACTATGGTACACAACCCTCGAGTCATCCGGCAGTGTCATTGACCCAATAAATATAATAGTGCATGCATTGAGAAGAATGAAGTGCAAAGGTCAAGAACTGAAGAAGGCCCAAATTACATTTATTTTCTAATGACACACCCAAATCAACTGACTATTTACAAGCATGACCTGTGTTGGCAGTGTTTGACACAAACACATTTTGCATCACTAGACCCTGTGAGTGGTGTGACAGAGCAGAACATTTTCTCAGGGACTAAGGCATTTAATCAATTGGTCAACCAATTAATCAATCAAAAGACACCACTGGTCACATCCAACTAGTCCGTAGCTTATCTTGCAAAATAACTGGACTTTGGCAGAGAGAAAAAAAACTGTCCGTCTGGACTCTCACTAGTCTCGGACTAACAGACTAGTGCACGTAGTGGCCGTCTCTATCCCTGCCATGCCACTGACCTCCAATACAAAGAACTTAACCCAGCATTTCCATTGCTCCTGCACAGGATGAATGCATACTCAATATGCTCAAGTTCGTTCAAAGTAAATAGATTAAGCAGTCCACAGTTGAAGTGTTTATGTGATTGGATTAACCCAAATACTCTGGAAATAATCCCTTTATAATACGTTTCACATGCTTGTCCTGTCATGTTTTCACAGTGATCATGGTGATTCATAGGTCTCTTTTAACCTGTTTCTGCTTTCACTATTAGCATGATCTGCATGAAATAGTTCTGAAAGTGAAACTGGCTATTTAGTAATCTTGAATGATTATGTGATACTAACAACCGTTTTGTTTAATATTCCAGCTAAATGACAGCGGTCTGTAAATAATTAAGTCTGGACCAGACAATCCATTGATTGACGTCAAGAGCATCGATCTACACAATTTGGATACAACATGCAATCAACAAAGTCACAAAGCATCCGATCCACTTAGTCGCCTCTTCAAGTTCAATTCATTATGAAACAGGACTTTTTCAAAATCATTAAGAAAAATGGTAAAATTTAATGGTGTTAAGCATGATTGTCTAATTGGGACATATTAACAACAAACATATTCTTTTGGCTTACATGGTGTACTTCTGCCTTCGACACATGGTGTTGAAACAAAAATCACAGTAATGCTTACGATGTAGGGAGAGTAATGATCAACCAAACATTTGTTTCAGCACATTTGTCTTATGAGGTCATGTACCGAAACAAAATGATATAAGTATGTAAAGGGTGACCATGATGGCATGGACAGATGGAAATTTACATGAAGATGAATTGTCAAAAACTATATTCTAAAGGTATGTGCAAGAGCTAAAGCCTTTTAACAGATTAAATCAAATCTACTTAATATGTTTTGACTCCCATTCATTCTCCTTAGCATGGCAAGTGTCAAGTATGTATCCAGGTATGTATCTGATTGTGTCAAAGTGACTTATTACATCCCTAATACTTTATTGCTGATAGACGCATTAAACTGGATGAATGCTATTACTTATTAGCTAACTAGCTAGCCAAATAAGTAGTTGTAGGAAGGAATTTTGGCCCCGGAACTTTTAACACTAAACTATGTCTTTGCAATAATAGCTTAACTCAGCCATCACCCCATTGCTGATATAATCACGATAATCTACTCTTACTGGTTTCAAGCTAATCTCATGATTCTTAAATAAAGAAAACTTGTCTCAAACAAGTGAACCTGAATATGCATAGCTGACAGTATTCCCAGAGTGCTCGACGATGTGATGGTGATGATGATGATGATGATGATGATGATGATGATGATGATTGTCAAAATATACACGTATCGCCTGTATTACATGTCTAAAACTAACTTTATGTCATAGATTCTACATTATGAGTAAATGAAATATAGCTCATGTTTCACACTAAAGCAAATGTCACTTTGTGGTTGTCAGTTTTCATACTCTCTGGAGATGCTTTTTATGGCTGTGATCACTTCCTGGAGTCATGATCACGAGATCGAGAAAACAGAATGTTTACTGGCAACTAGTATTCTTAGTTAGTACTCACCTATGGTGGATATAAATGTCGTGTTGAAAGCATCATCTGAAAATCTAAAAAGCAAACACGTCTTTCCAACTCCGGAGTCACCGATCAAGAGCAATTTGAATAAAAGGTCGTATGTCTTTTTCGCCATTTTCTACCTAGCATTCAAAATGGCGACTACAACCTTATCACATTAAATAAATGTTCTTAGTTTGAAACAGCGTCGACTATACAGTTCGTATAACAGTATCTGATTTCTTTGTCCAGATGGCAACAAACTCCGATAGGTTGGTTTCGCAATGGAGCTTTATTGTTGCTCTAGCCGATTCATTTCCATCCGCAGCGGCACTTCGCGATATTTCCTTACGTCATTTCCTAATCCGGGTACTGAAATGATTAATGCAACGGGAGGTAACTCTCACCACACCCTACGAAGCGTGTCGGCCACAATATATTCCTCAACGTGGCGCCCTGACTATATGTCAATATACTAAATATAGGCTTCACTGTTATGCATTGGAATGCTTAGCGTGATAAACACCCATTTGTGACAGGCCATGATACACTGAAGGTCGAAAATAGAAGTAGCAACATAAACATATATCATATGCCACATCAAAACAGACTCATGAATGCAAGATCTATTTCATTCAGCATAATTATTGATTTCATTGAACCCCAATAAGATTAGAAAAATTAAGAAATGACATTGTAAATCTGTATGTGTTATCACGGATGTTTGTTTTTTCATATTCATCCGTAGTGTTAACTGGCTAGAGAAGGAAAATGCGCAACATACAAGACGCATATGGATTGCAAAGGCAAGACTACTTCCTTGTGCATGACGTGCTACACACCTCATATACAGTACTACAATTTTAAATATAACGAATGCTGATTTAATCATTTTAATACCCCCTGTGGCCAAACATATGTTCCTAACAGTAAACTCTGAATCATGTAAACAAATTATTAATACTACGCCGAAACAATACTGCAATATTGACTTAACACATGTCTAAGAGTGGTCGTGTGAGATCAACGTCCGTCCGTACGTGCGTTTGATACATGCCTGTTGTCACATTTACTGTTACTGAAGACAAACGTGGTACTGGAGGCAAGGAATTGGTTTGGTGTGAGTGGTTGAAAATTCACAATAAGTAATTAACCTAAGAATAAAGGGACAATATCATTTTGAAGAGTTTGTTTAATATAAAGTCAATTGCTTCATTTTCCCTCAAATACAGAGAACCCTCGGTAATCCGGTCTATCCATTGATATCGAGATTTCTTGACTAACGGGGTGTGGATAAAAGAGGTTTCTTAATACTAATTTAAGATACTATCATGCACTAGTTAGTGCAGATATGAAATGAGTAGATTATTTTTAGCTTCAATCAACCAGAGTCCTATAACTTGTATTCAATCAAGCCTTTTGCTGTAATAAAGATGAAACTGATATCTTCTTTGTTATCCTCATGACTCATACACACACAGGAGGAAACAGGTTAAGAAACGAGAACAGAAACGTCATTACTGGAATAATGAACCGAGAGAAATGTTGTCATGACCGCACGGGTTGTATTTCGGTCGCTAATTCAGTCACGTGCCTGGACTTTGATTACGCACACTGGATTACAAAGAGAATGGTGATCACCGCCGCGTGTCACATCACAACAAAAATGACAGTCACACTATCTATTCGGTATTTCCTATACAAGTAATTCAATTTACTGATATCAAGAATTCGCACGCGTGATTTCTTAAAATGGAAATAATGAATAAAATGACAAGTATTTATCAATATCAAACCAACTCAAGTTACATATCTTGGATGATTTATTGATTTGACCGATTCGATATTCAGATATGATTGTTTTTCTTTAGATATCACAAATAAATGATCACATTCAATCGAATTTGTGATTTAGAAGTGCTTCCTCGATCTATAAAAATAATCGTAAATAACTTAGTATCTGGCGACGTGTGTATAAATTAAGGAAACAAATAACCTTCTTTTAACTTTTTGTAAACCAGTGAAGATCCGGGTTAGAATAGGTCTTCAGCAACCCATGCTTGTCGTAGAAGGCGACTTTGCTTGTCGTAAGAGGCGTCTATAGCGTGGGTCGATGCTCATGATGTCAATCTCTGGATTGTCTGGTTCAGACTTTCATATCTAGAGAACACCGTCATATAGCTGGAATATTGCTGAGTGCGGCGTTAAACAACAAACAAACACTATTTTCATATCCGGCAAAATTATATTTAAGCAAAATTGCAGTGATTAAAGCCTAATACCACACAAACAACATGGTGTGTAGGAACAGATATGATGTTGTATTGAAAAATTACAGTGTGGATGTTTTGTGGTGCAAGGAGTATTTAATAACTCAGAAAGTATGTTGAAACAGTTTTAACGCCATTAAAATCCAAATGTCACTAACTGTTCGTATGGTTCATATAAATAACGAACTCCTACAATAATATTCTGTAGAAATGCTCGTGTCAATCCATGAGAGGGGCACGGGTGGCCCAGTCGTCTAAGGTGCCGCAATTCGCTGTGCAGAGTTGCGTCCCTAGGGCACGTCATAAACCAATGATTGTGGGTTCGAATCCCGGTTCGCCCCGACTATGTTTCTAGGTTTGTCAGCACCATACCCGTGCTCGTGGGTTTCACGGAAGTGGTTAACGTCTGAGACCTGCATCACTTCAGGCTTTCCCCCCACATCAAGCTAACACGCCGTGATATAACTTTAAAAGACTGTTCAAAGCGGCGTTACACGTATACCTTACTCACTCCATTCATTGAACAGTCTTTGCAATCTAATGCCTGCTTATATATATTGTCTTGTATATTCACTACCTATATTATTCAGAATCACATTCCATTCACAATATTAGACTAACGCTTACTCTAGAAAATACATAATTTCGATAGCAACAAGCAACTCCTTTTCGATTAAAAAGGAGCCTTGTGAAAAATGTAGACTTGCTTCATTTAGAGCTTTAGCATTTCAGTAGGGGCAGGGTGGAAGGGAAAATATTATGGTTCAGGAACTGTGATACAGATTATCACGACATGGAACTCTGGTCAATGAGCTAGAGGTTTCATAGTTCACAAGTAAACGGATTTAAATTCGATATCGATGAATTAATGTTATCTTAAAATTTAATGTCGCCTTTTAAACATGATTGATAACACCAATAAACCAGCTAATAATAGCGTGAATTATATTCGTAGTCACGAACCCAGATGGTCTGTTCAGTTATTTCCTCGTTCTTCGAAGATATTTTGTAGAGTTACTAAATTCGATTATGGAGACGTTTAACGCATTTAAAAGTGGGAGACGAGGGCTCCATAACGTTATATTCGTCCCCTTGGTGTTTGTGTGGTTTTGATTCAAAATACGACGACGTCAGAGCGAGTACCGAATAGGAGTGACCGACAGAGACCGGAAGACTGAACTACGTGATGCAAGTCAACACACTTGTTTACATCAATATACAAAGGGACATAACTCCATGCAATCAAAATACCTATTTGGCAGTTGGGTGGCCTAGCTGGTGGTTGAAGCGTTCGGTTGGTACCCCGTACGGCCCTGGTTCGGCTCCCTAATGTGTAAAACCCATTTCTTGTGTCCCCCGCCGTAATGCTGCTAAAAGCGACTTAAATCCTCACTCACCAGCTGCACCGTACCGCACTCGTTACGCAACGCCATTAAGTTGGTTAATTGGTTGGTTGGTTTGTTGTTTGACGCCGCACTCACACATGATTATTTGATACTAACAACCGTTTTGTTTAATATTCCAGCTATATGACGGCGGTCTGTAAATAATCTAGTCTGGACCAGGCAATCCAGTGATTGATATCATGAGCATCGATCCACGCAATTGGGATCAATGACATGCATCAACCAAGTCAGCGATCCTGACCACCCGATCCCGTTAGGTCCGTGGTCTTGATTAATAAGGGCAAATATTGTTAGGGTCGATAAAACTGGCTTTGTTACAATTCGGTGTGAAAAGGGACAAATAAGACCTAATATTATTTTTGATATGGTTTCCTTTTCTTTGCTGTGTCATCGGTTCTTTTAATGACGTACTACCATTTTGTTTTCTTTACCACAACTTATATGTTTTATATATTGGATTGGATCATTCAAACTCTTGCCCTCTTTCCTAATTCAAATCTACACTTCACATTCACGCTAAGCACGAGTTCCAGAGTTCCAGATTGGGTGTCATCAACAATAATTATTGTCAATACCTCACAGGTTAGTTGACATCTTTGGGTGCAGGCTAAAACGGCACCTCAGCAAAACGTCACCGATTTCTCTGGCGAAAACGGCACCGCATTTGGCGAAAACGGCTACTATAGGCTACTATGTGTCGGGCGAAAACGGCACCTCTATTTTTAATAATGATAAGAACGATTTTTGTGGTAATATATGTATGGTTTATTTACATGGTCACAGTTATCACAGCATGTTGTTGTTTTCTGACATTCTTCTCTCATGCAACACATCGAAAGGCCATTGTGAATAATTGTGATCTGACAGCACCATGTTGGGGCTCTTAAATACAGTTTCAGTTTAAATTGAGTAAAGGTACTTAACACTTCAAAGCATCAGAGACCATATCTATTATATGGTCTCTGAAAGCTTATAGTGTTTTCACATTAAGTTAACTGTGCCTCCCAATCAGTCGGCGAGTAAATTGGAGAAGGGGTCTAATTTCGTACTTGTTTTATTTCACAATTTCACAATTATTTGTGTTTGTAAAGACGACGTGAGTTTAATTTCTATTATTTTTCTCCAAAGCATGTCATGTTTTCACAATATGTTGTGTTGTGTATAAGCTAAGTTGGATTATAGTTGGAGTAGAGGCTAATTTCTAATGTAAACTTGTTTTAGCATCTCACAATTATATTGGTGTTTGCAAGTTACCATATAAGTTTAAAGGCACTTTTTTGAATAGGTAAAAAAAAAATAAGGTGCCGTTTTCGCCAGGCAATAGTAGCCGTTTTCGCTTGAGTCGAGGTGCCGTTTTCGCCAATCGGTGCCGTTTCCGCCCGGTGACGTTTTGCTGAGGTGCCGTTTTCGCTATAACCCGACATCTTTTAGATTGGTTAAAAATGTGTACACCTTTACATGATATATTATATTTTTTCTGTAAAATATATCCAGCAAATGCAACCTTAATAAAGGTAAATCTAACCTAAGTGTAAGTAATTATTCAGTCAGGTTTTAGTGAATTTCCAATTATAGAATGTAATATAAAATAACGTATCTAATTCATTCAAGTATTTCTATTTTCCCTATGAGTAAATTGTTGCAAGTTTTCATTGTTTTCATTTTATGTGTGGGAGAGTACATGAATGAATAAGGTTTTACGCCGCTTCTAGCTATATTCCATCAGTATCACGACACGGGACACCAGAAATGGGCATAACACACTGTACCCATGTGGGGAATCGAACCCGGTTCTTCGGCGAGACGAGCTTTAACCACTAGGCTACCCCACCGCCCCATGTCTGAGAGAAAGATTAGCGTATATGTGAATGCAAGTATAAATGTGGTTTTAGCCTAAGCTGTTATGAAGTGTTCCATTCTTTTGTAATGCTAATAGATATACTGATTTATAGTTACTGCAGGATTAATGTTATATCCTGTATACACAGATTTCAGGTACGCTTGGTAGATCTGGCTTGGCGGCGCTGTCACGTCTGCGCCTTGGTGTCATACATCGGGTAGGAATTACTTTGCATAACAGTATAAGTTTATGTTATACTGTGTATCACATCCATTGAATTTGACATGGGTATTGCATTGATACGTCTGTGTCTGTACCGAATGTATGTGATCAATCGAGGAGTTATCTCCCCTTGTTTTTAATATCGTCATAATCTTTCTTATTCGTAGTTCATCTAAGTGATTTAATTGTCTGTTTTGAAGCCCCATGTATATTGACCTGGTGTTTATTGAATGATATATTGTTTCAGGGTGTGTTGTTAGACACTTGAAGAATAAGTGTTCTCACCCCGAAACCTGTGTCTTGTACCTTTGGATCCACACACTCACCCGGTTACATTTTTCCAGTACTGATGATGGATTCCTTTGAAATGTTTGCAGGTAAAATAAATTCTCATTTAGACAAATGTTAAAGATAGCTCGTTGTTACAAGACCACGCTGTACTTGATGCAAATAGGCAATCACTGGACCATGTGGCCCCCAGATATTTCACTACTACTACTTAAAACCACTAGGAATAAATGCAACCTATCATCGTTAATCAGGTTGATTTCATTGGGTACAGTACAAAAAAGAGAGATGCGGTCTACTGGAGATAATGTAGCACGCCGGCTTCAACATGGGTGCATGGTTCTATAATACGTCATCTCCATTCATCTAACTGTCCGCATCTCTAAATATCTTCCCAGCCGCATCTCTCAACACCTTCCAGATCGCATCTCTCAACACCTTCCAGATCACATCTCTCAACATCTTCCAGATCGCATCCCTGAACACCTTCCAGACCGCATCCCTGAACACCTTCCAGGCCGCATCTCTGAACACCTTCGAGGCCGCATCCCTGAACACCTTCCAGACCGCATCCCTGAACACCTCCGAGGCCGCATCTCTGAACACCTTCGAGGCCGCATCCCTGAACACCTTCCAGACCGCATCCCTGAACACCTTCCAGGCCGCATCTCTGAACACCTTCGAGGCCGCATCCCTGAACACCTTCCAGACCGCATCCCTGAACACCTCCAAGGCCGCATCTCTGAACACCTTCAAGGGCGCATCCCTGAACACCTTCCAGACCGCATCCCTGAACACCTTCCAGACCGCATCTCTCAACACCTTCGAGACCACATCTCTCAACACCTTCCAGGCCGCATCTCTCAACACCTTCCAGACCGCATCTCTCAACACCTTCGAGACCGCATCTCTCAACACCTTCCAGACCGTATCTCTCAACACCTTCCAGACCGCATCTCTCAACACCTTCCAGACCGTATCTCTCAACACCTTCCAGGCCGCACCCCTCAACACCTTCCAGGCCGGCGTAGAAGGTTAAAACGCAGGTGTAAAATAGCAGAAATGACGCCAACATTTGCATAATGCTTGCCAGACAGTTCTTTCTTGTAGTTTGGGAAGAGGTGGAAATGTGCCCATGCCTAATCTGATGAATATGGAGGATGTTCAATTTCAAAGCCACAATCGTGCATTGCAACCATGACAACATCATACTTGTGCACAGGTGCATTGTCCTGGTTGAAACAACACACCTTTAGTAAGTTTTCCCCGACGTTTAGACTTGATATTATGACGCAGTTTGCCGAAGCAGATAAGCATAACATTGACCATTAACGGTTTGACCTTTCCGGAGGTAGTCCACCAGCAGGATTCCTTTGGAATCCCTGAAAACCGAAGCCATCACCTTGCCAGCTGATGGAACAGACTTTGCATTCTTCTTCTTCGGGGACGTTAGATGTTTCCACTACTTTGACAATTGTTCAGTCTCTGGCTGATAGTGGTGAACCCAAGACTCATCCATGGTTACAACCACACAAGAAAACCAGCTTGGTTTACTTCAATGACATGATGAACCTGGAGAGTTTCTGATCAGGAGTCATGCTAAATTCTTTCCTTTAAAGAATGTTCGGCAGTTGAAGGTCTTCATGATCTTGGATCATATTTGAGGCAACCCACCTCTTAACGGCAAGGGAAGGAGCATCACCCCCGAAAGTTTGATAACCGTGCGGAAGCAAATACTGTCCTTTTTCATTAACAGAAAATACTCAGTCACTTTGATGGCTGCAGAAATGGTCTGCCTGGTTGTGTATTTGGTTCAATGCAGCCTGTAAGCATGGAAGAGTTGTACTACAAACTTGTACTACACCCTTCGTCGTTGGGCTCAGAACTTTTCCCCCACCTTCCTATATATACGAGATTATTGAGAATTTTCAATCTGCGGTCCACCTGACAGTCGTTCTGTCACCTACACTATACTGCCCCCGTCACTGCGGTCACTGGAGGACGCTAAGGTAGACTGACTACCTTGCAAGTCCATAAAACATGAAAGATGGCATTTGTTAGCTGGGTGTTTCCCGAAGACAGTTAATGCTGAGGTAACTTGGCATTTAGTATTGTTGTATGAAGGTGCTCCCCAAAGTTCGCTTTGTCTGGGCCCCATTTAAAGAGCGATCTTTGCGCTACAACTGTCACAACTCTGTTATGAAGTTGATTCTCATAGCAGTATACATGGTTTGGCAGTAGGAGTTTCTAGTGCATATAGCTAGGTGTTCCCTCGACTGCATACTGGACCAGCAAATATTTGCTTCCACAGGAGTCATAAGTTCTGCATTATAACAATTAAAACCACGCCTTCTTATAGAATATACAAACCGCAGATATGACATATTACTGGTTCTTTCTGTAGAGAGTGGTGTTTCATATTAAACATGAAACAACAATTAATATTTGTTTAAATCAGAACTTATGGCATAGTATAGTAGTATTTAATATTCCCCGTGAAGAGGTAGCAAAATGTAGATAAAGTGTTTTTTTACCTCGTGTAGTTTAAACTTAGGTAAATAATTTAGTTCAGTACGGTAGTAGCCCCTATACTAACCTGAGCACTCTCTACTGGTGCCAAGGTAAAGTAGTTATGTAAGGTCTTTAGTGAGACACAGACACAGCTTGGCCAGTGATTGCCTGTTCTATTGTTTCTGTAGCATGTGACCAGGTTTTCAGCTTTAAACACTTCAATATTTCTCTTCTCTGGTCACTGCTGCATTTCAACCCTGCATGATTCACAGCACTGCACTGATTGAGGTAAGTTAAAGTTTCTTTTGTATTTATATTTATCATAAGGAGGTTAGTATCTGATATTTTAATCTTGTTAAATGAGTGGGTTTAGTATTCTATATATATTTCCTTGACCAGTATAGATATAAAAGTTAATTATTTTAATCCAGAACTGAGGATTCCCATGATACTACCAAGCTTTACAGACAGTATAGTGAGTTTATCATCAGTGTTGTGACACAGAAGTAGTTTTCCTGACATTTGTGTCAATGAACTCAGCCCTGCTGTCCCCCAGCAAACAGACCCCTGGACAAACTGATAACACCAACTTTGTATTGGGGACATGTTTATTATGTGTGCATGTGCATGTGTGAATGAACCAGCACCAGTAATACCGCCAGAACAAGTTGCTTCAGGGACTAAATGTCTGACTGACATGTTAACTGACTGTATGGCTGCACCTGGATGACATCCCACATATATATAATATATATATAACATGATTATACAGAAGACAGCACTGTAACAACTCACCGCGAATACAGACAGAATTGTGATGCGGCAAAAAGAAATACTCACTCACTGAAACAACTGTGAGCATTACTCTGTGTCAGGTGGATGTGGAGGTGTTGCAATGAGACGTCAAGCACTGCATTGTACAATGAGACATCAGCCACTGCATCACCTTTGTTACACTAGGACGTCAGCAGCTGCAGCATCATTGTGCAACAATGAGACATCAGCTACTACATAACTTCCGTTACAAGGAGACATCAGCTAATGCAAGAACGATACATTAGCTACTTCACACCCAGTTACAGTGACACATGAGCTATCCTCTTGCCTCAGTATATGATGAAGCACACCTGCTGTCCAGGGCCTGTTCCACAAAGCAGTCTTAGTGCTAAGATGATCGCAACTCCTATATTTAACATAGGGTTATGACAGCTGTAGTGCCTTTACATCTCATTCCATCCTCACACCCCACAGGTAATGTACCTATCGCCTGAATCAGACAATCCCCACCCCCTTCAACAAACTGTGATGACCATCTACACAGTAAACTGTGCACTCCCCACAACACATGTAGGATACACACAGGTTATATACAATAAAATGGCAATCAACAAAAAAACATATATTTTGTTATCTATTGATCAAATAAAGCAATATCAAGATTAACTGATTATAAGATGTTATCTAATAAAACACATAATAAAAAATATAATGTTTTAAACGTTTTAGCTATGTATTTGATGACTGCAGAGTTTCTATGGTAAACAAATATTCAATGAGAATATCTAAAGCTGGGTGTTGCGACTAGCACATGTCCGTGAGACTTGTCTGGTGTTCTTTCATAGATATGTTTCACAACCAGTTATTGATGGTTAAACAGATCATGTTGGCATAATGCCGGGAAAGGCAGTATTAATTAGAGAAATTAGAGAAGGAAAACCACAAACACATACACTATGAAAATAAATTATGCACTTATGATTTTGATTACTATATAACATGGTGATAGATTAATGATTACAATGAGGTGAAACAGATGTGGCCTTGGGGGACCTGAGTAAAGGGAGAAAACTCTTCTATCTTTGGCTGACAACTATTAACTTGTGAATGTGGAAGATATTAAAAATATGTATATTGAAGGTGACATTTCCACAGCCTATCTGTATGGAATAGATACATTAAAATAGTGCAATTTCTTTGATTTACAATTAACACCAGTACATCTACTTCTATAAATGAATGCTATTTGGGCATATATTTAAAACCTAAATGTTTAATATGGGATAAATGAGTGCATTAAATACCAATAAATGAACTAGGATGGTGATCCATAGCCTACCCCGAACATGGTTCACTTACTCTGATTGCCCTAAACAAAAAGGTCCCGACCCCCTCCTGTCCCCTCCCTCCTGACTGTTAACAATGTGGTGACATACAATGATACAAGGCATGCCTCACCCTACTAACAATATGTGCCCCTGAGACAGAAAATACACAAGGCTGTCAATACGCTGGAGCAAGGATGACATTACACTGATGACCGTCTCGTCATCCCAAGTTGTCCATGACATGGCTTAGAAAGTCCACAAGTCACAAAAAGAAAATTTATCACAGTCACAATGAAAACATCTCCCATCAAATCTTCGACAACAGATGTGAGATTATCTCCCCTTGAAAAGATGACTTCAGGATTTCAAGTATCTGCAAAAGATAAATGGTTTCAATTAGTTCATTGAGTGTTTGTTTGTTGTTTAACTCTGAACTTGGTAATATTCCAGCTCTATGATGGCAGTCTGTAAATAATCAAGTCTGGACCAAACAATCCAGTGATTGACATCATGAGCATCTATTTACCCAAATGCGATACAATGACATCCAGCAACCGAATCAGCGAGTCTGACCACTTGATCTCGCTAGTCACCTCTTATGACAAACATGGTTGCCTCTGACGGCAAGCATGGGTTGCTGAAGACCTATTCTAAGTGAAGCATTTTAAAGAGGCATATCTAAATTTGTATTAAAAAAACCTGACTTCCAGATGCAAACAATAAAGGTCACACTGTTGTTGTGGATATCTTATACCTCATGTAGTTTCTGATCACCATTGCACCCACACCCAAAAGAGGGTACTATCAAGGGTACTGTTGTGTGTGGGGTTTTCTGTTGCTTAGATAGCAATTTTTGAATCAAGGTTGTAAAAAATGAAGCCAACTAGTTTCAGAAAACTGCCATCTGATTGACTCAGGAACCCACACGTCCTTCATTTAGCTTGAGCTGTCAAAGTTGGCTCAGGGTTCACAGGACAAGATCTTCTTTGGAGGGGTAGTAAGATAGTGATGCCGAGAGGAATTGTCAGAGCGACAGATAAGGAGTGTATTTGCGTAAAATACTCCCCTAGAATATTCAAAACCCAAATACGTTCAATTAACTTTCTTACAGAAACTCATGCATTAAATGAAAAACTCAAATGTATAAAAACAGCATGCGTAAATACCCATTGAAGCTTTTTCAGCATGCATAAATTATGAACTAATTTACTTTCCGAGTCAAGCATATATATTTAGAAAAGTTATATACATCTAAAACATTATTTTTTATTTATTTTAAATCTTAAAATGTTCACTAATTTTGGGGAAAAACCCAATAGAGTGATGAATAGATGAGAGAAAAAATATTGGTAACCCAATGAAAAATGTAATAACCCAATTAGAATAGAAACCCTAGAGTTAAAACTCAATTGCTCAAAAAGTTATCTGGAGCTGTGATTGTGTTTGAGCAAAAGATCTGATGATAATGAGTTTGAAAATAAACTAAAGATGTCTGTTGCCAATTTAGCCTGATTATGTCCTGTGGAATCATATTTAGTTCATATTAAAAGCTCATCTTACCATAGACTCAGGGTTCATGCAAGTGGCTAAATACTGCATAAATGTCTACCAGGGGGTATAACATTTGCATGTTTTCCCTCACTCCACGATATACTTTTTGAATTGACATATGTTTTTTTCACAGAAATGAATTTAGACACATAATTTCAAGTCAGAAGAGAGATGAGACTATGCTGATGTATTTATTTGATTTATCTAAATATCACAACTTAAAATAAAACTAAATTCTCAAAATGTATCAGAAATACACCTTGATTATTGTGAACAAAGCAAGAGCTGAACATCATGGACGAGAACACACAAGACAATTATTTTAACCTGACCAGATTAAGACCCTCAGTGGATTCACTGTCCTAAAACTTGATCAAGCCAATAAGGTAACAAGTTTGCGGATGAGTGCTTGTTGATACAAGAAAGGCAACATGATGGCGACATACTTAGCAGCCCAGTCTGTGCGTCCAGGCACCGGTCCAGCCAGGGGTTGTCGCATGTTGGACCCTGGGTTGTTACTGAGGGGGCCTGGCTGGGCTCTCTTCCAGCTCATGTTGCTGCCTGCATAGCCTGTGTAGACAACACAATAACATATAGACCAACACCCACACACTGCACACCAGAGAAGCCAACCCTACATTGAGGCAGGTAAGAATATCTGGGATAACTGGGGTCTAAAATTAATCATTGTTTTCAAAATAGTCCTGATTCAGATATTGTCTATTTGCTTTTCGATACCCATAATTGCTGTTTTTAAAACCCATGTTTGCTGTTCTTTTAAACCACAAAAGCATGCCGTGGCAATGTTCCCAAGTAGAAGCAGTAATTTGTTGTAGAGAGTAGTAAATATGGCGAAAAACCTGGGCATATTAACAATACATGTATCAATGACTTGGAAAAATTACTTTGTAAGGCAATGTTTTTGGATAAAATTCATAACATATTTCACTTTATCACATTGGCTGAATTTGGTGCCAAAATCGTAATGGTTGGCATCTCTGCACAGCCTTTGGAGGGAGACACACTCAACAATACGAAAAGCATGCATGTGCAACAGTTAATCTTGTAGCCTGTATTCTGTAACATGTAATGAGCTTGTTTGGCTCAAAGTGTAGAATGTGAACAGAACGCTTACTTGGTTTATTAGACAGACCAAATGATGGCATGTAGCCTCCTCCTGAGTCCTTGCTGGCTGGGGTGTTGAAGTTCCTCAATCCACTGTCTGTAACACAAACAACACCTCAAACATTTAGGCCAGGGAGAAGACATGGGCTGACTGCAAGCTGATATCATGCCAATCTTCCTCATAGGTAGTGACTTCAAAATGAGTCAGATAATTCCCCCAATTACTTGGCCTTGGGCTAAATGTAGTTTGATAGGAAGATTAATCAAACTTGAATGTTCAGTCTAGTTTTGAATATTAGTTGAATATTTCTCAATTTTGGTTAGGGTGAAAGACAGGCCATTTTAAAGATGAAGCTATAAATTATCAGGGTTTTTTAAAGCTGAATCCTTCAGAAACCGTAATAAATGATTTGGCAATAAACATCATATTGGTTGTCTGATGTTCCCTGTTGTATCATCAATCAACTCACCTAGATTGGGACGGGAGATCGCTCCCAGGGGATTTCGCTTCATGCCACTGTTTAGGGGATTTAAACCTGGAAAACAATAAGTACAGCTATATCAATACAAGCTCAGATGGGGACACTCTATTACCTGTGTATGTGAAATATGTTATCAGTTGACTGTTGGAGACATGTTATCATCTGTGTATGTTTGAAAGAAATATATCTTATTAGGTGATTGCATGAGACGTGTTATTACTTCTCATTGTGTGTGTGGGACCTAAGTTTTCAGCTGTGTGAGACATGTGCCATCAGACAACTGCTACCTGGTGGTGTGTGAGACGTGTGCCATCAGACAACTGCTACCTGGTGGTGTGTGAGACATGTGCCATCTGACAACTGCTACCTGGCAGTGTGTGAGACATGTGCCATCAGACAACTGCTACCTGGTGGTGTGTGAGATGTGCCATCTGACAACTGCTACCTGGCAGTGTGTGAGACATGTGCCATCAGACAACTGCTACCTGGTGGTGTGTGGGACATGTGCCATCAGACAACTGCGACCTGGTGGTGTGTGAGACATGTGCCATCAGACAACTGCGACCTGGTGGTGTGTGAGACATGTGCCATCTGACAACTGCTACCTGGCAGTGTGTGAGACATGTGGCATCAGACAACTGCTACCTGGTGGTGTGTGAGACATGTGGCATCAGACAACTGCTACCTGGTGGTGTGTGAGACATGTGGCATCAGACAACTGCTACCTGGTGGTGTGTGAGACATGTGCCATCAGACAACTGCTACCTGGTAGTGTGTGAGACATGTGCCATCAGACAACTGCTACCTGGTGGTGTGTGAGACATGTGCCATCAGACAACTGCTACCTGGTAGTGTGTGAGACATGTGCCATCAGACAACTGCTACCTGGCAGTGTGTGAGACATGTGCCATCAGACAACTGCTACCTGGTGGTGTGTGGGACATGTGCCATCAGACAACTGCTACCTGGTGGTGTGTGAGACATGTGCCATCAGACAACTGCTACCTGGTGGTGTGTGAGATGTGCCATCAGACAACTGCTACCTGGCAGTGTGTGAGACATGTGCCATCAGACAACTGCTACCTGGTGGTGTGTGGGACATGTGCCATCAGACAACTGCGACCTGGTGGTGTGTGAGACATGTGCCATCTGACAACTGCTACCTGGCAGTGTGTGAGACATGTGGCATCAGACAACTGCTACCTGGTGGTGTGTGAGACATGTGCCATCAGACAACTGCTACCTGGTGGTGTGTGAGACATGTGCCATCAGACAACTGCTACCTGGTAGTGTGTGAGACATGTGCCATCAGACAACTGCTACCTGGTAGTGTGTGAGACATATGCCATCAGACAACTGCTACCTGGCAGTGTGTGAGACATGTGCCATCAGACAACTGCTACCTGGCAGTGTGTGAGACATGTGCCATCAGACAACTGCTACCTGGCAGTGTGTGAGACATGTGCCATCAGACAACTGCTACCTGGTGGTGTGTGAGACATGTGCCATCAGACAACTGCGACCTGGTGGTGTGTGAGACATGTGCCATCAGACAACTGCGACCTGGTGGTGTGTGAGACATGTGCCATCAGACAACTGCTACCTGGCAGTGTGTGAGAATGTGCCATCAGACAACTGCTACCTGGTGGTGTGTGAGACATGTGCCATCAGACAACTGCTACCTGGTGGTGTGAGACATGTGCCATCAGACAACTGCTACCTGGCAGTGTGTGAGACATGTGCCATCAGACAACTGCTACCTGGTAGTGTGTGAGACATGTGCCATCAGACAACTGCTACCTGGCAGTGTGTGAGACATGTGCCATCAGACAACTGCTACCTGGTGGTGTGTGGGACGTGCCATCAGACAACTGCTACCTGGTGGTGTGTGAGACATGTGCCATCAGACAACTGCTACCTGGTGGTGTGTGAGACATGTGCCATCAGACAACTGCTACCTGGTGGTGTGTGAGATATGTGCCATCAGACAACTGTGACCTGGTGGTGTGTGGGAGATGTGAATGGTGTTTCACAGGAGTGAGATGTTGCCTACCAGGATGATAGCGTGAGGAGCTCAAGTAGTGCTGTTTGGCAGACCGCGCTGACGACCTTCCAGAGTTCATCCGTCGACCCGCAGTTGGCACAGCTGGTTTGCTGGGGGACTTACTCAAGATAGAACTGAAATATAGAAAACATGATGAAATGTTCCATTCATCATTTCTGTTGAAAACATTTGCAACAAAATACATGCTGAATCTGCTAAATTATACCTTTTGAACAAATCTTGTTCTATTATTTCTGCTTGAACACAATTGATATTTAATACATTATAACTTTTGAAAACAGATAATTAGACAACTATTAACCAAACTGTCATTGTATACTCACTTAAGAAAATCATCGTCAAAATCATCATTGGCCTTTTCAGGCTCCTTGTACTTTGGTTTGACGGCTGCAATCGGCTTCTTGCTGGGCAGGGAGAAGTCAAGGTCATCCCAGTCGTCCCACTTCTCTGATATGTTGGTTGTGCCCCAGCGTTTCCGCTCCGGCTGTTTCCGAGGGACAGTCACAGCAATGGGGCCCTAAACATGAATAAATCAAGACACACTGAACATTGACTACATAGATCCCTACTCTGCTGCTGTTGCTAGAGTGCCAGTAAGAACAAATCACCACAGCTACTCAACTACTGACAAATTGCATCTCTACTCTGCTGCTGTTGCTAGAGTGCCAGGAAGAACACATGAAGTTAACATGGCCACTAGACCAGTTTCCAGTCAGAAATGTGGTTAACGGGTATTCCTTGACCAGACACATTTAGAAGGCTAAGAAACAATACATATTGTCACAGGCCGTGGTAAGACATGGCTGTCAACATGTCTAAACACTGGTAAAGCTGAGAATAGCAAACAAAAAGATGGTTACAACGCTATATAGAAGCTGGTCTTCAAGGTGAGCTAAGAGCAAGTGCCACTAACCGGTGAGGGATTGATTGGCTTGTCCTTGTAGGTGGAGGGGCCTCCCATGCCAGGGCCTCCCATGGTGTCTATTGAGGCCTTGCGAGTGGGTGCAGGTTGTGGTGCATAAGCTGGTGCATGTGCTGCCTGTGTTGGGTGGCTGCTGTGGTTGGATGCTACCTGCGGCCTGCTTGAAGCCATGGACACACCCAGTGTCTGATCCACTTGAAAGTAGGGATGCCGCAAACACTGCAAGTACAAAAGTCAATACAGCCTTGTCATCAACATCATAACATAGGTCATCCATAACATCTTATACAGACCATTATGAATATTCTGTATTTACTTCTTACTCTTGCTGATGCACTTTGAGACTTCAGCATCTTGTCCGACTCTTACGACCAGCAAAACTGTTTGGTCTTGTACACCTAGCTCCTCATTGTCAAGTTACACCAAATGAAAAATGATGCAGAGACAACTTCTGGCATGTCGACTCAGACTGTTAATGTAGAGAAATCTCAGAATTACCTGACTTGACCCGGGTCGATGTGACGGGTTCCACTTTAACATGCGTGCCATAATGTCAAGGCCATCCTTGTCGGCACTTGGTATGAGTGATTTGAGGCTGACTGGCACAGTCTGTGGGAATCGGTAGTTCATGCTACTGGCCAGCTGGTAGCCTTCTGGCCACTCCTCCTTGGACGGAGTGCCGAGGCACGTGCAGGTCTTGAATATTTGGTCGATCTCAGAGCTGCCAGGGAATAATGGTCGGAGGGTGTACAGCTCGGCCATGATGCAGCCGAGGGCCCAGATGTCGATGGGGGAGCTGTAGTTGGTTGAGCGGAGCAACACCTCTGGGGCCCGGTACCTGTGGAAACCCGACTCATAATGTAGATAAAGTATCATACAAATCTTCCACAACATGAGCTAGAACTGCTCATGTCGTCACCTCAGACATAATAAAACATACTGTCTAAACAGGAAAAGTCATGATAAGGACCCTTTTTGGTCAGCTGAAAATATCAAGCAAGCAAATATAAACAATGTAACCAGTGATAGAAAGCATCTTGTTTGTATGGGTGCAAAAACATAATCAGATCACACCTTGTTATCACTGGATTCTAGACAAGATAACTCATTTAGTCCTGACTACATATCACAATGTAGTTATGCCATTTGCACCTACGGTATGGACATGCTTAGTCATTCCAGCTATTACTTACCATCGTGTGGACACATAGTCTGTGTATGGGGGACGAGATCGAGTCTCACGAGCTAGACCAAAGTCGGCGATCTTTACTAACTCTGGGCCCGCACACAGCAAGTTTTCAGGTTTTAAGTCACGATGGAAAAATCCTGAAATGGAGGGAAAATCACTGTTTTAAATTGACCTACAACACCCGGCCTGTATACCACCTGACCTACAACACAACACCAGACCCATGTACCACCTGACCTACAACATAACACCTGACCCGTGTACCACCTGACCTACAACACAACCCCTGACCCACAACACAACACCCGACCCGTGTACCCTCAGACCTACAAAACAACAACAGACCCATGTACCACATGACCTACAACACAACACCCGACCCGTGTACCACTTGACCTACAACACAACACCTGGCCCATGTACCACCTGACCTACAACACAACACCCGACCCGTGTACCACCTGACCTACAACACAACACCAGACCCATGTACCACCTGACCTACAACACCCGACCCGTGTACCACCTGACCTACAACACAACACCAGACCCATGTACCACCTGACCTACAACACCCGACCCGTGTACCACTTGACCTACAACACAACACCTGGCCCATGTACCACCTGACCTACAACACAACCCCTGACCCACCTGCCCTACAACACAACACCTGACCCGTGTACCACCTGACCTACAACACAACCCCTGACCCACCTGACCTACAACACAACACCCGACCTGTGTACCATCTGACCTACAACACAACAACAGACCCATGTACCACATGACCTACAACACAACCCCAGACCCATGTACCACCTGACCAACAACAACACCCAACCCATGTCCCTCCTGACCCATGTACCACCTGGCCAACAACACCCAACCCGTGTCCCTCCTGACCCATGTACCACCTGACCCACAACACCCAACCCTTGTCCCTCCTGACCCATGTACCACCTGACCCACAACACCCAACCCATGTCCCTCCTGACCCATGTACCACCTGACCAACAACACCCAACCCATGTCCCTCCTGACCCATGTACCACCTGACCCACAACACCCAACCGTGTACCAACTGACCCGTGTACCAACTGACCTACAACATAACACCCGACCCATGTACCCAACCCATGTCCCTCCTGATCCATGTACCACCTGACCCACAACACCCAACCCATGTCCCTCCTGACCCGTGTACCAACTGACCTACAACATAACACCCGACCCATGTACCCGACCCTGACCTACCCTGTTTGTGCATGTATGCTAATCCCTGTAGAACTTGGTAGATGATGTTTCGCACCACAGATCCAGGAAGTAACTTTTCCCTGAAACAAGTATCACATGTCAATCAAACAACAACCACAGTAGCCAGGGAAGCTCAGACCCCAACTTCAAGAGGAATATAAAACAACTTCATTAAAATCAAATCTTAGTTCTTATTACCGCTAAACAAAGATCCGAGGACATCCCATTACAGGTCACATCAGAACGACCTTTCAGCTGACCAATTTGAACATCACTTTCAAGATAGGGAATGTGACAGTCCAAAAGTGTTTTCTGATCAACCTACCTTGAAACATATGGTCTGTCCGACTGATTCCTTCAAAATCAGCGTTTCACTTCAGTTGGATAAACATTTGAAACAGAAGTATGACTTTCCATAGCCTGTGGGAAGTACTGCCATATAACCTCAGTCATCTATTAGACATTCCAGAATTTTCTTTTCTTCATTTTAAATCAAGAACTTTGTCAAATTGTAGTCTGGAGTGAGTATGGTTTTACGCCATTCACGGGGGGGGGGGCACCAGAAATGGGCTTCACATATTGTACCATTGTACATGTCGGGAATTGAACCCGGGTCTTCGGCGTGACGAGCAAACACTTTAACCACTAGGCTACTGGACCATCCCTGTGTAGTCTGGAATGGAAGTCACCAGTTTGCAACTAGTGCCGTAAAGCTGGAAAAAGCTGCTTTCTGATTGGCTTATGGTGACTTCTTATTTGTCATTTCATTGGTTGGTCAAAGTTCGAGAAAGGTCCTTCTGAAGTGACCTGTAATGGGATGTGCTCGAGTCTCTGTGTAGTGGTAGCAAGAACTAAGATCTTAATGAAATCAAAAAATACATTTGTAACATGAACAAGGCAGTCATGCAAATGGTGACTTCCACATATTGAAATATATTTCTCAAAAGAAGCCATGGACCATCATATTCTTTCATATTCCAATAGTTAATCTGTCATACCATGACCATAATGACAGATTAACTAACATAATAAGAAAGAATTGGGTGGTCCTTCAGTTCTTTTAAATGGTATACTTAAAAATGTTTCCTGAAAACCCTTAAAATCCACCTTTTCAACACATTTTAGCCTCACATATCCTTTAGTGTTTTTACTAATCTAAACCATGAGGCCACACTCAACAATATTCCAGCTATATGACGGCAATCTGTAAATAATAGTCTGGATCAGACAATCCAGTGATTGACATCATGAGCATCGATCCACGCAATTGGGATACAATGACATGCATTGCTGAAATGACCAAAATCTAGTCTCATTCAGGTAAACAAACAACTTTCATAACAATTTACTGAAGTTTTGCCAGTTTCTAAATTATGCAGACCATGTAGGCCAAAAGAGACCAATATCAATTCCTGCCCTGTAAACATGCTAACAGTCAAGTTGCACCTGCTTCTACTTGGTCCGACACAGAGGCCAGACAGGAGAGAGACGGAGGATGCAGAACTCACCTGTCTTTCATCATCTGGTATAGGTTCTCCTTCATGAACTCAAACACGAAGTACAGCATATCATTCTCCCGAATCACCTCCTTCAGCTTCACTATGTTGGGATGGTTCAATTTACGGAGAGACTGCAACAATCCACGAAGAGCATGTAACTATGTGACATCCTGATCATGCTGATAGCAATTTAATTAAGTTCTGACAACCAGCAACACATTTATAAACCATCCGAATCATAAGGAAATAACCATTATGTTTTGAGATTTGCAGTTTCATTACAGCCCCATCACAAACTAATTATCTGTCTTGACCACAGAATGTTGTCTTTATCTCCACAAGCACCATATTGATACTGACCTTGACCTCCCTCAGACTGAGGCATTCATCCCAGGAGTAGTATTTCTTCTTCATCCTGAAATCAACAAAGTCATGTACAGATACATGTATTCAACTCTCTTAGTCTGACTGTCATTGTGGAGTTAAGATTGGTACATAAAACTGAAGAAAAAGAATTCGCTCTGCATAAATCATGTAAATCTTAAGACTCAAAGAAAATGTTTTTAAATGTTTGTTGTTTAACACTGCACTCAGCAATATTCCGGCTATATGATAGGGGTCTGTAACTAATCCAGACAATCCAGTGATTGACATCACGAGCATCAATCTAAACAATTGGGATACGATGACACGTATCAGCTAAGTCAGCGAGCCTGACCACCTGATCACATTAGTTGCCTCTAACGACAAGCATAGTCGCCTGTTACTGCATGTATGGGTTGCTGAAGACCTATTCTAACCATGAACATCACGTGTCTCAAGGAAATGTATTCAACACAAACACTTAATTATTTCCTAACTGTATGAGCCACTTATCCAGATAGGCAACAGCTCATCATTTTGGACTTACACTGAGGCTTCAACCCCATCGTGAACAAGCAGGAAACATGATAAAGGCTGGGCATTATTAAAGATGCAAAGATCCCAGAGGAATGACGATCAATTTGCTGATGTGTTATTTATTGTTCACTGACAATACTTGATCCCTTGAAACCCAGCGGCCTACATTGTCTACTCATAACACCATACATGATAACTTTACACTGAGAGAATCACATATAGATGAGAATGTCTTGTTTCCATGGACACAACCATGATGATGGAACCTGATATTCCTGAATTACTCCCTGCTAAAAACAGGGCCATCCACTAAAAATCTAAAAAACACATATTGACACAACATCTACAAGTCCATATGGTGGACACAGGTAACTCGGTCATCTAAAACACAACTTGTTCTGAATACCTTGGGTTCAAATCCAACACTTGCCATGAATATGATTCTCGGTATGTCAGCACAATACACATGCACGTGAGCTTCCTCACATATTAAGCTGACATAATGTGACATAACTGTTCAAGGCAACATCAACCCTAACTCCTTCACTTAAAATATATGGAGGTTAAGTTGTTGTTTAACACCACACTCAGCAATATTCCAGCTATATGATGGCACTCTGTAAATCATCGAGTCTGGACGAGACAATCCAGTGATTGACGTCATGAGCATCGATCTGAGCAATGTGGGATACAACGACATGCATCAACAAAGTCAGCAAGCCCAATCCTGTTAGTGGCCTCTTACGACAAGCATAGTCGCCTTTTACGGCAAGGACGGGTTCCTGAAGATCAATTCTAACTCAGATCATGGGTATGCCAGGTTAACTGAACGGCAGTCATTGAGAATGCAGACTGCTCTCAAAATCAGTCAATGGACACAAAGCCTTATTAATGGCAACTTCCAGACTCCCAGACCCAAAACTAACTTCAAACACTGGCATGGTATGTAGTGGTGTGACGATACAGCGATACAAAGCCTACGATACAATACATCAATTTACAACCCCTGAATCATGATACATATGATACATCACATTTCAAGTTACATTTGTGTAAAAACATGTGAATAATAACAGAAACTGTTTATGCAGTTTATGCAGCTGCACTAGTAATTCCCTGTTGGCTATACATAGCATAACATTCACAGTGCCATCTAGCCTATAAGTCTGTGCCCCACAATATCCCATTTTCATCTCTCAAATTTAATAACAATAGCATATGATTCAGGGTTGTGATTTACATGCAAAAGGAAGAATATCAACTTAATAAAAGTGCTGTATTTGGATACAAATTGTATCACACCCATAGTTTCAAGATGTGTAACATCTCACGACACCATCGTATTGTTACACCTCTAATTGTATGGCATGACCAGACATAAGAATTGCTGATAACGTTACCTCAAAATGATCACTACAGCTGCAAATACATGTGAATTACACAGGCACTTACTTCTTGACAGCTACTTTCTCCCCCGTCTCGATGTGGGTGGCAAGCAGCACGCTACCGTACGTGCCGTCGCCCAGCTGTTTCGTCAGTTGGTAGCGATTCATAATGAAGTGTTGATGTCTCTACAAGCTAACTAGCTACTGTATCCTGCAATATAACATAGAAACATTATTATCAGCTAACAACCCCAAACACAATAAAACTCTTGCAGTTGTCATGGATGCAATTCGTTTGGTTTTAGAAAACTTTTTTATATTCATCCGACATATCAATAATTGATAATCATCATTATTATAATACCAATATGTAAATCAATATTACCGTTTTCCCTGTATTCACATTCAACCATGTCAACTGTGACACTCACTCTTAACATAACTTAACATTTCAATACACCTACTTAGCGTGGTATTTAATTAATATGGTTACATCTTGTACCGAAAATCATGGAAATATGCTCGGATACAAATGCATCCCTTTATTAATGCGAGCAAGGGATGATGTCATGCTCACATTGTTTGTTTGTTTGTTGTTTAACGCTCCACTCAACAATATTCCAGCCATATGTAAATACTAGAGTCGGGACCAGACAATCCAGTGACTGACATCATGAGCATTGATCTTGGCAAACAGGATACAATGACGCATCAATCAAGTCAGCGAGCCAGACCACCTGATCCCATTAGTCGTCTCTAATAACAAGCATAGTCACCTATTACGGCAAGTATGGGTTGCTGAAGACTATTCTAACCAGGATCTTCACATGTCTTAAGAAAATGTATTCAACACAAACAACCTTGTCAAATAATCTCATAATCACATGCAAAACACTGCTCACCCATACAGTGAAAATGTCCAGTACAGTAACAGCAGTCATGGTGAATGCATAACACTGCACATTTACATTCAAAGGTTTGCACCAACTCATTTAACAACGCTTGAACCTGTACGATCTTCATTGGTGACCCGACCTATCTCACATAGATATGTTATTTGGAATTACCTGCTTTTTATGTAAGTTAGATCACATGTCAAGCAGTTAAAGTTAAGTTTGTGAAGATAGCAAATGCTATTATTCAATCAAGCTGCTATCACCCCATACTATACCATGGAATTCTAAATCTCAGTGTTATCATGGTAATAGTTTGCTGACAAGTTTTTATGGTCCAAAGGCAGGGCTACCGTATTAGACGTAATAACAGGGTTAGAAACTAACAGTTTTTGTCCACTAGTCCTTATAAGGATAACATATAGCAAAACCCTTAAAATGGGTCAATTTCTACTGGTCCTTAGGATACCTTTACTATTGGGCAGTTTGGTAAGGACTACAGGACTAGTGCCAGTTTCTAACGCTGAAAAAGCTCTCAAAATTAGAAATAGGGGGCTCTTATTAGAATAGAATTTTGGTGAGATTAAAAACGAGGTTGAAAGATTGTAAATGTTGTGGTTTATGCTGACAGCCTGAAATGATATAAAAGAAGAATCTGTGTGTATTATACACCATAGATATATTTTCGAGAATTTAATTGCCCATAATTAACGGTGCATATAACAAATGAGTGTGTATTATACACGAATAAATAAGTCTTGTGTACATTGATCAATCGGAAAGGTGCTAACTGGGATTGTTCACTAGCCAATATATTAGCAAATAACGCTGTGGGCGCTTATTACGTCGAATACGGTACTTGTAATGTTGTATTAATATCATAACGCATTTTACACATGTTTTAGGCCACTTGCATTTCATTATTAACAATACATAATTAGTATAGTTGTATAGTTAGCATGGTTATATAGTAAGCATTTGCAGCAATATTGAAAACATGTCCCAGAAGCATGTAAATAATTGAGTCTTGGCCAGTTGAACCCGAGTTTGACCTCTTTAGGAACATGCAGTCAAAGGTACACAGCACAAAATCAAGCAGGGAACACGATAACCTAATTTCAGGCAACTCTTACTATGCTCACCACAAACATTGGGTGCTGACACTGACAGCCAAACCCAAACCCAAAGAATGTCATTTCATCCATTGCAATTAATATGATAAATAGCTTACAATACATAAAGTGTAAACTTTTAGTTCTGATGACATCAACATGATGAAGCAGTGAAGACAATCTGTAAGAGATCTCCAGTGGAAGCCAGTATTGGAAAATGTTCTTTTCATGAATAAGACAGGTAAGTTGCACAAGTATAGGAAAGTTCTGTATACCCGTTACCACACTCACTTATGCTAGTTTTCAGATCACATTGTACATGTTGTAGGCCCTACATGTTGTACATGTGTAAGTGATTTCCAGTTCCTTGAACACTAACAACCCCACAACATTAGTAACTGACTCTCTTATCAGTACATGCCAGTATAGAAACACAGTTGAATGGGCTTAACTGACATGATTGATAAATACAACACTTTCCACCAATACCCTGGTGTGGCAGCACAATGGGTGATTAACATGAATATTGGCATACATGAAAACCGCTTTGTTTGTTTGTTGTTTAATGCTGCACTCAGAAATATTCACAGTATATGATGGCGTTCCGTAAATAATCAAGTCTGGGCCAGACAATCCTGTGATTGGCATCATGAGCATCGATCTACGTAATGTGGGATACAATGACATGCGGCATCCAAGTCAGTGAGTCTGACCACCCGATTCTGTTAGTGGCCTCTAACGTCAAACATGGGTTAGGCAACTGAAACCAATTCTAACCCGGATCTTCATGGGTAAAGTATCTCAAGGGTTAAGGGGTGCAACCAACATGAAACAGTCAAAGAGCTTATGCCTGACAAAAGATATTGCTTGAAACAATCAAAATTTCTTTTTTAATCCCTATAAACACTAGGGCTGTTACGATTCACTCGCATATTCGGTGAATCGAACCGTATCCATTCATGAATTGAATTTGTTATTTGTGGCCACTAGAATCGAATATTTATGAATATGCAATCATGTGCATTCACATACCCTGTATCTAAAAATATCCATAAGAACATATTTTATGCATTGATTTCTTCAAAGATAACACTCATATAATATTTAATTTGACAGTATTGTGATCACTTGTCATTGTTGCATTTCAGCAGATACTAGTACCTGGATAAGTACAGTATATAAATGTATAATATATTAATAGTTAACGAACGATGTCATATAATTTTTGTTATCGTTTCACTGAATATGACAAATAATACATCAGCTGCTGACTTGTTAGGGTAGACTGCAGTATTTGGGTCCCCACTTCGGAACGAACGTTTTTACGTGTTTACGGAAGTTGTCGAATGAAAAATGTTCCACACATGCGCAGTTCGTTATTTACGGTCGAACTCAGAGGATTTGTTGGCAGCCATTTTTCTACTGAACGCCGTCTGCAGCTGTGTGCAGTTCAGTATTTTCTCACACAGACAACACGCTGGGGGTTCAAGGGGGGTTTCAAATAAGTCGAACGGCAGTAAGTTCATTCTGTTACTTGAACAATATATTTTGTGGGGCGGACAACACAGCGGGGTTCAAGGCAGGTACATCCCCACCTTTATGACATTTTTAAAGTAAAATACAGGGGTTAAAAAAAAAAATCGCACTATGGTATAACTTCATTCATGAAAGCATGTGAATTTTCATAGGAAAATGATCATCGATAGATACTTTCTCATTCAAACAAATCATTTGAAACGTTGAATTCGTATTGACTGTCATATAAGTCTGTGGATCCATCTAGACCTAGTTCAATTTCTTTTTCTGCTTCTTTTTCATCTTTTTCTTCAACGATCATTTTGCTTCCTAAGTTTGATAAATGGAAACACAGCTGGTGAACTTAGAAACTGATCAATTGAACAACTGAAATATTACTTTTCTGATAATGTTTTGAACAAAATAATTGTCATACATTCCCGCATTCATCCCATACCTATGCAAAGATGTCTTCACTGTACTCCAAGTCGACTCTGTTTTATTTGTACAAGCCACAGTTTATGAATTTACAAGTTATGAGCGAAGTTGCCTTCGTAGTAACGAGTCCATATAAGGAAAGTCACATGATCAGACACGTGACATCTTACGTCATTTATGTCCCGCCCATAAACAACGAGAAGTCGACAGTACGACAATTCGGCTTCACTTTCTATCGTAAAACTCTAGGCCCCCACAGGGGCAGAGTTTTAGACCATACTTTTCACGTCCAGCTCATTGTTGGGATCCTTTATGCTAATAAGTTTCTCCTAACGGATTTCGGCGCGCTTATATATACAAGCAAAGCTGCCGAAGGCAGCGGTTTCCTTACGGAAACCCCCAAAGTGGGGACCCAAATACTGCAGTTGACCCACTTGTTATTGTATTTGTGATTTAATATTCGTATTCGTTACCCTATATTCATGATATGAATCATATTCGCCTCATAGTGTATTCGTTGCAGCCCTAATAAACACACAACCAAAAGCCTCAATATTTGCGGCACAAGCAGGCTGGCTATTCTTTAAAAACATTATCAATGAAGTGATTTATATTAAAAGAGCCATCATTTTGGATATTGTCCAAGCACATTAGATAGAACCTGGATGTGCAACAATGGAATAGGCATTTGAACATCGATCTGTTGTTCATTCCATCATTGACATTATTGAGCGACTGGAAGTGATTGAGGCCGTTATTGCCATTACCAGATGTCAACACAAAAATATCAATGTCCCACAAAACATGTGTTAAAGACGATTGTAACTAGATGACGTCCATCAAAAAGAAAATGGTGTGTAAGGGAATAGTCTGTGTGCGCAACTGTACCGACTGTCATTTTTAGCCGGATTGTGTTCCAACATTCCAAGATCCGTAAGATCTGTATCGACTCTTCGCTGCACGCTTTCACATTTCCTACTACATTTTCTTTGGTGAACGTTCGTCAACACTTACATTACTCTGCTAAGGTAAAAAATACAGTCATATTACCTAAAACAACGCGATATAACCCGTTGTTTACTGCATATCCGAAGTGTCATGTTATACTTGTCCCGTCACACTCCGCCATGTTTGTAGTTGCTATTTGGCTCTCGCTGCTAGTCACGTGACATATCTGACAACAATGGCGTCGAATGAGAGATCAATGAATTGTTGTCTGGATGTATACCGTTAGACGCAGGCGTATGGTCATCACCCAATTACAACTAATTTTATTTTAGGCAATATCTGATTTCATAAAGTAATCTAAGTAGTTGATTTGTAACCAGTATTTGAACAATTTATCAATATTACAAAATCGGTCTAAAAGGTTCAGAAAATATCAACAATGTTGTTCCAACCTCATCATTTGTATTTATTTTAACTCCGAAAGCAAAATACCTAGTGAAATATAAATGATATTTACACCAGTGAAATAATAAATGCAAACACAATTCGCATTTTTTTTCCAATGACGTCACTGAAAAATAGCACGACGTGATGTCGTCAATGTATAAACCGGTGTTCTAGCCAGGATATACGTTGTCGGGTTGGGATCATTTATTTTTTAACACACTTTCAAAACACTCTCAATTATTTTTCGATAACTACACCTTTATGATGTTTTGGGACAAAGGCATGATGTCGTTGCCAGAGACATTTAAAAAACATTCGATCTGTCAATGCTTCAAGACGTGCTTTAAATTCAGTTTATACTTGTTTATATATCTATACACACACGCGCGCACTTTTTTTCAAAATATACATTGCTTAGTCCCTGACGATCGTCCACCGTTACTTTGTCGTTTTGAGGATTTCCTTTTCCTTTTTTTAACGCCGCACTCAGCAATAAGATAAAATATGATGAGATCACACTTAAATTTATTATCACGAAGGCAATTTGTTTTACATAAGTACAAGGTCTTAGCTTATTGGTAAAGACATATACAGATAAATAAAAGCATCACAAACGTAATGAACATTAAATGTGGCAGTAGCGAATACATACATGCTCAACAATTATTTCTCACAAAACTTATTATAAAACCTGGTACAAGCGGGTATGAATGAATTGCGGGCCATGTTTCTTCTCAAAATCGGCAATCGTAGTCGTCGGCCAGAATGAAGAAGTTGATACTCCGAATATTAACCATGCGAGATATCGCTTCATGTTATGTCTGCTTTTGTAACATATTTGCTGCTCATAAATACTGTCAATGTCCTGAAGAGAGATGCCAATTGTTTTATTCGCCGTATTACATATTTTGAAGACATATATTCCATCTATATGACGGGCGGTCTGTAACTAATCGAGTCTGGGCCAGACAATCCAGTTATTGACACGAATATCGATCCACGCAATTGGGTGACATTGACTGTGATATGATATGCAATCAACAAAGTCACTGAGCATGACCACCCGATCCATTTAGTGGCCTCTTGCGACCTTCCGAGGCTGCAGGGACCTATGTTCTAACCCGGTTGTTTGAAGGAGAATATATACACTGATGGTGTTGTTTCTTTTGGCTAAATTCTTTATTCATAAATGTAAAGTTTTGAAAACAACCCTAACTTTTAATCACGTAAAACATACAACAGGCCAGCAAGATCAATTCTTTTCCAATTCAAGAGGATGGTTTACGATGAACTAGCTAATGTAGATTAAGTGTGTCAAATGTCTAATTACCGTATTCGACGTAATAAGCGCCCAGGGCGCTCACAAAATTAGGAATAGGGGGCTCTTATTAGAATATTATTTTGGTGAAAAAAACAGAGTTGAAAGATAATGTTTATGTACGACAGATATATTTTTCCAGAATTAAATTGGCCATAATTAAGGGTGCATGTAACACACAAGTGTGTATCATACGCAGATAAATAAGTCTTGTGTACATTGATCAGTTGGAAGGGGTGCTAATTGGTATTGTTCACTTGCCAATATATTAACAAATATCGCCCTGGGCGCTTATTGGAGCGGGGCGCTTATTACGTCGAATACGGTATGTCTAAATCTTAAATTTATATGTACAATAGTTCTTCCGGATTCATACAGTTTGCACATCGTTTTTTCGATTCATACCTCAATGAACTGGGAAAAAATAGTCAACCCTTAATTAAATTTAGGTTTTGATGTCACTATATTAGACCGTTTTCTGGGTTAGTACAGAAAGGATGTGTGTATCAGTGTGAATGGCTGTCTGTGTCAATCTCCAATTACAAAAATATATCTGAGTCCATGATAGCCATACCTCTAACATGAATCTTACTTACAGTATTAACACGCATATCGATAGCTTCTGGAACTCATTTAATAAACTTGCTTGTGTTTTCTGAAGTTGTCTATATATCTTTCTGACTTGGGACAGGCACTTACCTGCAAAAGAAATTTTAAGAAAAAATATATAAATAAAACATTCTTAACCGGAATTATCAATGGATCCTGATACAATATTTTCGAAATGGTTTGTAACCCCCCTTGTTTTTTTATTTCGTTCGTTTCATCTGGTGTACCTGTCTCATTTACGATATCAAATTCATTTATGCTACAATATATCAGGACTTGGTGTACGCATCACAACCCAGTAGGAAATGCGCAAGTGTAGCGTCTGATTAAAGGTACATACACAAAGCGTTCTTTTGTACATTCCAACACTTATAGTGAGTGAGTATGGTTTTACGCCGCTTTTAGCAATATCACGGCGGGGGACACCAGAAATGGGCATCACACATTGTTGGGAATCGAACCCGGGTCTTCGGCGTGACGAGCGAACGCTTTAACCACTAGGCTCCCCGACCATCCCTCACACTTTTAGCCTTCGTGTCGACGTAAAGCTTGGCCTTTCAACCATAACTAAACGAATCTGTATTTTATTTTTAGCGATATTTCATAATGATTATTGTAGAAATTAAGATTGTGATACAGCAGAGGCTCCCGCTTATCACGGATAAGATTCACAGTTGAATTCCTGTAGTGTCTAGTAGTACAGGATTTCGAAAGATTAAAAAATATTACAGAAGAGAATATATGGAAGTAAACTTCTTTATTATGATTAACACAACGTGTTCGGAGTATATGCTTACTCCTTCACCAGGTGCATGACTGATGAAGGAGTAATCATGTACTCCGAAACGTGTTAATCATAATAAAGAAGTTGACATCCATATATTCTCTTCCTTAAGTGTATCACTTCAAAATGCCTTTCAAAGACCTAAAAAATACTACGTCAAGGGTTTTTAAGTAAAATGTCAAAAGTAACGAAATTTACGATGCACCTATACTTAAAGAGTACGCCTATTATAGTTTCATTTTGCGTACAAGAAATAAAAGGGATATTATCATGAGTAGAGAGCAAAGAATTTCCCAGGAAATTCCAACTGTCAACTGTGATTGTGTAGGTGGTGTTTTTTCATAAACTGTCGAGCAAAAGAAAGTATACACCCATGTTTAATGGTGGCTAAAAATGAAACAAGCAAGAAATGGTTATTCGATGATGATGTATTGATACGGGTGTCATAGTTTTGTTTTGGGCCTCAAGTTTGCAGTGTTTCGGGATTGTTTTCAGCCCTGTAACGTTTTGATAACGTTTGTATTTTTTTTTGTCAACTCCAAATTTTCAAGTGTGGACGTTTTTCGTCCGGCAGTTTAATGTATATTTAATCACGAAGTGAGCTTTGACAATCTTGTGACCGTGAAAACCGGTTCCTTTTTGTATTTTATTGATCCATGGTCATACAGCAATGAACAGCCGCTATTATATACTCCTTCCGTGATAAGCTAATGTACAATAGGATTTAGGGAATAATCTGTGCACGACAAGAAATTGCGGATAATCTGAATGAATTATTGTTGCTTGTGAGGGACTTTCATCAAAACATTCACAAGCATAAGCATTGGTTATTATGTGCATTACACATGGGCGTTTTTTTTATAAATATAGAAAAACTGGATTTCCCAACCGAAGAGCTGTATAATCTCTATGTAAACTGTATAATATCTACATTGTAGATATCGCTGTAATGAACTTGTTGCTACCATGCCGTCACAACTGAAGCTGTTAGCAGTACATGTTACACTTAAGACGCTGCTTATTACTGTCTACAAACTGAAAAAGATGGAAGAATGATGTTGGATGATACATATATAATCTCACCCTTGTGTCTTTTGATATCAAATATATCGACTCGTGTAGATATATTTGATATCAAAGAGACTTGGGTGAGATTCTGCATTTATTGGAACGACGTCACTTAAAATCTATTTTGACGTAATGAACAATAGATGATATCATGTTCAAAAAATTGTGACGATGCGTTGTGATGACGTCACACAACTATGGTAGCTTCTATAAGACGATGACAATCGTCGCGAACAGCCAGTCAGAGTGATGAAAATGGTGTGGGGCTCGGTGACTTTTACCCATTATCTATTTCGGAGATAAACATACCGTGTTTTCAGAAGGGCAATCTCATTAAAACACATCTTAGTTCTCGCTATCGCTAAACAAAGATCTGAGGACATCCCATTACGGGTCACGTCAGAACGATCTTTCATCCGGCCAATCAAAGCATCGCTTACCAGATCACAAAAGTTATAGTTGGAATGTGTTTTCTAATCACGCAACCTCGAAAACGTCAACACGAGGTATTCCGAACGACAGTTACGACTGATTTGGTCAAAATTATCGTCTATCTCTCGCTTCCGTGGGATAAACATTTGAACGTGGGAAGTAACTGCCATACAATCTCAACCATATATTAGACATTCCGGAATGTTCGTTTATTTAGTTTTCAATTTTTTTATCGAGAACTGTGTCAATATATTTGTGAAGCGTAGTCTGATTGAAACGAGTGCCGTAAAGCTCGAGAAAGCTGCTTTCTAATTGGCTTAGTTGGCTTAATTAGTCATTTCCGTGGTCGGTCAAAGTTCACGAAAGGTCGTTCTGACGTGCCCCGTAATGGGATGTCCTCAGATCTTTGTTTAGCGGCAGCGAGAACTTAGATCTGATTTTAATGAGATTGTCAGAAAGGTTTCCAGTCAGCAAAGTATGGTGCTGTGTGTGCTCCTACATGTTTTTCATAGTGTGCACCCCTAAGGCAATTCAGCAAGCCCCGCAGACCCGTTAAGTTTCAGGGTAGAATAGGTCTTCTGCAACCCATGCTTGCCGTAAAAGGCGACTAACGGGATCGGGTGGTCAGGCTCGCTGACTTGGTTGATTCATCTCATCAATCCCGATTGCGTGGATCGATGCTCATGATTTTAATTACTGGATTGTCTGGTCCAGACTCGATTATTTACAGACCGCTGTCATATAGCTGGAATATTGCTGAGTGCGGCGTTAAACAACAAACCAAACCAAAAAAGCAAGCCCTGCAAGGTTTAGTTCACCGATTAGAAACCTCAGATTGTCAAATCAGCATCGAGTATTTTCCACCTTCATCGTCTATATGTGTTGTGAACATGTTTTGTTTTGTTGTTGTTTTTAAAAAAAAAATTTTTAAAGTTTTTATCAAGCCTCGATACAGACCCCGAGGAAACAATGGACAGTAAAGTCTCCAGGAATAAGTGCTTGTCGTAAGAGACGCGGTTATGACAACAATGTGTGATCTTGCTGATTATATGTTGCCCTAACCTGAAGGTGGAGATAGATGCTCATGCTATCAACCACTGGTTATCATGGGTCAGGCTCAGTTATTTACAGGCCGTTGGGATACATACACTCACGTAACTTCGCCAAGTCACAGACTATGGAGACCCATTAAAATCCGGGTTAGGATACAGGTCTTCAGCAACCCATGATTGCAATAAGATGCGACTATGCTTGTACAAAGAGGCGACTAACGGGATCGGGTGGTCAGGCTCGCTAAAATGGTTGATGCATGTCATTGTATCCCAATTGCGTGGATCAATGCTCATGATGTCAATCACTGGATTGTCTGGTCCAGACTCGGTTATTTACAGACCGACGTCATGTAGCTGGATTATAGCAACCAACTAACAAACATTGGTTTAAGCAAAGACGTCTATACAATATGTATATACGTCTTTGGTGAAAGGTTTAGTCAACTAACTGTAACAAAGTAGCTAGTTGTATTTATTACGCATAGAGTTGGGACATAAAACCTGTAACACGTAATCTGCGTTTGTGTATTACCGTATACTTATCCACAAGTATGTTCGTTTGTTGTTTAACGCCGCACTCAGCAATATTCCAGCTTTATGACGGCGATCTTGCCTTTGTGTGTCTATGTTTTTACTAAACAATTGTCTTGGGCAGTTATAAACGATGAACCATAAATGGTATTTATTACAGAAACAAACGATAAACTACGAGACACCCCATTATATTCTTACAGACGTAAGCCAGGTATCATATCTTGCGAAAAACTCTGAAACATCGCCTGCAGCAAAGACTACAACCAGTGAGATACAGTGTATCAAATTCCCCAAATTTCAAAGTTACCAGACCAGATAACATGTTGCCAGTCCAAAATGATAAACTGGTGGATTGCCAACTTAGTAACTTGAACCCCTGACCATCGGGCGTGCTACTTTTCAAACCTGACCATTCGTCTGCAAAAATAGACAGTCTCGGACTGTCGGGCAGGCGGGATATTTTAAACACTGGAGAGACCATATCGTCTGACAGACACACACTTCAGGATAGCTAGAACATACCTATAGATGGCACTGCAAATACAAGACGCCGTGATTCAACAACACTTGCAGTTAATGCGCCTCTCAATACACAAACATTAAAGCTAGCTTTAATCTGCTTGCAATGCACGTTGGCACATGGTCTTATACCAGCCGGGGACGACCTGTTCACCTGCATGTGACTGCATGAATGCTTCTGTTGAAATGTAGTCACAAAAAGGAGGGACTCCAACTGAGATTTTACGTCGCGAGGCACTCATGGGGTGGCGATTACTGGTTCTGTCGTCCATCGAGAGCACTAGTTATAGTCAGTCATCTAGACCATGTATTGTATATTCCGTCACCAAGAGCACGTTATAGTTCGTCATCAAGAGCACATGTTATATTGTCAGGTGAGGTGAAATGGGGTTAAACGTCGCGTCCAAGATTATTGCACTTATATAGCGACGTGCATGTACGTGTGTGTGTTTGTGTGGCTGCTTGTACTAGTCCGGACTGATTTATTTGCCGATTTATAGTGCCAGCACATTGAGATACCATGCCGCAGTTTAACATGAATACCCCACTCAGACACAGTATACCGACTCCGAGCCGACCAGTCCTTGTTTTAGCCCCTTAATGCCGAGCGCCAGACAGGGTATCAACAAGTACCATCTTTTAACGTCTTTTGGGTGTGACTCGGCCGGGGATCGAACCCCGAACCTTCCGCTCTCCCCGCGGACGCTCTACCACTAGACCACGGAGGCGGTCTTATATTGTCAGTCATCAAGGGCATGTGTTGTATAGTCGGTCACGAAGAGCACGTTATAGTCCGCTTTACACTTTATTGTCCGCCCTACAGATCACGTTATAGCCCGTGCACATTATCTACAGCAAATGTTATAAAAGATCTCATCTTGAGCATGTTATAATCCATCATTTAGAGCACGTGTTATAGCTAGTCAAGCACATGTGTTATTGTCCTCAAGGGCCAGTCTCACAGCCTGACATCTAGTGCATGTGTTACAGTTCGTTGTTCAGGACCAGTTATCTGGAGCATGTGTTACAGTCCATCATCTAGGGCATGTGTTACTGTTCGTCATCTAAAGCTTGTGTTACAGTCCATCATCTAAAGCTTGTGTTACAATCCATCTTCTAGAGCATGTGTTACAGTCCATCATCTAGAGCTTGTGTTACAGTCCATCATCTAGAGCTTGTGTTACAGTCCATCTTCTAGAGCTTGTCTTACAGTCCATCATCTAGGGCATGTGTTACAGTCCATCATCTAGGGCTTGTGTTACTGTCCATCATCTAGAGCTCGTGTTACAGTCCATCATCTAGAGCATGTGTTACAGTCCATCATCTAGGGCCTGTGTTACTGTCCATCATCTAGGGCGTGTTATAGTCCTTCATCTAGGGCCTGTGTTAGTGTCCATCATCTAGGGCTTGTGTTACAGTCCATCATCTAGAGCATGTGTTACAGTCCATCATCTAGGGCCTGTGTTACAGTCCATCATCTAGGGCGTGTTATAGTCCTTCATCTAGGGCATGTGTTACAGTCCATCATCTAGAGCATGTGTTACAGTCCATCATCTAAAGCATGTGTTACAGTCCATCATCTAGGGCATGTTATAGTCCTTCATCTAGAGCTTGTGTTACAGTCCATCATCTAGAGTTTGTGTTACAGTCCATCATCTAGGGCGTGTTATTGTCCATCATCTAGGGCTTGTGTTACAGTCCATCATCTAGGGCATGTGTAACTGTTCAACATCTAGGGCCTGTATTACAGTCCATCATCTATAGAGCTTGTGTTACAGTCCATCATCTAGGGCGTGTTATAGTCCATCATCTAGGGCTTGTGTAACAGTCATTCATCTAGAGCAAATGTTACAGTCCATCATCTAGAGCTTGTGTAAAAGTTCATCATCTAGGGCATGTGTAACTGTTCAACATCTAGGGCCTGTATTACAGTCCATCATCTATAAAGCATGTGTTACAGTCCATCATCTAGAGCATGTGTTACAGTCCAACATCTAGAGCATGTGTTACAGTCCAACATCTAGAGCTTGTGTTACAGTCCATCATCTAGAGCATGTGTTACAGTCCATCATCTAGGGCATGTGTTACAGTCCATCATCTAGGGGATGTGTTACAGTCCATCATCTAGGGCATGTGTTACAGTCCATCATCTAGAGCATGTGTTACAGTCCATCATCTAGGGCATGCGTTACAGTCCATCATCTAGGGCCTGCGTTACAGTCCATCATCTAGGGCATGCGTTACAGTCCATCATCTAGGGCCTGCGTTACAATCCATCATCTAGAGCATGTGTTACAGTCCATCATCTAGGGCATGTGTTACAGTCCATCATCTAGGGCATGTGTTACAGTCCATCATCTAGGGCATGTGTTACAGTCCATCATCTAGGGCATGTGTTACAGTCCATCATCTAGGGCATGTGTTACAGTCCATCACCTGGGGCATGTGTTATAGTTGTAGTCCATCTTTAAGGGCATGTGTTACAGTCCATGATCTATGGCATGTGGTATGTCTGTTTTTTAGGCCCTGTTATACTCCATCTTCTAGGGCCTGTGTTATGTCAGTCATCTAGGGCTTGAGCTACAGTCCCTCTAGTGCATGGTTTACTGTGAGTGGGACTTGATGTGTGATAATATATAAAATGTAGGAAGGACACACTCCACAGATAGGTACAAGCATGCAATTTGGAATCTAGGTTTTAAGAGTCCCAAGTTTGTTGTTTAACTCAGTCAGCAGTACTTGTCTATATGACTGTAGCCCGAAAACAATCAAGTCATGACAAAACAATGACTATGTTATCAGCAATGTCCCTGCCAGTATGGTATGATGACAGGCAATCCAACATGTTACCAGGCTTCACAGACCGATCCATTAAGTTGACACAATGTTGTTTGTTTGTTGTTTAACGCCGCACTCAGCAATATTCCAGCTATATGACGGCGGTCTGTAAATAATCCGAGTCTGGACCAGACAATCCAGTGATTGACATCATGAGCATCGATCTACGCAATTGGGATACCATGACATGCATCAACCAAGTCACACTATGACAAACATAGGGCGTTAGGGACCAATATAAAACTGGAATCTCAAACATGTTGGGGAGTCCAAGCTTAAGGACATTTTTTATCCAGTTTTTATGAACATCTATTCCAAAGAATTTTAGAGAACGCTTTTCACTAAACGACACACAACTCTGAATGGTGAATAAAAATCTTTTATTTGAGACAAAGATGAATGTGTTGAATACAAGTTTTTTCACCCTCAAGAAACATCTTCAGTAAGACCTAACAAAGCATCACCCACAAGACCCATCCCTCTCCATAGATACCCATGTCCTTCTGGTGTGCAACACCCAATGCATCAACTCCCATCGATGTACCCACCCACATCACAAGTGTGTACCCCTCCCACATAAACGGCATCTTGTGAAACCCACCCATATCACTAGCATCTAGTTTACCCCTCCCATATCACTAGTGTATGTATCCCTCAAACAATATCAGGAGTTTGTGTACCCCACTAATATCAATAGCATCTTTTGGATCCCACAGACACTACACGTTTGTACCCCACCGATATCACAAATGTGTGTCCCCCTTAAACATATCACGCCTGTGTACTGCACTAATATCATTAAACATCTTTTGAATCCTACCATCATTACACATGCGTATCCCACCCTAATCACTAGTGTGTGTACTCCTTGCATATCACTAGTGTGTGTTCCCCACCCATAATGCTAGCATTTACCAATCTCACTGGCATCTAGTCTCTCCCATATCACTAGCATCTAGTGTACCCTCAATAACATATCCCCAGATTTGAGCACTGTTAGCTGTCAGCAGATACCAGTAAGGCAATAACAATAATAATAGAAACAATAGTAGTACAAAGTCCCACTGGGCTATAGAAACAATCAACAGACCACCCTCTACACAGCCACCGGAGCTGTCCACCATAATGATCCTGCCAGGTCACAGATTGCCTCTTATGAAGGCACTAGGAATTACTCAACATATAAAGCCTCTTGTTCAAAGGTTGCTTCTAGGGGTTATACCATGTACCAAAGTCACCTCTGCAACTAAGCTCAGGTACCTATGTCACCTCTACAAGCACTCAGGTACCAAGATCACCTCTACAAGCACTCAGGTACCAAGGTCACCTCTACAAGCTCGGGTACCAAGGTCACCTCTACAAGCTCGGGTACCAAGGTCACCTCTACAAGCTCGGGAACCAAGGTCACCTCTACAAGCTCGGGTACCAAGGTCATCTCTACATGCAAGCTCAGGTACCGAGGTCACCTCTACAGGCAATCAGGTACCAAGGTCATCTCTACAAGCGCTCAGGTACCAAGGTCACCTCGACAAGCACTCAGGTACCAAGGTCACCTCGACAAGCAAGCTCAGGTACCAAGGTCACCTCTACAAGCACTCAGGTACCAAGGTCATCTCTACATGCAAGCTCAGGTACCGAGGTCACCTCTACAGGCAATCAGGTACCAAGGTCATCTCTACAAGCTCAGGTACCGAGGTCATCTCTACATGCAAGCTGAGGTACCGAGGTCACCTCTACAGGCAATCAGGTACCAAGGTCACCTCGACAAGCAAGCTGAGGTACCAAAGTCACCTCTAAATGCGCTAAGGTACCGAGGTCACCTCTACAAGCACTCAGGTACCAAGGTCACCTCTACAAGCACTCAGGTACCAAGGTCACCTCTACAAGCTCAGGTACCAAGGTCACCTTGACAAGCACTCAGGTACCAAGGTCACCTCTACAAGCACTCAGGTACCGAGGTCACCTCTACAAGCTCTTAGGTACCGAGATCACCTCTACAAGCACTCAGGTACCGAGGGCACCTCTACAAGCACTCAGGTACCGAGGTCACCTCTACAAGCACTCAGGTACCTAGGTCACCTCTACGAGCACTCAAGTACCGAGGTCACCCCTACAAGCTCTTAGGTACCGATATCACCTCTACAAGCACTCAGGTACCGAGGGCACCTCTACAAGCACTCAGGTACCGAGGGCACCTCTACAAGCACTCAGGTACCGAGGTCACTTCTACAAGCTCTCAGGTACTGAGGTCACCTCGACAAGCACTCAGGTACCAAGGTCATCTTATCAAGCAAGCTCAGGTACCAAAGTCACCCCTACTAGCACTCAGGCACCAAGGGCACCTCTAGAGGTGTATCTCAGACAAGAAGGTCACCCCTCTGGTGGTAAGCCTATGACCACTACAGATCAGTCAAAGGTACACTGGTTACCTTGTGAAGTGTACATTCTGTACCATTCTAGAGATTAGCTAGGTAGTACGATCACTGCTAGTGTCACCACTAGGGGTCAGCCCACTGTAGCAATGTCACCTCAAGGGTCAGCCCACTGTAGCAAGGTCACCTCCAGGGGTCAGCCAACTGTAGTAATGTCACCTCCAGGGGTCAACCCACCTCTAGGGGTCAGCCAACTGTAGCAATGTCACCTCAAGGGTCAGCCCACTGTAGCAAGGTCACCTCTAGGGGTCAGCCAACTGTTGCAATGTCATCCACAAAGGCTAGAATTACATTTTCTGAGCATTTTATACTCGTCCTAGTTAAGGTCTGCACTACGACCAGAGGTCAGTGAGAAGTGCAAAGAAATAAGGAAATAAGGTGCACATTTTGCTGTAACCTCCATCAACATGCATTCACATTTTACTTACACATGCAGTGCAACCAAACAACAAGCTGTAACAGTATCTCCAGACTCTATGAGAACAAGAATGCATAAACTATCACCTGTATCACCAGTAGACATCACACAAGAACTGGTTCTATCACTTGTACTCTCCAACACAGCGTGAGTATGGTTCCTGTATTATGTCTCAGACAGCACCAAGTCATCACCTTCACTCATTATGCATGGAGTTATCACTTGAAGTCATGCTGCCAGTTTACACAATGTTGCAAAGACCCCATCATGACCTCAGATTATCACTGACACAAAGCAGTTTCAGTCACTCACACTCCGTCATACAGAGAGATGTCAGTTAACACACATACAGATCTTCACAGCTGCCGACTGTCACATTACACTTATGCCATCCCGAGTCTTCTGTGGCTGATGCCAGACCATGGCACGTGTCACTGATAAAACTCAATTCCACGTATCTCAAACACAAAGGCATTTCCTGTATTCACCCGACCATGTCTTGTACATTACAACACTCTTCACACATTACAACATGGTGCTCACTCGTGCGTCGCACATTACGTATGTCTCACATTTCGTGTGTCGCACATTACGTGTGTCGCACATTACGTATGTCTCACATTACGTGTGTCGCACATTACGTGTGTCTCACATTACGTATGTCTCACATTACGTATGTCTCACATTATGTGTGTCGCACATTACGTATGTCTCACATTACGTGTGTCGCACATTACGTATGTCTCACATTACGTGTGTCGCACATTACGTGCGTCGCACATTACGTATGTCTCACATTATGTATGTCGCACATTACGTATGTCGCACATTATGTGTGTCACACGCCCTATTCTGTGTTTTACACAGTGAACTACATCTACAGCCAGCAGCTGACCTTGACCTCTACGGGACTACGACAACATCCATCCTGCTTATTATGCTACACTATGTGTTGGGTAACCCAGCATGATGCTTGTCCTATGCCCGTCTGCATCACGCTTCATTGGCACTTTTGAACATGAGTATGCTGTTGAAGATCTTGAGAGCAGGACCAAGCTTTATGTTCATGATCTTCACAATATCAGTTTGATTCAAGAGAAGGAATGCTTCTCCATCAATTTGCTGGAACAGAGAAAGTCAAGTGATACTATTCAACACACAATATTGTTTCGATGATACAACTTTGATATGGTAGTGATAACATATTGACTTAACACCATTCTACTAATAAGGAGGTTGGACAGGTAGCCTGGTAGTTAAAGCGTTCGCTCGTCACGCCAATGACCCAGGTTCGATTCCTGACATGGGTACAATGTGTGAAGCCCATTTCTGGTGTCCCCCGCCGTGATATTGCTGGAATATTGCTAAAAGTGGCCTAAAATCATACTCACTCACTCACTAATAATGAAGTGGAAAAAAGGGATAACAGGAACTTTGATAATAATATTGTATTGGTTCTACTGATAATATAGTACTGACTATTTAGGTGGAAAATTAATCTCAGCATAATTTAACAAAACAGCTGCCTATGGAGACCAAACAGTTGCCAATGAAAACAAAACAGCTGATCAAAACAGTTATCTACTGTGACAAACCAGGCATGAACCAAGATGGATCAGTTATATGTCAACTGAGAGGAAACAGCCGCCTATCAAGACAAGACATCCAGCTACAGAGACAAAACAGCAGCCTTCTGGGATACAGCTGTCTAGTGGGACAATGAAACTGTCAGTTTGACACATTCCACCTGCATCCTATTTATCCTATTTCTATGCTGTCAAGCTAGAGTTACCTCCTCCTGAAAGACCTTGCCCTGTTCCTCACATCCTGGTAGAGTCTGCACAAAGTCAGCCACCTCCGTGATGGTCCACTTGGACACGGTGCCCGCCCTGATCTTGTCCACACCAGGCAACAGCTTAGAGTGCTGCTCCCAGCACAGAGGGAGGTCACGGGCAGGGTTGGGAGCCATGGCCGACATGAAGACCGACTGGTGGATCTCCTGGTGAACAGCCTCAGTGTCTTCCCCTGTGGGAGAGAACATGTCTGTCACAGCCCTGGACTTACACCCCCCCCCCCCCCCACACACAGCCTCAGTGTCACAGCCACGTACATCACCAACACACACATAACCCTCCCCTGTTACTCACACATACTCCTGTGATGTCTTCTTTTGTTTTTTGAGGCTTGTGTTATTGGTACAGTAGACTATGTTTATAACGAACAACGATTTGACGGATCTAACAAATCTTTCGTTTGGTCCCGTCCATTTGCTGTATATATGCTAATAACAAACTATGGTTATAATGAACTAAAATTAGTGGTCCCATTAAGTTTGTTATTACTCTAATTTACTGTATAATGACATCTGTTGATCTTTATTTTCTGGTTCAACTATGCTCAATGACAGAGGGCCACGTCACCTCTGATGGGGTTTTATATTTTAAAAATAAAAACGTGTACCCCACTGAGATAGGGTAATCTGTACCCCCACTAAGGTATGTCTTTATAAACATTGTAAATAACCTGTTTTCCTCAGTTAAGCCTTAACAAACATCTACCTGTAAGCTGTCATACTTGAATTAACTGAACTGTTCCCAAACAGAAGGCCTTGACCACACTTACTGATCTCTTCCTTGACACGGAACGGTCGTTCTACACGCTCACCAAACCTCAGGAACTTGTGTCTGAAACACAACATACACCATGAAACTTGACCTTCATACTATCCTTTACATGATACCACATGATAACAGATGAGGCAAGAATTACACACTGTGAGTGAGTTGGGTTTAATGTCGCCCCAGTATTTAAGTTTAGGTCTTGTCAGCTCAATGAAGAGGTAGACCAACACTGACATAGACCCACAGTGATGTGGTCTCACACTGACGTAGACCCACAGTGATGTGGTCTCACACTGACGTAGACCCACATTGATGTGGTCTCACACTGACGTAGACCCACATTGATGTGGTCTCACACAGACATAGACCCACATTGATGTGGTCTCACACAGACATAGACCCACATTGATGTGGTCTCACACTGACACTGATGTGGTCTCACACTGACGTAGACCCACATTGATGTGGTCTCACACAGACATAGACCCACATTGATGTGGTCTCACACTGATGTAGACTCACATTGATGTGGTCTCACACTGACGTAGACTCGCAGTGATGTGGTCTCACACTGACGTAGACTCGCAGTGATGTGGTCTCACACTGATGTAGACTCGCAGTGATGTGGTCTCACACTGACGTAGACCCACATTGATGTGGTCTCACACTGACGTAGACTCACAGTGATGTGGTCTCACACTGACATAGACCCACATTGATGTGGTCTCACACTGACGTAGACCCACAGTGATGTGGTCTCACACTGATGTAGACCCACAGTGATCTGGTCTCACACTGACGTAGACCCACAGTGATCTGGTCACACACCCATGTAGGTTGCCGTAGTTTATCACTTTGATGAAACCTGTTATGCAGTAACATGCTGGCAGACCAAGGATTAATCTGGGTGTCTCTTAGGACACAATTAACAATCAGAAGATCTACTTCCATCCCGAATAAACGAACATGCCCTAACATACTTGCGATTCTACAGACAACTACAGTCCATTTTGCAATGAATACTTTGTACCTAACAATAAACATATAAAAATAACAAACAGCTTTACCGTATTGACATTTAATAAACTATTCCTGATTTTGAGTTCATCGTTCTCATTTGCAGCCAAATTGACTGTGATGACTCTTATCAATAGAAGAACTAGCTCTGGCGAGTGTGAATCTCTGTCTGTTCCTTGTATACCTTTTTCGGCCTCGTTTGGCACCAAAATATGGCTTTGGAGGACTGTCTTCTTTCTGTTTGAACTTGAGAAGGTTTTTCTCTGCCAGAGGACAGCCAGACAACTTATGATGAGCGGTAAACTTGCCCGTGATGTGACCCGACCCATCACAGCCTGGGGTGGGACATCTCCTGAAACATGAAGGGACGAGATGTATATCAGGCCACCTGTGCCTATCTTTGCCTGCACACAACAAACACCATCAAAGCCACCAACTTTCTTCTCCTTTTCTTATCCTATCATAATGTAATACCTTGATCGAGGTGAAATGGGGTTTAACATCGCATTTAAGATAATTGCACATACATAGTGACACGTATGTGTGGTGTGTGTCTGGTGAGGTGAGGTGAGACGAGGCGAGGCAAGGCGCAGAGGAGATGTGGAGGTGAGGGTGGCAGAAGAGGAGGGTGAGGAGGTGAGGGTGGCAGAAGAGGAAGGTGAGGAGGGGAGGGTGGCAGATGAGGAGGGTGAGGAGGGGAGGGTGGCAGAAGGGGAGGGTGGCAGAAGAGGAGGGTGAGGAGGGGAGGGTGGCAGAAGAGGAGGGTGAGGAGGGAGGGTGGCAGAAGAGGAGGGTGAGGAGGGTGAGGAGGGAGGGTGGCAGAAGAGGAGGGTGAGGAGGGGAGGGTGGCAGAAGAGGAGGGGAGGGTGGCAGAAGAGGAGGGGTGAGTGGCAGAAGAGGAGGGGAGGGTGGCAGAAGAGGAGGGGAGGGTGGCAGAAGAGGAGGGTGAGGAGGGGAGGGTGGCAGAAGAGGAGGGGAGGGTGGCAGAAGTGGAGGGGTGAGGAAGGGAGGGTGGTGCAACTAACTTGGCCTCCGGTGATGAGGGGTAGTCCAGCTTGCTGCGAGCTGACAACGGGGTGGGGAGAGAATCCTCGGACCGGGTGGAGCCGAGGCGGTCTTGCAGTGTTGTCTCCTTGTTCATGTTCATCGTAGAATACGGGCAGCCGAATGCACTGGAACAAAGGAGGTTTTGTTTAGATACACGGAGCATGTTCAGTGATAAAATATATGAGGAGTCAGGAGGTCCTTGAGATCTTTGACTACAGTAATCTTAATCTTTCGACACAAAGGTTATGACCAATACACTGTCATCACTAGTGTCAAAACACGTCCCACTTGACTTACATCTGACACAGGTACGACACTGTACTCAAATATGTACAAAACGTCCTTAAGATTTCTGACCCAGTAAGCATCACCTGCCTTACAACATACAACACAGAAAAATACATCCATCAGACTGAACAAAACATCAACAAGGTATAAGCCTCTGTACTTGTTTAATTTCAAGTGGAGAAAATACATTTACCATACCCTCAACATAGGTCAAGTTAAGTCTTTACTTCTCATGAAGGCCACTGGCCCATGATGATATTTACATGAATATGTGAAAGCATACTTCAACACATCTAGGTTAACCTGTCTTTATAACTATCTGTCTCTTGGCATAGGTTTGCGACACAAATTTACATGGCTTCTTTAGCAATTTCCACATTGCAGCATTTGAAACTTATTCAGAGTTGGATATTAACAATACATTTTCGGTAATATTCTCTGAGTTACAGATTAAAACAAAATGATGTTCATTTTCTGTACCAAGTTTACAACAGGACACATGTGTAGTGGTAACTCTATTCCCAACCACCTACCTTAATTTACATTCAGTTTTAACAGTCTTGCTCTAAGTCTAATAATCAGGCTACGGCGTTTCTTGTCTGAGATTACAGATAGATATATTTCATGCTCTAATAACGTTTTGAACTCTCTATACAGTCTGTACCTGGAACTATTGTTCAAGACGTTATTCCAGGACTGGAAATACATATTTATCAGTGCATGTTTAAATACCTTAAGAAGAGCTACTTTAGCACCAACTGATTGAGATAACGACTAAAAACATTTAGCCTCACCTGTGATGGCCGACATACTTGGCCCCCTTTATGTGGCCGACACCCCTGCACCCGGGGGTGGGACACCCACCTTGACTGGGGGAGGACGCTAGCTCCGATGGACCTTGATGGAATAAAAGGTGATGTGAAAATAACTGTCTAAACATTTGTCCAGATGGCTAAGAAAACTTTCCTCAACTTTGGAAAGTTTGGTCCATTTGAAGTATGCAAGTGATATGTGCTTAACAGACTGAGTGGCCCTGATTAAACTACGTGACTGAGTGGTCCTGACTATGTGACTCACCGAGTGGTCCTGTCTATGTGACTGAGTGGTCCTGTCTATGTGACTGAGTGGTCCTGACTATGTGACTCACCGAGTGGTCCTGACTATGTGACTGAGTGGTCCTGTCTATGTGACTGAGTGGTCCTGTCTATGTGACTGAGTGGTCCTGTCTATGTGACTGAGTGGTCCTGTCTATGTGACTGAGTGGTCCTGACTATGTGACTCACCGAGTGGTCCTAACTATGTGACTGAGTGGTCCTGTCTATGTGACTGAGTGGTCCTGTCTATGTGACTGAGTGGTCCTGTCTATGTGACTGAGTGGTCCTGTCTATGTGAATGAGTGGTCCTGTCTATGTGACTGAGTGGTCATGACTATGTGACTGAGTGGTCCTGTCTATGTGACTGAGTGGTCCTGACTATGTGACTGAGTGGTCCTGTCTATGTGACTGAATGGTCCTGACTATGTGACTCACCGAGTGGTCCTAACTATGTGACTGGGTGGTCCTGTCTATGTGACTGAGTGGTCCTGTCTATGCGACTGAGTGGTCCTGTCTATGTGACTGAGTGGTCCTGACTATGTGACTGAGTGGTCCTGTCTATGTGACTGAGTGGTCCTGACTATGTGACTGAGTGGTCCTGTCTATGTGTCTGAATGGTCCTGACTATGTGACTCACTGAGTGGTCCTAACTATGTGACTCACTGAGTGGTCCTGTCTATGTGACTGAGTGGTCCTGTCTATGTGACTGAGTGGTCCTGATTAATGACGTGAGTGAGTGACCAAGACTAACTATGTGACTCACTGAGAGGGTGTTCGAGGACATGTCCTGTCTTGCGGCACCAACCGACCGGGCGGATCTCCAAGCTATCATCTTCCAGGTAGTAGTCGTAGACGTCGGACCAGCCATCGAAATGGATCCTCACCTGGTAGTTTTCTGCCTCAGCTATAGTAGCCACACGCATCAGTCTTGGATTGCGACGGTCCACTACTTCGACCTTCATGCCGGGGTCAAACCCCACCTGGGGGCGCTGCAAGGATATCCCATGTTACACCAGCCCTGTCTCACACTCACCCACAGGACGCAGTGGAGCATGCAGGTTGTAAACAGCTCACAATGTATCACAACAGTCAGGGTACTATTTATCCACTGATATGAAAACTAGCATTAATTTTCTTGTGTAATTCAGAACTTAAATCATTGATTAGGACTTTATTCAAAATTTCACAAACAAAACTAAATGAATCAAGTCATGTAATGCTACAAATATGTATTTTTTAGGGTAAAAATATCATTAATACTTATCCTGACTCATATCATCTCATTCTGTAGGGTGATAATGTCTTTGTATTTGGTGTTGTAAACGTGTTGTAAACATGATTATACTTCACTCATTTGTTTGTTGTTTAACGCCACACTTGGCAATATTCCAGCTATATGATGGCGGTATGTATATAATTAAGTCTGCACAGACAATCCAGTGATTGACATCACAAGCAAGTTACATGCATCAGCCAAGCCAGTGAGCCTGACCATGTGGCCCCGTTAGTGGGCTGATGACAATTCTAACCCAGATCTTCAACTGGTGTCAGTTGCTATGAGCTGACATCCACTAGAGAATGTTTGCATGAGATATTTCCTTCTCTTTAATTAACTTGCCTGTACAAAATATGACCAAGGAAATGTCCTACCTGCACATTTTGCCACTTAAATGATACTAATCAACAAATGCATCTAGATATACTTTGCTAGACAACATTTATCACTGGCTTCCTATAGTACACATCAGAAAGTGTGACCATAAGGCGCTAGAACCTAATTATAACTGTGCCTTTACAATTTTAATTGAGCCTTTGGAACTCTACTAAGGAATTTCGAACCCTGATGTAGCTTACTGGTTTGAAAGCTCTTGCCGGGACGGCAGAAGACTTGGTCTGTTGCAGGTAGTCCTCCCAGGTGAACTTCTCTATATCCTTCGTGTCTGCCACCAAAAAAGCTCAAGTCAGAGTGAGTGAGTAAATAATGCGTCACAACAATCAGCAATCTTGCAGCCAGTCTGAGAGGACACCAACATGTCTTCTGCATAATGGATATCTAATTGTAGGGGTCTCCAAATCATAGCAATGACTAAAACTTAATGAAAACCAATGCAATGCTATGACACAGAATTAGAAAAATCTAAATATATTTTACATTTGCATACCTGCATTATTATTTAATGCATTTACTGCTGTTATGTGACAGAAAGACGAAGCTGTGAGAGGTCAAGCTGTAGAAGAAGTTGTTCCAACCAGCGGTGTAGCAATACCCTAACACAGATGCCACATGACCCGGAAGTGGTCTAAAACACCCAGCAGTAAATGCATTATGGTGTAATGCAGGATAAGTTAAAACAATCTCTTCAAGTGTGACCCATGAACCCTCTCCCTGGAGCTGTAACCTGCCTTATGCTTTGTTTGTTTGTTTCTTTAACTACGCAGTTAGCAAATTCCTGCTATATCATAATATGTACATAATCCAGTCGGGACCAGAAGAAACAGTGACTTCCACTGTTTGTCCACTTCTTTGATAAATGTCTAACGCCTGTACCTTAAGTCGGATAAAAGGATAATGAAGTTGAAATCTTTTAGCCATGACCGTGTTCATTAAACCAGACACTGATACTATGAGCAACAACTCAATCAGTCAGGGTAGGATGACAAGTCATCACAGGATCCACCTAGTCACCAATTACAACAAGCACTGATTACTGAGAACCTTATCTAGCACCGGAATTCTACTCATGTTGACTGTTTGTCATCTTGAGCTGCAATGCCACTTACCAAATGGAGGAGAGAGAGCCCGAGCGTTCTCTTGACACCAGCCGACAGGGTGTATGAAGGGGGATGTGATGTCACACCAGTAATCATAGCTATCCTCCCAGCCGTCGAAGTGGATCAGCACTTTCTCCCCTAACGTGTCCGTCACCGTGGCAACACAGATTAGGTTGACGTTTTTCTTGTCCACTGCCTCCAGTTTCATGCCCACTCGGAATGCTGTAGGGGTCACCATCTGGAGCCAAGGACAGAGGCATCAGACAGAGGTAGAGGGGAACATACCAGAGTATCATACAGAGGAGCAACAGGAGCATTAAACAGAGGATCAGATGGAGGAACAGAGGAACAAACAGGCATCAAAAAGAGGAACAAACAAGAGGTACAAACAGAGGTCCTAACAGGCATCAAACAGAGGAACGGGCATTGAAAAGGGGAACAAACAAACAAGAGGTACAAACAGAGGTCCTAACAGGCATCAAACAGAGGAACGGGCATTGAAAAGGGGAACAAACAAACAAGAGGTACAAACAGAGGTCCTAACAGGCATTAAACAGAGGAACAAACAGGCATTGAAAAGAGGAACAAACAAACAAGAGGCACCAGGCAGAGGTACAGGCAGGGGCATCTAACATAAGAACAAAAAGGGCATCAAACATAGGAACAAACAAACAGCAGGCACCAGTCAAGGGAACAAACAAAAGGCACCAGTTATCAGAGAGAGGTTTCAAACATAGATATTATCAGACACAGACACTAAAGAGTTACTAAACAGGAGCATGAAAGGGGCATCAAATATGCATCAGATGTTTATCAAACTGGTACCAAACAGTAATATCAAACGTATCAGACAAAGGTATCGAGAGGCACCTCATTTGCCACCGATGCATCAGACCGAGGCATCAAACAGGATTATCAGACAGTGACATAGACAAGTAACAGCGGAGAGAGGTATCCAACTGTTCTTAAGTAATAAGCAGTATTTGTCCATCTATCTAAGACAAAGCAATGGTGTAAGCCGTGCTGTGTGTACACTCACTGTTGTAGGCAGGTTGATGAAGAGGGACTTGGGTGCCGCTGGTGCCCTCGACATCTTCAGATAGGTGTTCCAGGAAAACCCTTCTGGTGCATAATCTGTAACAGTCAGTTGGCCATCAAACATACAATGCCATTCAAGACTTTCACTTCAGGTGACCTAATTGACATCAGGTGACATCAGATTTTACAATAATATTAGAATGAGAGGGTGAATAAACATGTAAAGACCCCCAAAAGTGACAATCTAATTTTCAAGAGCGAATTCTCACTTTTGGGGGGCTGGAGAGTTTTGCCGTTCTTCTCACACCAGCCTGCGTGGAAGAGGAAGGCGCAGTCAGCCATGGCCCAGAAGTCGTAGCACTCCGAGTAGCCATCAAAGTGTAGCCGTATGCGATGTCCCTGCAGCTCTGCTACTGACAACACGCAGTAGAGAGACTGGTGGCGGGGGTCGATGCCTTCCAGCTTCATCCCAACCTTGAACCCAGGCTTCTGGCTGGCTGGGAATGGCTGCAACGCATTGTTAGAAAACTTTCGTAGGATCAATCATGAGACTACACACTTCAGTACACACCTGAAACTATGGGTTACCACACACATATGGAATTACACACTAAACTACACACTACAAGACACACATGAAACTATGGATTAAATCACATATGACATCACAAATAACTCACATTTTTGAAAAATTTGGAAGGTGCCTCCACTGCGTTCTCCTCCTCGAGATACTGGGTCCAGGAAAATGTCCGTGACTTGCGACCTGCAACAGTGACATCATCATTCCCCACTCAACATAACCTCACCAGAGTGAGCCAGTTCCTGTCTACCATTTATCAAACTACCGTATATCGCTGTGTATAAGGCGACCCCACGTATAAGACGACCCCCCTGTACACGCCTAAAAATCAACCCAAAATCCTATACTCCGTGTATAAGGCGACCTGGAATGAAACACATCACAAGTCTGACTGAAATACCGGTAGAAGATTTAACGTGCTCTTGCCGACTGTAGCGTATTTCGCACACGGACATCACAAATTAGTTAGTTACTTTGGAGATTTAATGTGCGCTTTCCGACTGATGCGTATTTCGCACACATCACAAGTGTGCACACAAACCTTATATATGGAATAAAAATATGTTTATCTTGCGTTGTTTTTTTTTCTACAATGATAGGTCGCGTGTGTAACTCCGGCACACGTCGCCATTTTGTGTTTACACGGTATGACACCAAATTGGTGCCCGTAAAATAAAATTCATTTATGAAGTAATAACATATAAGAGACAATGGTGAGTAATTTAATCGCCAATTAACTATGTTGTAACTAACTAGGCTTATGTTTGCTTCACATTCAGCGTGTTTATTCCACAATCACTTGTACACACCGTCTCCAACACTTGTTAATACAACTGTAAAAACAGCGGGAATTGATTTCAGCTTCACCGGTTATCACATGTTAGGTCACATGTGCAATATGCAAATGATTACCGGTACTTCCGGCTCTCTACTCACGGAAGTTGATTGTTTTACCGTGTCCGCTGGTTTGACAATCTGCATCGAGGAGAGGGTCATTTCAACTTTATTTGCAGAAATTATTCAACTTTATTCAAGGAAAAGAGATACAAATCATGTTTATGTATGGAAATAGTTATTTGAACAGTTATTTAGGACGAAATGCGAAGTTTTTTTGTCAAATGCTGGGCTGGCTATCGGACGCTGGTTGACCTCGCCAGTGGAAAAAAATGTGAGATCTTCGACTCCGTGTATAAGACGACCCCCCTGCTTAGCCCCCTCATTTTAGGTACGAAAAACTCGCCTTATACACAGCGATATACGGTATATGTCATTCTGGGATGTATCAACACCAGACTCGGATTAATCCAGACCTGTCAGTACTGGGCTAAATTTACAGTTCTGAATTTACTGTTATTTGATCTGAAACTAAAACCTGCTGAATCTGGACTCCTGATTAAAACTGTGGTACAAAGGACTAACTTATCACATAATTGTACTGCCATCTTTAATCAGGACACCTGCCTAAGCCACACTCACATGTCTCTTCTGCACATTCCACGTTCAGATTGCACTTTATCCCTTATACCCCGCCACAAAGAAGACATGCATGTGGATTTCTGAGTGGGATAATACATCCCTTATACCCAGTTTTGAAGCAAATAGCCACATGCTTTTTCTGAGTCAATGGAAGTCATGTGACATAGCACAAGCTCGCCTCAGCTCAATCAAACAGCTGTTTTCTATCAATTTTGAATTTTTTAAATTTCTTTTACAAAGGCAGATTAAAACATGTCGGTAAGATAAATATGTTGCAGCAGTATCACGAGGGGTAAACGCAGGACGCATAAAAGCACATGTACCCCTCGTGCTACAACTTGTATATCTGTCATTAGAGAGAGTATTAACTCAATACACACCTGGCGCGGTGGGAAGTTTACTCAAACCATCTTCTTCATTTCCAGGAATGCTGATTTTTAGTTTTGGCCGACCATCATCTCCCATCATTAATTTGCGTTTCTTTTTCTTCATCCCCATCAACAACCTTGGTCGTCCTGGACCCACACGCTCCTTCACAGCAACCACTTCACTTCCTGTTTCCGTCCCTGGTTCCACCTTCACTCTGAAATATCAACAATCAACCTGGTTTAATCACCTATTTATTGTGATTGTATCAAGTGTTACTAGTGAACAAATACTTTACTTAGGCTAAAATAAATAATAGTCTTGGTTCTCAGGCACCACAAGCATCATCATAAAGTCCGCCGCATGTATTGCTTTATTTCCATTTTCTAAAAAATATAAAAATCCTAATAATTTAACATAATGCACACAAAAAATTTGAAAATGGAAACAAAAACGAAATGTGCAATGAACTTTATGATGATGCAGGTAGTGCCTGAGAACCAAGACTGTTACTTTTTTGGGCCTTACAAACATTACTGACCAGTTATTTAGTTGTTGTTTTTTCTAAATAATCTATACTTTTTACACAACAATCATAAATGAGTGTAAAAAGTTTCACAAGAAACAAGTTACAAATACAGAAACATATTACTCCACTTTTGATAATGTCATCCTATATAAATATTTAATATACACTTGACATATTATAAAATCAGTTATACAGAGTGGAGTAGCATATAACAGTCATGTTGGTTATAGTCTATTGTTATCTTAAGTTTACTTTTTTCATGCCTTTGTTCCAAAACTGTTTTTTATTTATTCTACCCTTATTCTCTCCAACCAGTGCCCCACCCCTGCACTCTCCCCAATGATTATTGACTTGTCCCAAAGTGACAAGGGCTGAAGTGGTCGAGACATACACTGTGGCTGTAGTGTCCACACAGGCCATGGTGGTGTCACAGGGCTTGGTGGTGTCAGGTCGAGGATCACTCTGCTGCTGCTGCTGCTGCTGCTGCCCATCTACAGGGGCTGTAATCAGAAAGACAGGTCATTGCTAGCACAGCATACATTGACATGCACGTGTAAACTTTCAAAATTCTATATTGAAGAGGCAGGCCCAGTAGAGTCAGCCCCAGTAGATACAGCTGTGTGTGTCCTGGCTGATAACCCGATGTGCAGGATCACGAGGGGTACATGGGGATTTATGCATCCCTCAATAGGTTTTATACCACTCGCCTCCGGCTCATGATATAAAACATAATGCTGGATGCATAAAACCACATGTACCCCTCATGATCTTGCTACAACGAATTTATCTTACGACATGTTTTAATATGACATTGTGCGTTCTGGCAGATAACCCTGTGTGTGTCCTGGCAGATAACCCTGTGTGTGTCCTGGCAGATATACCTGTATGTGTCCAGGTAGATAACCCTGTATGTGTCCTGGCAGATAACCCTGTGTGTGTCCTGGCAGATAACCCTGTGTGTGTCCTGGCAGATAACCCTGTGTGTGTCCTGGCAGATATACCTGTATGTGTCCAGGTAGATAACCCTGTATGTGTCCTGGCAGATAACCCTGTGTGTGTCCTGGCAGATAACCCTGTGTGTGTCCTGGCAGATATACCTGTATGTGTCCAGGTAGATATACCTGTATGTGTCCAGGTAGATAACCCTGTATGTGTCCTGGCAGATAACCCTGTGTGTGTCCTGGTAGATAACCCTGTGTGTGTCCTGGCAGATATACCTGTATGTGTCCAGGTAGATATACCTGTATGTGTCCAGGTAGATAACCCTGTATGTGTCCTGGCAGATAACCCTGTGTGTGTCCTGGTAGATAACCCTGTGTGTGTCCAGGTAGATAACCCTGTGTGTGTCCAGGTAGATAACCCTGTATGTGTCCTGGCAGATAACCCTGTATGTGTCCTGGTAGATAACCCTGTGTGTATCCTGGTAGATAACCCTGTGTGTGTCCTGGCAGATAACCCTGTATGTGTCCTGGCAGATAACCCTGTGTGTGTCCTGGTAGATAACCCTGTGTGTGTCCAGGTAGATAACCCTGTGTGTGTCCAGGTAGATAACCCTGTATGTGTCCTGGCAGATAACCCTGTATGTGTCCTGGTAGATAACCCTGTGTGTATCCTGGTAGATAACCCTGTGTGTGTCCTGGCAGATAACCCTGTGTGTGTCCAGGTAGATAACCCTGTATCTGTCCTGGCAGATATCCTTGTATGTGTCCAGGTAGATATACCTGTATGTGTCCTGGCAGATGTGCAGGTGTGTCCTGGCAGATAACCCTGTATGTGTCCTTGCAGATTTGCAGGTGTGTCCTGGCAGATGTGCAGGTGTGTCCTGGCAGATAACCCAGTGTGTCCTGGCTGATAACCCAGTGTGTCCAGGCTGATATCCCAGTGTGTCCTGGCAGATAACCCAGTGTGTCCTGGCTGATATCCCAGTGTGTCCTGGCTAATAACCCAGTGTGTCCTGGCTGATATCCCAGTGTGTCCTGGCAGATGTGCTTGTTGATACGCGGTGTGTCCTGTGGGTGTACCTACCTGCGGACAAATGGTTGTTGTTGGTAATGGCTGCTGAGTTTCTTGCACTCTCGATGTCAGCACCATCGTCTGTGATTAACTCCATAGCACCAAACTCGTTTATCTTAAACTAAAACCACAAACAATGTCTCTAAAATAACATTAGAAACACTATCAATGTCAAGGTACACACTAGCTGTGTTCATAATTTATTATCACTTCGCTAAAAGTTTATTGTTTTCACAAGCCAATTTTTCTTATGTATCTGCTCATGGTTCAAACTGTGACTCCTGATGTCTTTGACACCACAACATACAGATCATGACGACAAATATTTTTACTCTTATCTTGATACATGTCCCATATTCAATGATCTTTAATGTCATCAAATAGAATGTCAGAAATTAACTTTAAATAAACAGGCTGCCTAAAGCATAAAACCTTTAGGCTGCCTCCATGGTCTAGTGGTAGAGCGTCTGCCCAGGGAGGAGGTGGTCAGGCGTTTGATCCTCAACCGCATCACACCAAAAGACATTAGAAGATGGTACTTGTTGTTACCCTGCCTGGCGCTCAGCATTAAGGGGTTCATACAAGGACTGGTCGTCTTGGAGTCAGCATACTGTGTCTGAGTAGGGTATTCATGTTTAAGTGCACCATGGTATCTCAGCAGGCTAGCACTATAAAATCCACATTAAACCGGTCTAGTACAAGCAGCCACACACACATACATGTTGCTATATAAGCACAATGATCTTGAACACAAAGTTCAACCCCATTTCACACTAATGCTTAAAATCCCCTACATTAGAAAGTACACCTGAAACTGATCCTACAGAGATCATGTTAAATTAGTCGATCTGAGAGAAGGGTGAGGTCACCTTGAAGTCGCTGCCAGGCAGTGTAGCCACTCCATCCTCCCACACCATGGCATCCATCGGGTCAGCAGGTTCCTCTGTTGCTGCATCATCTCGATTCTGCCTCCCAGAGTTCCCCTTAGCTGCTTCAGCCCGACCCTGGTCATTGGACTGACTCTGGACACCAGACTGATTCAGTTCACCGGACTGATTCTTAACATTGGACTGATTCTGTTCGTTGACCTGATTCTTTGGCTGGCTGCCTGCTTCCTTTGTCTTGTTCTCTTCCCCAGCTGTCTCGGGACCCTTGCGTGCCTCAGTTGCTCCATGTGCCTCGGGACCTCTCTGTGCTCCAGTAGCATCTCTTCCGTCATTCTTTGTCTCGCTGGCATCCATGGCTGTTCTTGCATCCCCATGAACTACATCCGTAGTTGGTGCAATAACTGCTGTTGGTGCAGGCTTTCCAGCACTTTCTGCTTCTAAGGAAGACGGAACAGGGGGTGGCACGATGACATTTTGGGGTCGGATGTTGGGATCCGAGGTCATGATGACCCCGCCTGACATGCCCTGCTGGGCCTGCAGCACCATCTGTGTGATGCCGTCCGCCTTCACCCCTGGGTATGGAGGTGGGTCCTTCAGGATGATGGGTGTGTGAACCATTGCTTGCTGCATGGGATCCTTCAGAAGGAGAGGAGAGTGCAGCATGGGGCTGGTCACCTGGGTGCTTGGCACCAGAGGCCGAGCTGTCTGAATCACCAGCTGTGGACGAGCCTGAGCAAGTAACTGTGGCCTTTGTTGCAGTAGCTGTTGACCTGGACCGAGACTTTGTGCTGCCTGAGATGATCCAGGTGCAATCTGGAAGGTAAGCTGTGGTGCAGACACTGGACGCAAGCTGGGATGGGTGGCTGGCAGTCGAGCGTTCTGCAGGTTTATCGGCTGTTGGGCAAATCGGGTCGGGCGTTGCAATAGCTGCTGTCTTTGTGGGTGCAGAGGTTGTCGTGGTAACAGTGTCAGTGGATGTAACGTAACCTGATGTTGAGGACGAGCTGCACCGGGTTGTCGAGGAAGAGCTGACATGTGCTGTAACGGAATGGAATGACCAGGGGCCGAGTGACTGGTGCCATCCTGAGCGAGTGCCTTGACGGTCATTCCTGCGGTCATGATGGGCTGCCCTATTGTAGCCACTGTCTGTAGGGGCACAGATGTGCGAGCAGGAAGAGTCACGGTCAAGGTGGCCCCCGGGGGCAGGGCCTGGCTGGGGGAAAGAATGGGAGTGGGGCCTCGCATGGGGAATGTAGAAGGGTTGGGAATCTTGAGCTGTGTGTGACTTGTTACCATGGTGTTGGGTGAGCTGGATGCTTGTTGGGGGTGTCCCTTTAAGGGCATACTTGTAGCTAACATCCCTCCTGCTTGCTGTGGGTGTCCCTTTAAGGGCATACTTGTAGCTAACATCCCTCCTGCTTGCTGTGGGTGTCCCTTTAAGGGCATACTGGTAGCTAACATCCCTCCTGCTTGCTGAGAGTGGCCCTTTAAGGGCATGCGAGATCTCGGACCTGTGACAAACAAGCACAGATTAATAAAGTATCTGCACATATCTTTACTTCTCAAAAATAAGTAACATGAACAAGAACTCATATCAACCTCAGCAACAAAATGAGTGTCAGTATTCTTGTATTTTCCAAGCGAGGGTAATGCATGAATTCTGACACTCTTACACTCAGTATGACACACATGCGAGTGTAATAATTTCTTAATCCTTTTAATATCCCCTTTAGAAAAATGCACTGATCACGACCTGTCTCAGGAAACCACGACTGTCAAATGACTACAACAATCTTCAGCTACAATCTTCAACTACATTCCGACTTTACGTCACCATAAGAATCCAAAGACGTCAACTATCCCATTTCGATGACGAAAACAATAGACTGGGTAATAAATGCTGATAAAAGCTAAAGAGAATAAGTTCAGTTATTACCGTATTCGACATAATAAGCGCCCAGGGCGCTCTCAAAATTAGAATTAGGGGGCTCTTTATTAGAATATTCATTTGGTGAAAGATAAATTTCGTGGTTTATGCTGACAGCCTGAAATGTTTATGTACGACATATATATATTTTCCAGAATTTAATTGCCCATAATTAAGGGTGCATATAACACACGAGTGCGTATTGTACGCGAATAAATAAGTCTTGTGTACATTGATCAATCGGAAGGGGTGCTAATTGGGATTGTTCACCAGCCAGTATATTAGCAAATATCACCATGGGCGCTTATTACAGCGGGGCGCTTATTACATGGAATACATTACTTGTTCTAGCATTGATGGTTGTAGGACATTGTCCTCGATTGTCTATTGTGCCAACAGTCTATGCTGTCAAATGTTGCTGCTGAAGAACAGTACTCAGAGGAACTTAGAAGAATGAACCAAATATTCCAATCTGTGCAGCGGCACTGAAGCTCACACGGTCATGTACATTCAACATCACATTCCTTCAGCAGATTTGAGATGCCACTTAATGAACTAAGTTTGCCTGTATCAATGTTCTGATATCTTTTCCACTCATGATATTCTTAAGGAGCAGAGCTATTGACATCAGGCCTCAGAACCCTCAGAAATAAGCACATAGAAGTGCGGGGCACTTAACAATACTCATGTACTTTGTAAGTACCTTGTAGGTTAATAGTTTATGGAACAGAATTGATTTAGGTTTTTACCGGAACAAGATTTGCTTCAACATCGTGATTTCCCAAAGTCTATTGTTTTCCACCTCAACACCCTGTGATGCTTTGCAACTGATTTAGGTTCTAGTATACATGTCCCCGATTTTCTTATACAAACTAGAAAGTGTGATCAGTAAAAGTATTATTCATTCAAGGTTTCAAAACTTTGTGATATTGTCAATACACACTGTCCCTCTATCAACCATGACTACATACAAACAAACTGCCGAGTGGTGCAGCTATTTATAGGGCTGTGTACTGGCCAAAAATTGATTTGCAATATATTGGGAGCTAAAGTGTTTGACAGTAATTGACACTGTTTGTACATGCAAATCCTATTTTCTACAAATTTAAGTAAATATTACACAGCATTGTCAGTTGCCGCCATCTTGTGGTCATGGATACAGGGGAGATAAAATCACATCCATGTCTTGTCAAAAAAAAATGTAAAGGGAAACATCATTTGTGAATGAATTTCTGTGTAGATTTTAGGTCAAATGACATAATAATAACGGAACAGTTTTTTTTTATACCAAATATAGACACAGAAAAAATAAAGCAAAACGTATCATTTGAAAAGTGTATTTCAGTGTACTGGTAATACAGTGCGTTCCTAGCTATTTATAACCTACAAATCAAGACACTGCCAGGTTCAAACAAAAGGAAATCCAGTGAGTATTAAGACCATGGACCTAAATAACCACGGTTGTTTCAGTAATATTGTGACCGTCTGCTCTACACAATGCTACACATTGCATCAATATCAGGCAATATCTTCGCACTAAGTTCATGCATTGAGCAGGGATTACTTCACTCCTGTGAGTAATACAGCCTCATTTCATTAGCTGGCTAAAAATAGACAACACTGCAAAGAAGTTGTATGTATTAACTATGAGACGAATACGATTCTTATCACGAATATAGGGTAACAAATACGAATAGCAATTCACAAATACAATAACAAGTCAGCAGTTGATGTATTACCGGTATTTGTTATATTCAGTGAAACAATAACAACAAAAACTATTTGACATGGTTTGTTAATTATTAATGTATTATACCATGTTATACATTTATATACTGCACTTATCCAGGGAATGCGACAATGACCAGTGACCACAATACTGTCAAATTAAATATTATGAGAGTGTTGTCTTTTGAAGACATCTATGCATATAATATGTTCTTATGGATATATTTAGGTACAGGGTATGTAAATGCACATGATTGCATATTCATAAATATTCGATTCTAGTGGCCACGAATAACGAATTCAATTCATGAATGGATACGGTTCGATTCACCGAATACATGAGTGAATTGTAACAGCCCTAGTATTAACGGGACATAGAGGAACTTGGTGTGTACAAACCAGCGGTGTATTGACCATGTGTTGGTGCATGCAGCCACAACAGACAAACTGAACACAAATACTATCACATGAGCTAAGAGCTAATGATACAAGGCCTTTCCGGGAAAGACATATTGTCATGGAAGCAGATGACATCATTCATTGTTGGATGCCATGTCCATCCAGTGGCACGAGGCTGGGTCAACTAAGGCACCACAGTGCAGCCTGTTGTTTGGCCAGAAACACGTGAGCATGGGTTTGAGTCCAGACCCACCTTGATAATGTTAAGCCATGTCAGCACAAGGATTTGTATCTAGGATTCAAAGCTAAGTGCCCTTGACAGGCAACATAATCGCTTTTGTTCAAAATAGAGAATTCTTGTAAGTTCTTATTTCTTAAATGCAGAGCCTTTTAACATTGTATTTTGAGATTGCATTCAATGCCATAAAATAATTCAAAGCATTATTAATTCTTTCTCTTTACTGGTTCTGTGATCAGTGAAATACAGGTTAACCTCTACAAAGCCATAAATTAGTTATTAGTTATATATTAACATGAATTGGGAAGTTTTGAATTCCAATTTAGGAATTTGTAATGACATAATCTGCAGACTTGGGGCTGAAATTCATGCTGTGAGCGGGTCCAGATCAATCCCTGGATCACAATGCTTGTGTGGGTTTCACCAAAGTGAAAACCTGCATCATAGCTGAAAGTGGAAGGAATGCCCAAAATGATGCTGGTTACAGACATTTACCACTTTGGCGAAATTCCCCAGCATGGGTAACAATCAGGACTATTCTGGGATTACACCCCATGATCTGCAGATCCTGGTAGCTAAGAGATTCAACTCTGTTCAGCGTTACATGATCATAAAGAACAGGTTATATGTTAGTAGATGAATGCATGCAAGAAATCATCAAAGAAGGCACTAAAACAAAGAGAAATAAACAAACACGCGGTAGAATTCAGGAATCACATGCAAAGACTTTTAGTAAGTTTTCTAGACACACTGATTTGTCTACCCATCATGCATCAGGACAGGAAACCAATATTACCCTTCACCAGACTTCCTGCTACCCCTGCTAGGACTGTGGACTGGGCACCCCGCAGACCTGGGGGGACACTGGACGCCTTTCCCGCAACACCACCTGGTGGTGCGTTCAGGTTGATAACACCTAGAGGAGAAATGTTCCTTGAGTCCAGTGAGGATGAAGAACCAATGATCCCCAACAGATGAGTCGGCACCTACGCTACCACAACCAGCATGCACCATCACTGCCACAACTGTGGAAACCCTCACACAATGGATGGGTAATACTAAATAGTGACATGCAGACAATGGATGGGGAATATGGATGGGGAAGGTGGAATTCAATGGATGGGGAATATGGATCGTGAAGGTGGAATTCAATGGATGGGGAATATGGGTGTCAGAAGTAGATACAGACATTGGATGGGGAATAGGAGTGTCGGAGGTTGAATAGAGACAATGGATGGAGAATAAGGGTGTCAGAAGTGGAATACAGACAATGGAAGGGGAATATGGGTGTCAGAAGCGGAATACAGACAATGGTTGGGGAATATGGGTGTCAGAGGTGGAATACAGACAATGGTTGGGGAATATGGGTGTCAGAGGTGGAATACAGACAATGGATGGGGAATATGGCTGTCAGAGATGGAATACAGACAATGGATGTCCCCGACTTGGCATAGGCAATGAGTATGTAAGGAATTACGTCACATTGGCAATATTGGAGTATGTTATCAAAGGTAATTACAGTAACATTAGAAAAACATCTGGCTTTCTACCTGTGGGCAACACAAACACAGCTTACAGGTAAGATATCAAATCATCTTAGAAACACCCTTGGAAAGAATATCACAATTGCCAGTGATGCCTACTACCATTTACCATCCTGTATAATAAAGCAGTTGGAACCAAATGCTGGCACTGACACCAACCTCCTTTGTGCCAACGTCATGAGAAAAAGCTAAAGCAAAGTGATTGCAAGCATGAGGTGCTGGGTTAAGAAAGCAAAGCAGATACCATGAAGGATGTACATCTTAAATACTAGAATAAGTCAGTGCATAGGTCTTCATTGTAGTGTCATGTCAGGAATATTCACGCCTGGACTAGGCAAACCAGTAGTGTTGAAATAGAACCCAAAGAGTTATTATGGAAGCTTGATCAGGCAAACCAGTAGCTCCAATAGGGTCATCCTTATTTTAGGGAACTATGGACACCAGTAGCCCATTGTGCCAGCATACAACCCGGGCCAGGCTAAACCAGTAGCCCATAGTGTCAGCAGAGAACCCCGGCCAGGCTTAAACCAGTAGCCCATAGTGCCAGCATACAACCCGGGCCAGGCTAAACCAGTAGCCCATAGTGTCAGCATACAACCCGGGCCAGGCTAAACCAGTAGCCCATAGTGCCAGCATACAACCCGGGCCAGGCTAAACCAGCAGCCCATAGTGCCAGCATACAACCCGGGCCAGGCTAAAACCAGTAGCCCATAGTGTCAGCATACAACCCGGGCCAGGCTAAAACCAGTAGCCCATAGTGCCAGCATACAACCCGGGCCAGGCTAAAACCAGTAGCCCATAGTGCCAGCATACAACCCGGGCCAGGCTAAACCAGCAGCCGATGGTGTAAGCATAGAACCCGGGCCAGGCTAAACCAGTAGCCCATAGTGTCAGCATACAACCCGGGCCAGGCTAACCAGTAGCCCATAGTGTCAGCATACAACCCGGGCCAGGCTAAAACCAGTAGCCCATAGTGCCAGCATACAACCCGGGCCAGGCTAAAACCAGTAGCCCATAGTGTCAGCATAGAACCCGGGCCAGGCTAAACCAGCAGCCGATGGTGTAAGCATAGAACCCACACCAGGCTAAAACCAGTAGTCCATTGTGTCCGCATAGAACCCACACCTGGCTAAAACCAGTAGCCCATTGTGTCCGCATAGAACCCACACCTGGCTAAAACCAGTAGCCCATTGTGTCCGCATAGAACCCACACCTGGCTAAAACCAGAAGCCCATTGTGTCCGCATAGAACTCACACCTGGCTAAAACCAGTAGCCCATTGTGTCAGCATAGAACCCACACCTGGCTAAAACCAGTAGCCCATTGTGTCCGCATAGAACCCACACCTGGCTAAAACCAGTAGCCCATTGTGTCCGCATAGAACCCACACCTGGCTAAAACCAGTAGCATATTGTGTCAGCATAAAACCTAGACAATTAGTTGGGCTGAAGGGGTTGTGTACAGAAGCATACCATAGCTGTGTGAGTAAGTGAGTATGTTTTACGCCACTGTTAGCAATATTCCAGCAATATCACAGCGAAAAATGGGCTCCACACATTGTACCCATATCCGGAATCAAACCCAGGTCTTCGGGGGGGGGGGGGCTAGCGTACGCTTTAACCACTAGGCTACCAGACCGCCCCTACCATAGCTGATCACTGCATGTCAATAAAGAGACTGGGTAAGTCTATCAATGTGTGAACCCTGTACCCTGTTTCGATTTCATTTGTAATCATAGTAATAGAAATTGATGCATGCTGCAGGAACAGATTGCTGTTGGAAGATGGTTACTGTAGCGTCAAATAAACTGGCTTGTTTTGTAAAAATAGATTCTCCAACTTCAATGTGTACAGCCATGATTGATTTTCGGCATACCAGAAGTCTGCAGAGGCACTGGTTTCACCCACCCTGGACTCATCACTTGGCAGTGCCAGGTAGGGACTTTTGTTATTTTGATTCTGGCCAGGGTACGTTTCTGTATGCCAAATCATAAGTTGCACCAGGTTAACCAATTGGTCAGGTTGAGGAGGATTTTTTTTCATAGATATATTTTGGTCAGTGTTTTCTCTAAAAATGCTAAAAGAAGCCATAATTATATTATATTGCTCAAGTCTATTTTGACCCCGTTCCTGATGCAGGGCCCTTGGTAAACTGAAGCACTTAATAGCTGTCACATACCATGACCAATCACAGCTCATAATGACTGCAATAGTAAAATCCATGGTGATTCCGGGAAAGAGTATGGTCCCCAGCAACATATGCTTGGCGTAAGAAGCAACCAAATGAACTGGTGATTAGGTTCGGTGACTTGGTTGATGCATGCCATCGTATCCCAATTGCGTGGATTGATGCTCATGATGTCAATCACTGGATTGTCTGGTCCAGACTTGATTATTTACAGACTGCCGTCATATAGCTAGACTATTGCCGAGTGTGGCGTTAAACAACAAACAAACAAACTAGTTTTTAGGGATGTTGATAAGTAATGTGCACGGTTATATTGTTCTGGGATCCGGGTACATATAGAAAGTATTTTCAACATACATCCCAAAATGTATATCAAGCCTGTCAACAATGTTTTTTTCACAAATGTCAGTAGTAAAATATACATCATGACTGTCCACACGCCATTGTAAGACTTACCATTGGTGATAGTCAGGCTGATGGTACCTGGAGGAAATGATGACATCTGATTGGTCGCAATTGGTGGTGTCTGATTGGTCAATACTGATGACGTCTGATTGGTCAAGACCTTAGATGCCGGGCAAGAAATGCTAGCTGCAGATTCATGAACAACTGATGGTGGTGTGCCAAGCTTCATCTTCTTGGCAGGAGGTTGACTGGTTTCTTTCGTTAAAGTGGGCATTGGTGTTGGTATGGTAGCCATTGTTGTTGGTAAAGTTGGCATTGGTGTGATTAATGTTGGTGTGGTTGGAACTGATGTTGCTGTGGTTGCTGGTGCTGGTGTGGATGTTGCAGTTGGCGCCACAGGGGCCGGCCCTGGCTGACCACTTGGTGGCTGGGAGTTCATTCTTCATAAAGGCATTCTGTAACAGATTAACAGATCACTTTAGTCTTTAGGAGATTAACAGTTAACTTGTTTGTAACAGAGGAACAGAATCACACTAGTCAGTGACGGATTACTAAAGTCTAACAGATTTCATCAGGACCATAGTCTCAGCAGATTAACAGATCACTATAGTTTGTGACAGATCACGATAGTAAGTATGAGATCACAACAGTATGTAAAAGATCACTATAGCCTGTTGCAGCATAACAGATCACCTGACGAGCAGACTACAAGATCAAAACAGCCAGACCAATTACTTTTCTTGTATTACAGACTCTTTGCACCAAATTGGCAGGATAGAACTAAGGCCTCAGGACTAAGAACTGGCAGGAAAACTACAAAAAAAATTGTATTAAGAATTTATCAGGCTAAATTGGTATTTTCTTGTTTTCAATGCACACCCACCATTACTGGGCACACCCTTTGTACGTGTTAGAAGGTGCATATTGTTTTCTTGTAACATTTTTCTGTACTACTTAGAAACATAGTTTACATAGTCAACAAACATATCATTAAATGGGTGTTTTTATATTGGCCTTGTTAAAGGTGGGGTTTCATGCGTCCCTCGTGAGGTTTTATACGAGGTATGCATAAAACCCCATGTACCCCTCATGATCCTGCTACAACAAATTTATCTTACCGACATGTTTTAATATGACATCATAATAGAATTAACACAAACGCAAAACTGATAGAAAAGAGCTGTACGATTGACTTGAGGTTAGCAAGTGCTATATCACGTGACTTCCAATGACTTTGAAGCAGGGTATAAGGGAATTCATTCTGCCTCTCAGAAATCCACATGCAGCCTGACTTGCTTGATGTGGGGTATAAGAGATTAATCCCAGCTGAGAAATTTATCCCACTCCAAGGCAGGATCTACAGTATTTTATCAAGATCACGTGGACCAATCAGATCTCATCATTCTGACATGGAGGTATGATAATGGCCCTTAGACAGGCTGTATTGACCAGAGGCATTGTCTATTCCTTCCCTGGATATGCCGTAAGGAAACACTATACTTAGTAGTTGTGAGCCAGTAGAGCTTTGTATTGTCTGGTATCTTGCTACGGCGGCCATAAAATTTCCGAGTCCCCGTCAACAGAAGCACGTCCCAGACCACATAGTAGGGCACTGAGGCTTACTTTGCTCAAATTTAATATGAACTTGCTCAGCTCCACGTTGGGCGCCAATATAGCGGCCATAAAATTTCCGAGTCCCGTGATGGGATTTGAACCACGGACCTTCTGATACTGGTATCACAATACACCACATCAAATAGTAAGAAATGATGAAATCACTGAAATACAGCTCTAAAACCTCTATCTTCATACATTTACTTGTCATTTCCAAAATTTTAATGAAGAAAAACCAGAAGAACAAATCATGAAGGGATGGTTATTAAATGTAAAGGCCGACCCGCCCCGTCCTCAGCTGCCACGTCCTTGTGTTCTGCCATGCTTACAGTATGTGCTATGATACTTCTACCATTATGGGAACTAACTCTATTAGTCCCTGTTCTATTTACCTCGCAAGCTGACGATTCAAGTATCGTGTGTACCTAAGTATCACTGATATCGTAGGTATCGGTGAATTGTTATAGCCCTTATTGCCAGGTTATTGCAAAAAATAGTAAAATTTGAAAATTGATACATCATAAAAACATGAACACTGTGATACAACTGGAATACTGTTCAAAGTAGCATTAAATCTAAGTCACTTACTCATTGAAACATGAATGGACGCATGGGTAGGTGTATCACATATGTCATCAGGTGTACATTTGTGATGCATCTTTGAATACTGACACCCCTAGTCAATGACTCCACAGTAGAACCCCATACACACTTTCTCCCACAACTGTTCCTTGTGCATGGAGTGTTCAACATGTCACAAGGTCAAGGTCACAGAAACAAGACTGAAACAACACGAATGTCTAAGGTGATTTCTACTGATGCCTGACTCACTGTGTCACAGGAGGCCCAAATCATGATGTCCGCCATCCCAACAACGGCCCCCAACAATAGGACAAGCTGGTCCACCCCCAGCTGCTACAAATCTGTCCTGCTCAACACACCGACTACTTGTTTTGCTTTAATATTCTGAGGAACAAGGACGCGATTCTGAGATATTGTCACATTACATTCACCAATCTCACAGCAATAAAGATTTAACATGAACAAAACCGCACCAGGGTTTTATGTGATGCTGAAATGTGTGTACAGTACAGCTACACACAAATGTATAGAACAGATGCAGAAACAAGAATATGTTGCATCCCAAGGGACACACAATAATACCAGGAACTATAAAGTAATTAAATTAACTATCAAAATGAACAGTACAGTACACTACACTAAACCATTTCATTACTTTTTTTTCCAGAGCACTTTAAATTAATTATTTGGGTTTTTTGTAAGTCAAGGTAAAACCCTGCACACAATCAGGTGGTTGGGAAGGGCATATGACACTAACTGTCACCAGTAAATGATACTGTTACACTCCAGAAGAAAACATTGCATCACTGTGCATGAGGTGAGGTGAGGTGAGGTGAGGTGAAATGGGGTGGAACATCGCGTCCAAGATTATTGCACTTATATAGCGACGTGCATGCAGGTGTATGTGTGTGTGTGTGTGTGTGTGTGTGCATGTGTTTGTGTGGCTGCTTGTACTAGTCCGGACTGATGCATACTTATAGTGCTAGCTCACTGAGCTACCATGCCACAGTTTAACATGAATACCCCACTCAGACACATTGTACTGACTCCGAGCCAACCAGTTCTTGTTTTAGCCCCCTAATGCTGAGCGCCAGACAGGGAAACAACAAGTACCATCTTTTAACGTCTTTTGGTATGGCGCGGCTGGGGATCGAACTCTGGACCTTCCACTCTCTGGGTGGACGTTCTAGACTACTAGAACACAAAGGTGGTCTCACTATGTATGAAAGAAAGATTTCATACACTCACATTACTTCTTTGTCATTGTGCATATATCACTGATACACCATGTATAAATCATGGTTAATAGCCCCACATTTGCCATGAGAACTAACATGTACCAGTAGCTGCAATATGTTAATTTGTGAAAACAATGCATCCTAATAGTTAATTTATTTACATACAAATGATGATGAGTTGTCTTCATAACTTTATTTCACAAAGTGTATTTGTATATTGAATATCTGTGGGAAATGTATTACCCCGGGGTAATGGAACCAAGAGACTCTGATCTCCATGTACCAAAATATTTACAAAATCATCAGAGATTAATATTGGAATTTATTAAGATGACACCTTAAACCAAATTTGACCCAGACAGTGGAAGGCCCGGGGTTTGATTCCTGGCCGCATAATACCAAAAGACGTTAAAAGATGTTACTTGTTGTTACCCTATCAGGCCCTCGGCATTAAAGGGCTAAAACAAGGACTGGTCGGCTCGGTGTCAGTATACTGTGAGAGTGGTATTCATGTTAAACTGCGGCATGGTATCTCAATGTGCTAGCACTATAAATCGGCATCAGTCTGGACTAGTACATGCAGCTCCCCCCCCCCACACACACATTCAACATTAAACCCCATTTCACCTCACCTTAAACCAAAATCCAATATATCCAAAAACAAATTCCATGACAGCCATTTTCTTGTTTTAAATTACACATACTAAAAAAGAAGTTAAATAACACCTGATTTTTACGGTATGAAAACATTGGGTGTTCTTTAACTTCTTTTGAATATTATGCATGAACGTTTTGAGATATAGTACAAAAATTTACTTTCTTTATGGTTGCCATGACAGCCAAGCCACTGCACTTAATCTTGGTTCAGACATCTGTCAGCCATTGGTTGTCGTGTCATAAAATCGGATCAGAATTCTAGATATTTCTTCTTCCAAAAGACATGTTGCTAACATTTTGAATACATCCCCTGTGATTGTGCCACCCAAAATATCTACAAAATTTGAAAAGTGTGCCGTTTTGTTCTCAAAAGATACAAGTATTGTTAAATATTTAGTTTCCATACACTAATGCAAAGTCAGTCTCCAATCCTTCTATTTATCTACCATTTGCACATGTATAGGGTAAATAAAATATTATTTGTCAAATATCAATAGTAATTAGTTTCATTGGAAGCTCCATCTGATACATTCAGCCATAACTGCACCACCTGTGACATTCACCTTGACAGCATATATATGCTCTGTGTTAGTGACAAGACAAAACACACAGTTCAAAAGAATGGAACAGTTCATGTTCAGAGCAGGGATGGTAGGATCTAAAACAAAGCATTCAAACAATCAAATAAAAAATCCAAGAAAGTCTTCTTCTACTTACAAGAATATGTTGACATATTTCAAATTATTCATCTATCTCTCTAACATATATTTATTTTCTTCATGGGAGAACATATTACTCTCATGATTATCCAAACAATGAAATCAAAATGGATATCATGACACCCCTCAATTAGTGTGACATGGATCAGTCCACCTGACCTATACCTAGACTGAATCTGAATCTGGTCAGTTCCTGGGATCATTGCACAAGCAATTAGCAATTCCTAATAATAAACAAACCAAGCTACTAAATTTGATCTTTGGTGTCATAAGATATAGGACATTACCCCATATGAACAATTTAACCCCCCCAAAAAACAACAACAACCAAACAACAACAAAAAACAAAAAACAAACCATGTATCATATTTTATATTTACAATATTGTACATTTTACAATAAATTGTATATTTATAATATTTATCCTATCTCACACTATGCATTTCTCATTCTTCTTATGATATTAAGTGGAAACGTGTCGAAACAAAAGTTACCAGCTTTTAAAAAACAATTCACCCCAACAAACCTAGCATCACCATGGTCACCTCTCATCAATCTGGGTCATGCATGCTTTTCATAACGACCGACACACATACGCTTCACACGTGATTTCCCCAGCCAACTCATTCTCTCTCTTTTTTTTTT